GGAGGAGAAGGGTGAGCGAGAGGCGCGAGCAAAACGCGGGGAAGGAGGCGCGAGCGCGTCCGGGCTCGCACCCTCTCTCTCGCTCGCCTGTGCTCCAGCGCACACGTCTTCTACTTTGCAACGAGCTCTCCCTCTCCACGAGCAGTGGACCGCGATACGGCGCGAACGACGCGACGACGCCTGGCAAAGCCTCGCACGCAGCGAGCAGCTGAGAGCGGGCTCGACAGCCAGCGAGTCACCACTCAGACTCACTCAGAGCAGCACGAGCACGTCGTGTACACGGAGCAGGGGACGATGCAGAGCCACAGGGGCGCCGGCGTAAGGGCGGGCAGCTGCCAGACCTCGCTCACGCCGAGCGAGCAAGCTTCGAGAGCCAGCGGCTCGACGACGCGGCGTGCCCTCCCGGTCCCTCGACCGAGCTGTGCGACCGCATTGCGAAGCCTCCTCTGCCGCCCAGCTGAGCCCGCGAGCAGAGAGTCGGGCCCGACCCGAGCCAGAGTCGCCCTCCTCCGGCGGCTCGAGCCGAGCCTGACGGCGACGAGCCGCAGCTGCAGCCCGCCGAGCACACCCACCCGTGCTCCGAGCTCGTGAGCCTGTCGCCGAGCTCGAGCGCGACCAGACGAGCCGGTGCGTCGCGCGAGGGCCCGGACGCGAGAGGAGAGGGAGGCGACGAGGAACGGCGGGCGGGACGAGGGCGGCAGGCGGCACCGTTGTGGCGGGACAGGGTGTCGCCGCGGTTGCTGGATGTACTGCACGTCTGCCGAACGCGTCCAGCTGCCCCCGTGAGCCGCAAGCAGTGGTGCGGCGGGGGAGCTTCGCCGGCGAGGACGAGGGCGCGGCGAGACGAGCGTGGACGGCGGCCGCTTGAGCGCAGGCGTGGCGCAGTGCGGTACTCGAGTGCTCAGAGTTGCAGCAGATCGAGGCTTGAGCAGTGGTGGTGGCTGGTGAAGTCCTCATCAGCTCGCACGCTCGTCGCGTCGACGTCTCGCACCTCCAACCTCCCTCGGCTCTCGACAGCCGCAGCAGACCGGCAGCATGGCGGCCCCTACCGTGCCAGACGAGCTCGTCACGCTCCTGCCCCTCTCGATCGACCAGACGCGGCTCCACCCAGCGCCCGTCTCGTTCCCCTCCGGCACCTCGCTCCCCGCCCACATCTCGCCCGACGACCTCCAGCCCCTCAACGAGCTCGCCCGCATCCTCCTCACCGCCTCGAACCCGGCCGTCGTCTTCCCGCCCTTGCCCCAGCCCGTCCCCAACGAGCGCAGCGTAAAGGTCGCCCGCGCAAAGGAGGCCGGCAACGCCGCCTTCAAGAAGCACGAGTGGAACGACGCCATCAAGCTCTACACCATCAGCGCCGAGATGGCCGCCACCCGCCCCATCTTTGAGGCCGGCGCCTACGCCCGCGACGAGCTCGCCCTCGCCCTGTGCAACCGCTCGGCCGCCTACCTCGGCGCAGGCGAGCTCGTAAACGCCCTCGTCGACGCCGAGGCCGTCATCAAGCTCAAGCACTCGTGGATCAAGGGCCACTTCCGCAAGGGCAAGGCCCTCATCGCCATGGGCCGCCTCGCAGAGGGCCGCGAGGCCTTCCTCCTCGGCCTCCAGTTCGACCCCATGGCAGAGGTGCGCTCCCTGTTCTCTCTCTCTCTCTCTACGGGCCTGAACCCGAGCTGACCGAGCCCCTCCACAGGACCTCCAACAAGCCGTCGCCGAGGTCGAGGAGCAGTTGCGCTCGGCGCAGTCGGTCAAGGCGATCGAGGGCAAGGCGCAGTGACGCAGGGAACGACGAGCGCAAGTAGCCGCACCGCAGGAGGAGCAGTCTGTTCCATGTTGTACTCGCACCCGCTTTCCCCACCTGTCTCGTCGACAGCTCGAGCCCGCTCTTTCGTGAACGAGAGGGTCGCGCTCTCCGAGAGGAAAGCGCTCGAGAGTCCAACTGCGAGTAGAGATTGCGAAAGGAAGGGGTCTACATGTACGGAGAGGGTCTACAGTAACGGCTATGGGACAGAGGGACGAGAGAAAGAGGCCGGAAGGGGAGCGAGGCGCCTCAGCGCTTCCTCCCTTGCTTGACGAGCTCGACGCCCTCCTTGGCTGCAAGGAAAGCTCGTCAGGACTCGATGGAGGAAAAGAGGAACAGAGAAGAGAGCGCGACGCACCGCACTCGTTGCCGTGGCGGAAGAGCCTGAGGACGATGCCGTCGGGCAGCGTCCTCTCGGCGTCGGCGACGCGGCGGTAGAACGCCTCGACGGCCGCCTGGCTCCCGAGCTCGGCCCGGCTCAGGGGCGGACTCGGCCGCAGCGGGTTGTTGGGCGACAGGGCGTCGGCAAACTCGTCGTTGTCGGCGAGAAAGTCGCCCGTCGTGTCGAGCGACAGGGTCGAAGCGCGAGTCGGTGACGACGCGCGCGACGACGAGGCCGACGTTGACGGCGATTTGCCCATGCCGCGTCCTCGCGGCGACGAGTGCGTGCGGCCGCCGAGCGTGGGCCGAGGCGGGACCGGCGGCGCGCGCTTGGTCGAGGCGGCCGTCGTCGACGCCGACGAGGTGACGGTCGCTTCGCTGCCGCTGCGGCGGTGCGGCAGGACGGGCCGCTCGTGCGAGCCGTCGAACTGGCCGGGCAGGTCGGGCATGTCGCTGAACGGCGCCGGCGCCGGCTCGTCCTCGGCGCGACCGCGCTGCTGCTCCTCGACGAGCGACGCAAGGTCGGACGCCGAGTGCGAGTGGCCCCAGCTGACCTCGGGTGGCGGTGCAGGTGGACGGCCCGACTTGGACGAGACGGACGACGCGGCCGAGGGCGCTCGAGGCGGCGTAAAGGGCGTCGTGACGTCGCGGATGTAGATGGCGAGGATGTTGCGCGGGTACTGCTGCGCGAGCGAGACGTACAGCTCGAGGTCCTGCTCGCCCGAGTCGCCGACGAGGACAAACTGCGACTCGGGGAACTCCTTGAGGATCGTCTCGACGTTGGCGCGCTTGCGCTGGCCGGGCTCCTCCCACAGCTTGGCGAGCGCCGACGTCGCGCCGCCGTACTCCTTGAGCGTACAGCTGCCCGACGGAAAGCCCGACAGGGCGAGAAAGGCGCGCAGGACGGGCCACAGCTCGAGAGGGCTGTTCGACACGTAGTGGAAGTGGGCGCCCTCCTTCGACATGGCCTGGTACCACGACGCCATACCGGGCACGCGGATGTCGTGCAGCTCGCGGACCTGCGTGTGTGTACCTCGAGGTCAGGGCCCGGCTCGGGAACGGCGAGTCGAGGAAAAGGAAGGCGAGGACGCACAAACACGTTGCGGAAGATGGTCCTCGTGCCCTTGACGACCTCGGTCCACTGCGGCGGGAGCACAGAGTCAGTACGCGAGTCCTCGTACAACGCGAAGAGAGAGAGAGAGAGAGAGAGAGCGCACCTTGATCGTGTCGTCGACGTCGCTCACGACGCGGACGCCGCCTCCTGCTCCTCCCTCGCCCTGGATCGCGACGCCGATCTCGCACTCGTCCTCGGCCGTCGTGCGCGCCTGCGCGTACCCGGCGAGGTTCGGGCCCGCACCCTCGCCGACGCCCGCCGGCCACGAGTCGACGGCGCTCGCCCCGTCCGCCTCGAGCAACTCGGCCGTGACCCGGACGCGCAGGGCGTCGAGCCCGCCGGCGCCGCCCGCACCTGCGCCTGCTCCTGCTCCTGCGCCCGCACCGCCGGCCGCTCCCGCCGAGCCGACCACCTCGAGGTACCGCTTGAGGGCCGGCCCTCGCACCTGGAGGACCGTGCGCCACCCGGCGCCGGCCGCGCTCGTGCTGACGACCTTGGTCGCGAGTGCGCCGTCCCACAGCTGGCCCGACGCGAGGGCCGGGTAGACCGAGAGGCGGACCTTGCGGCCGGGCAGCTTCTGGCCGAAGAAGGGGAGGAGGCGAGCGTGGAAGTTGGTGTGGAGGCGAGGGAGGTTGGTCGACGACGTGATGGTGAACGGCTCGGGCCACGTCTCGGGAGGGAGGCTCGTCGACGAGGTCGAGGCCGAGAGGGCGGTGCTGGCGCGGACGGGCGACGAGGCGCGGGACGACACGCGCGACGACGCTCGAGACGACGCGGTCGACGGCGCGCGCGAGTGCGACGGCGTGCCCTTGTCGCCCTTGGCCGCGTCGCGCGACTTGGACGACGAGAAGTTGAACGGGAGGTTGCGGAGCCCGGGCGAGCGAGGCGTCGCCGAGGCGGTCGGCGAGGAAGGGATGGACGGCGAGCGCAGCGCGGCGGCGATGCTGGCGGCGCTGCGCTTGGTCGGGATGTCGACGCGCACGTGAGGACGGCGATTGAGGGCGGCAGGGCGGTCAATGATCTTCTCGTCCTCGGGCGAGCGCGACAGGGCCGGCGACGGCGCCGTCGCGGCGTGGACAGGCGGTCGATGCAGGTGCGGCGGTTTCGGGTTCGGCGCCGGCGAGTGCGGCTTGGACTCGCTCGAAGCAAAGTCGTGCGCCGTCGGACTGCGCATCTGCTCCTCGAGCGACATTTCCTCGGGCTCGCTCACCGGCGGCGCGTTGACGACGACGTCTGCGGTCGCGACGGCGAGCTCGGCCGTCGCGTCCTTGTCGCCGTCGCGCCCGCCGACCTCGAGGAGCTGCTCAAAGACGTCGCCGTCCTTGAGCGCGACGTCTCGCAGCGACGAGTCGAGGCTGTCGACGCTCTGGCTCCCCTCGACCATCGGGTCGAGGCCGGCCTCGGTCGCCGCCGCCGCCGGGATCTTGGGCAGCGCCGCGAACGACTTGGCGAGGGCGTAGAAGATGCGCTGCGAGCGCGAGGCTTGCGAGAGCGGGCGCTGGCGGTAGGCGTAGCCGGACGTCAGGACGTCGAGGACGAGGGCGGGCTCGGACGCGTCGTGCGGTGCGGGTTGGAGTGTGGCGTACTGTGAGGGGGAGGGCCGAGGTCAGATCGACGAGTAGTGAGAGACTGGAGAAAGTAGGGCTCACGCCGGGGAAGCACACGACCTTGTCCTCGTCGACCTCCTCGAACGCGAGCGCCTTGCCCTTGCCCTTGGCGGCCGCCGCTCCTCCTTCTCCCGCCGACGACGCGACGCTCGGCGCGTAGGTGCTGAAGTAGCTCCCGACGATGCCCCCCCACCTGCTCGAGCGCGACTCGTTCGGGCTCGGCGGCACGCTGCTCAACAACCCTCCGCCGGCTCCTGCGCCGGCGTGGACCGCCGCCGCGAACGCCGGCAGCTCGCCGATGCCGTCGCCGACCCTGCGCGCCTTGTCGAGCGCCTTCTTTGGCGTGGTGAGCACCTTGGGCTCGACAGGGGCGTCCCACGCGCTCCTCGCGGCGCTGCGGTCGCGCGAGCTGGTGCTGCCCTCGGCGAGGGAACGCTCACGCTCTTGCTCGCGCTCGTCGCGGGCGGCGTAGGCGTCGCGGAGCGAAGCGAGCTTGCCCGCTGCGGCGCCGGCGGCCGACTCGAGGCGAGGGGCAACGTTGGCCTGGGCGCGGGCGGCGAGGCCGCTGACCTTGGCGAGGGCGCGGCCGCGGAGGATGGACGCGCTCGAGGGCATCGGGGGCGGGGATGGGCTGGCGGTCGAGGGGCGTCGCCAAGCTGGTGGGGGCAGGCGAGGAGGTGGAGCAGTGCCGGCGGCGGACGAGGCGGCGGCGGCGGCGGCGGGCGGCGGTGCTGGCGGTGGCACAGGCATCCAGAGAGCTCGTGCGAGCGACTGCCTCGCCAGCGTGGGCGGGAGCAGGGCGAGCGGGTTGTGGTCCAACCTCGACCGCGGCCAGATGACGAAGGTCCTTTGAGAGTCACCGCTCGCTCTTCTCACTCGGGTCCCGCGTGTCCAGTTGCAGCTGCTGTGTCACCACCTGAGTCGCTGCACTCTACTCGAGCAGCTGGGGATCTCCTCGAGCGAGCGCGCAAGCTGCCGCTCGTCTGGCGGCTCGCGCGACGAGCGAGCCCTTTCTCATCGGCACCCGCGCCTCGACGCTTATCTCGACCGCCACGCACCCGCTGCTGCTTCGCCCTGGGTCGCATCAGCTTGCTTCCCTCCTTCAGCACCGCCCGCGCACCTCGAGGAGCTGTCCAGGTCGACCCTCACCTCTCGCCCTCGCCGTTCCTCCACCTCGACCTGCCGTCCCCGCACACCGTCCAACCGCCAGCCCAGTCACTTTCGAGCCGTCCAGCCTCTCGAACGTTCAGCACAGTCGGCCTCGCCCAACCCCGCGCCGCTCGGCGAGCCCAACTCGTCCACCGTCCTCGCCGCTCGCCATGGTCGCGCCCAACTCGGTCGCCGAGAACGTCTTTGGCACGCTCGGCGCAGTATTTTGGTCCGGGCAGCTCGCGCCGCAGCTCGTACGCCGCGCCTCTGTTCCCGTCGTCCCGAGCCGAGAGCTGACACTCGCCACCACACAGTGGAAGTCGTGGCGCCGCAAGGACACGGCCGGGCTCTCGACGACCATGATGTTCCTGTGGTACATCAGCGGCATCTGGCTCGGCGCCTACTGGTGCGTCCCCTCTCTCCCCTCTCTTGCGCAGGCGTGCGAGGAGTAGAGGGACCTCGAGGACCGCGCTCATTCCTCGTCCTCCTCCCGCAGCTACACCTCCGACCTCTCGATCCCCCTCATCATCCAGCCCCAGCTCTTCACCCTCTTCTCGACTCTCGCGTGGGCTCAATGTCTGCATTACGACTCGGGCTACAGCACCTTGTCGGCGTGGGTCGTCGCAGGCGTCGCTCTAGCCGTCGGCGGCGCGGTCGAGGCAGGGCTCGTCGTCGGGTGCAGGGTGCGTCCCCTCCTCCACTCCTGTCCTCTCGAGCATCTCAAGCAGCTCGATGCGCCTCGGGCAACTCGCCTCGTCCGGGGCGCCTCGCCTCGTCTCGAGTCTCAGCATACTGACCAGGCTCGAGCGCCTGCAGCACCTTCAAGACCAGGGCAACGAGCGTCTGAACACGGCGACAGGCGTCATCGCCGCCGTCTTCGTCATTGCCGGGCTCCTGCCCCAGTACTACGAGGTTTTCAAGTTCAAGGCCGGTGAGAGCACGCTCCCCCTCCCTCTCCGTCTCTTCACCTCGTCCGACTCTGACGGTTCCCTCCCACCAGTCATCGGCATCTCGCTCATCTTCCTCAGCATCGACCTCCTCGGCGGCGTGTGGTCGCTCCTGTCGCTCGTCTTTTCCCCACCTCCCTTCGACGCCCTCGCCGCCGTCAGCTACTCGTCCGTCGTCGGCCTCGAGATCGGCATCTTTATCCTTGCGGCGCTCCTCAATCCCCGGTACTGGCGCAACGAGCGAGCGCGCAAGCTCGAGGAGGAGGAGAAGGAGGGACGAGAGGGCGGGCAGGAGGAGCGGGAACGGGGCGAGGCTCGGATGGCGCTCGACTCGAGGGAGAGCACGTTGACGGGTGCTGCTGTGCCGACAATCAAGGCGAGCGTCGAGAGAGGGCCCATGGAGGGGGCGCACAGGGTGAGCAGCCGGTCGAGCCGCCACAGCCGGGAAGGAGGGTTCGGCTGGCTCGGCGAGGACGAGGTCGGGCACGAGCACTCTCGCGCTCACGAAGCTGTCTAGAGCTAGACGTTGTAGATCCTCGTTGTACTGCGAGGCATGTTGGACGTTCTCTCGGGCACCGTTACCGCCTGCTGCTGCTGAGAGTACTGCTGCGAGTTGCGATCCTGAATACTCTACACACACGGGCTCAAGAGACCTCGAGAGAGAAGGGAACGAGTGGCTCAGAGCACGGCCTGGGGCATGCGCTTCATCGCCTGCCGGACGCCCAAGTCGGCAAGCACCTCCTCGGACCCGCCGAGGATCGAGTCGAACTGCGAGGACGAGGCCAAGGCGAGTCAGTCGAGAGGCAGGGGCAGGACAAAAGTGAGAGAGGGCGTACCTTGTAGGTCCTCTGGAACTGCTCGATGAGGGCGCCCATGCCGCCCTGCGTGATGCCGCGCCCGCCCCAGATCTGGACGCAGTCGTCCGAGATCTCGCCCGCCGAGCGCGACAGGAACGTCTTGAGGAGCGCCATTGGGCCGGCGAGGAGCGCAGACTGGTCGGCGTACGACATGTGGGTCCTGCAAGGCGAGGGGAGCAGGGTCAGGTCGGGCTCGATTTGAGAAGGTCAAGTCGGACGCGAGGCGAGGAGAGGTGCTCACATCTGGTACGTGATGTTCTCGAGCCAGGTCTGGCCCATGTCGCACTTGTAGATCATCTTGGCGAGCCTGAGGGAGGAGGAGCGAGTCAGGGAGGGCCGCACACCCGAGAGAGAGAGAGAGAGAGCGGGCGACGCACTTGTTGCGGACGACCGGCTGGTCGATGAGGCGCTTGCCCTGCGACTTGCGCAAGTGCGCCCACTTCCACGTCTCCTCGAACTATTGCGCAGGAGAGATGTGAGCGAAACGGCTCAAGAGGCGGCGCGAGGCGAGGAAGAGAGAGAAAGAGGGACGCACCATCAAGCGCGAGTACCTCGCGATGCGGCAGCAGATGACCCACCGCTCGTGGCTGCAGAGGCAAAGACGAGAGACGGAAGAAGAGGAGGGAAAGGGCCTGGTGAATCTCGTGATCGGGAGGCTTGGGACGGCGAGAGAAGGAGCGAGACGCACTTGAAGTTCGACAGGATGACTGCGGGTGCGAGACGACCAGGTTAGCGTTCGCGCTCTCTCCCAGGTCGACGACCAACTCTTCGAGAGAGAGAAAGGCGGGACGCACCCTTGAGACCGTTGCCCTCGCCGCCGAGCACGTTCTCGACGGGGACCTTGGTCGATTCGAAGAAGACGTAGGCCGTGCCGGCCGCCGACGAGTACGAGGTGCGGATCTTGCGCGTCTCGACCGAGTCGTCGCGCTCGATGAGCATCATCGTGAGCGACTTGGGCCCAGTGCGCACCGCCGTCATGAAGTAGTCGGAAAAGTAGCCGCTGTGACGGGACGGCGGGACGAGCGGGTCAGCTCATCTCTCGCGCCGCCGTCCTGCGAGGGGTCGAGAGGACGAGGGACGCACTTGGTGATCCACTTCTTCATGCCACTGACGATCCAGTGCTTGCCGTCCTCCGACAGCTTGGCCGTCGTCGTGATGCCCTGGACGTCCGAGCCGGCCTGCGGCTCCGAGATCGCGAGCGAGATGAACTTCTTGCCGCTGCATGCACGACGACGAGGTGAGCGGAATGTCGTTTGACGCGAGAGAAGAGAGAGAGGAGGGACGCACGCAAAGATGTCGGGCAGGACGCGCTTCTTCATGGACTCGTCACCAAAGTTAAGGACCGGCGGCAGGCCGATGACCATGCCCGCTTGACAACCCGCCTGCCACCCGGGCGCACCGACTCGGACGAGCTCCTGGATGACGACGAGCTCGTGCTGCGGACGAAAAGAGGCGTCAGGTCGGCTCGAGGACGACGGATCGGACGAGCAGGGACGCACGAAATAGTCAAAGTCCTCGCCCTTGACACCTCCAGGGAGCGTCTTGCCCGCGAGGTGCTTGCCCGGGCCCATGCGCATGGCGTGCAGGTCCCACTCGGGCTGGCCCATCTTCTGGACGAGGTCGGCGGTCGGGCGGTCGCCGCTGAGCTCGCCCGCGCGCGCCTCGGCCTTGACCTCGTCGTCGAAGAACTTGCGCATCGAGCGCTGCAGGGCGCGGTGCGACTCGCCGTAGTAGGGCGAGCGGAACTTGGGGTTGAGCCAGTCGGGCTCGGCGTGCGGGACGGGGCTGAGCTCGCCGGCGGCGAGGATCGGGTAGGGTGCGGGTGCGGTCGTGTCGAGGCGGCCGATCTTGAGGCGGGTGTACTTGGCGAGGACCTCGGAGCGGTGCAGCGAGAAGAAGGCGGTCGAGGCGTCCTGGCCGGCGATGTCGGCGGCGAGGAGGACGCCTGCGCCGCCTGGGTGCATGTCGGCGAACGAGCTCAGGTCGTACACGTCGTTGTTGACGACGAGCCAGAGGTCGCCCTCCTTGTTGTGCTGTCGACGAGTGCGAGGTTCAGTGGCTGCGGGGACGAGAGGGAGGGAGGGGAGAGAGGGGCGCACCTGGTTGACCTGCTCGAGGGTGTAGACCTTTGCGGACGCCATGGTGCGAGCGAGCGAGAGACTGTGCGTGTGCAGCGGGGAGCAAGGAGAAGGAGGAAGCGACGAGGTGGAGAACCGGCACGCGAGGGAAGCCGGGCGGAGAAAGGGGAGCACACACGCCGCCGGCAGCACCAGCGCGGCAGAGCCAGTGGCTGTGCGCCACTCAGCGGACGCTGCTGCACGTCGCAAGCATCGCACACAGCCCGTAGTGCGCGAGCAGGTGGTCGGTCGAGAGCAAAGCGGCGGCCGATCTCATCTGCTCCCTCCTCTCCCTCGTCCAACCTCACCCGCACCTCCCGCTCGATCCAGTCACCATGCCGCGCACTGCAGGCACCGCCGCCACCAAGAAGAAGGTCGCCAAGAAGGAGCCGACGCCCGAGCCCGAGGAGTGTGCGTCCACCTCCCGCCTCTCCCCTCTCGCGTCCCCACCTCGCCAAACAAACCCGACCTGACCATGGACCGCGCGCACTCGCAGACGTCATGAGCAAGATCCTCGCTCACAAGCGCAAGGTGCGCACCCACGCGTCCCCCTCGTCGTCCCTGCCCCCTTGCGAGATCAACTGTTGACCCTTGGCTCCCTCCTCTCTCTGAACAGGGCGCCAACCTCAAGTACCAGGTCGAGTGGCTCGGCTACGAGGACGACGAGCCCACGTGGGAGCCGGAGCACAACGTCGGGTGCGTCCCCTTGCCCCTCTCTCGCCTCTCTCTCTCGCGCGCGCTGACCCGTGTTTGTCCATTCCCTTCCCCCCTTCTCCTCCCCCTGCAGCGAGGGCCCAGTCGTCGAGAAGTACTGGAAGACGTGCAAGACCCCGCTGGACCGGTACGCGCCGGGCAGCAAGGCGTACCGCGCAGCAAAGGCGGCCCAGGCGAGCGCGTCGCCGCCCAAGCCCAAGACCAAGAAGCGTGCCTCGGCCGGCTCGGACGACGACGACGTGGCCGCCGCCGACGAGGCCGAGAAGCCCAAGAAGCGAGGGCGTCGGAGCACCGACGGCGGCGCGGCGGCGGACGCGGCGGGCAAGAAGAAGAAGGTGGTGGACGAGAGCCCGGTCGTCGAGGACGAGGAGGAGGAGCAGGACGGCCTGCTGTCCGACGGCGAGGTCGACTTGCCCGAGGACGAGCGTCTGGTGTGCTTCGACTGGGAGGAGAAGTACGGCGCCCTGGACAGCTGGGAGGTGCGCCCCACTCTCTCCCCCTCTGTTCCCCCCTCGGTCCTTTCCCGTCGCCCTCGACTGACGCTTCGGCATTCTCTCGGCCCCACAGACCGAGGTCAAGGAGATCGAGACGATGGAGCAGGACGAGCGCGACCACTCGCTGCGCGTGTGCGTCGTCTGGCAGGCCGACGACAGCGTGTCGTGGCTCGACTCGGCCGTCGTGCGCCAAAAGGCGCCGCAGAAGCTCCTCGACTTCTTCGTCGGGCACCTCAAGTGGAAGAAGCCGGCGGGCGACGACGACGACGCATCGGTCGAGGGCGACGACGAGTGACGGGTCGTGTGTACGCGCGAGCGGCGGCTCGTGTCGAGCGGGAGCTTCTCGAGACCTGTTGTTTCGTCGGATCCGGTTCTCGCGACTGGAATGTGCCCATCTCGTTCTCTTCTCGTCTCGGTGCGTCTCGTCGAGCCGGTAGCGCCCGGACGTCGCGACTGGCCTTTCGAGCGCTGTGCTTCGACCCTCTCTCGCTCGCTTTCTTCTCGTTCTCGCTCCCCCTGCGTCCTGTCGTCGCAGCTGCAACGCGCGCAAGCGGCGCAAATGTACCCGTGGCTATCTAGCCGCTCGCTCTCGTGCGCGGGCCTCCCACGAAGAGAACTGCGAGCGCGCGAAGAGTTCGAGCCAAGTCGGGGTACGAATGCGGGGGCAGGCGCTAAGTTGGGTCGCCCTCGAAGCGATTGGGGCGGAGCTTTGGTCGCCTGATCTCCGCTTCGGCATGTGCCTCGCTTTTTCTGAGAGACGCTGCCTCGTCTCGAGCGCTTTCCTCCCCCACCGCCTCGCGATTGACTGTGCCCTCGCCTCTCGCTGCACGCACAGCTGCACACGCCCAAGCAGCACCATCGCCTCAGCCTGCTCAAGCGCTCGTCGTCATGCCCGTCACCAAGCGCGACCTCGCAGGGCCGTCTACCTCTCGGCCGGAGAGCGTGCGCTCGCTCGCCGCCGTCTCGCCGCCCAAGGCCGGCACGTCGGTCGAGCAGGAGAAGCACTTCAGCCACGGCCAGATCAACGAGGTGACCAAGCAGGAGCAGAACCAGTGCGTCCCACGCTCGCCCTCACTTCCCTCGCCCTCCCTCGACATCAGCTGACCCTCGCGCGCACTCGCAGTGGACAGCTCAAGAACTTCTCGATGCTCTCCCTTATCGGTCTGGCGTATTGCATCCTGTGCGTTCTTCCAACTTTCGTGCGCTGTGCGGGCGGCGAGCGCGCAGTCTGTGGGCGAACGACGAACTGACCTCGTCCTCCCTGCAGGAACTCCTGGACCGCCATGGCGGCGTCCCTCAGCGTCGTGCTGCCTTCTGGAGGGCCTGTGGCCATGTACGTTTCGGTCTCACCAACGCTCGAGCCTTTCGGACGTACTGACCCTCGTCCTTTCCTCCCTCGACCCTCGTCCCTCCCTCTCTCGTTCCTCGCTCCTGCAGGCTCTGGGGCCTCGTCATTGCGGCTATCGGCAACCTCGCGACGGCGGCATCTTTGTCAGAGATCGTGCACGTCTTTCCTACGTCCGGCGGTGAGTCGACCCGCCTTTCCCTTCCCAACTTCCGCTCGTCGAACTGACACCTCGAGCCCCTCGCAGGCCCGTACCACTTTGCCGCCATTCTTTCTCCGCCTGAATGGGCGCCGCTCGTCTCGTGGATCTGCGGCTGGCTCGCGACGGCCGGCTGGGTCGCGCTTACGGCGACGACGGGCTCGCTCGCCGGCGCTCTCGTCCTCGGCGCGTACTCGCTCGCCCACCCCGGGTTCGAGGAGCAGCCCTACCAGACGTTCATCATCTTTACCGGCTTCATCGTGCGTGGCAGCCCCCTCTTTCCTCCACGCCCAGCTCGACGAGTCCTGACATCCTCATATTCCCCTCGCCTATCCCGTTCATCCTCCCCAGCTCATCGCCCTCGCCATCAACCTGTTCGCCAGCCGCATCTTGCCGCTCGTCAACTCGTCGGCCATCATCTGGTCGCTCGCGGGCGCGGCCACCATCATCGTCGTCTGCCTCGCCTGCTCGAGCGGCGAGTACCAGTCGGGCGACTACGTCTTCCGCACTTTTCAAAACGAGACGGGCTTCCCGGGCGGCGTGGCCTTCATCCTCGGGCTGCTGCAGCCGAGCTTCGGGTCCGTCGAGCCTCCCTTCTCCCCTCTCGCCCGTTAACGACGCACATACTGACACTGCCCTCCTCCTCGCAGATTGATCGGCATCGACGCTCTCTCGCACATGGTCGAGGAGATCCCGCAGCCGCACATCAACGTTCCTCGCGCCATGATCCTCGCCGTCCTCATCGGAGCTTCGTCGTCTTGGGTCCTCCTCATGGTCCTCCTCTTTGTGCGTCCCTATTTCTCCTTCTCGTCCAGCCCTCGGCGGAAGGCCATGAGGCTCTGCGAGGTCGCAGACGTTGACCTTTCCAACCTGCAGGTCACGCGCGACCCGGCCGCCGTCATTACTTCTACTGCGGGCTCGCTCCTCGAGACGATGTACCAGGCGACGGGCAGCGTCGCAGGCGCCATCTGTCTCCAAGTCTTCCCGATCATCAGCATGGAGGTGAGCCGCCATCTGTCCCCTGTCCTGCCGCACCCGACCTGACCAGGACCGCCTCTCTCGCAACAGTTCGCGGCGCAGGGCATCATGTGCGCCTCGTCGCGCAACCTGCACGCCTTTGCTCGCGACCGTGGCCTGCCCTTCTCGACGTTCTTCTCCAAGCTCAACCCGCGCACCGGCGTGCCCGACCGCGCCGTCATAATCACCGCAATTCTCACAATCGTGTTTGCCCTAATCTATTTGGGATCGTCCGCGGCTTTCAACGCCATCCTCTCGTCGTCGGTCGTCTTCCTCAACTTGTCGTACTCGGTGCCGATCGGTGCGTCCTTGTTCCTCCTCTGCCTCGTCGCCGTGCACGAGCCCCTCGCACCCCTCATCCTCATCGTCCGACTAACCTCGCCCGTCGCCCACAGCCCTCCTCCTCATCCGCGGCCGTCACCTCCTGCGCCCCGAGTCGTTCCCGTCGCCGACCTGGACGCTCGGCCCAATCCTCGGGCCCATCTGCAACGCCCTCTCGCTCGTCTTTACCCTCGTCACGACCGTCTTTTTCCTGTTCCCGCCCGTCAACCACCCGACGGCCGAGGAGATGAACTACGCCGTCGCCGTTGTCGGCCTCGTCGCCATCGTGTCGGTCATCACGTGGTTTGTCCAGGGTCGCAAGTCTTTCGTCGGCCCGCGCGACCTCGGCGGCTTGCTCGAGCTCGCGCGCGCAGAGGTCAACCGCGACGATGAGCGCGCAGCGGCGGCGTCGTCATCGAGGCCGGCGAGCAGGCGCGGCGGCGCGTCGTCGTCGTCGCGCTCGAGGTCGAGGGCGCGCAAGGACGAGACGGTCCAGGAGGTCGCTTAAGGCTTGAGAGGCGGACGGCCGGCACGAGGTCGGGTAGAGACAGTTATCGCATCCACATGAGTAGCATAGACGGCATTGCAGTATCAGAGAACGCGTCCTTTCCAGCTTCCTCGAGGCGGCTTGAGAAGGTCGAGGTCCGAGAGCTCGAGCTGCAGGAGCTCTCTCCTCTCTCTCTCGTTCTCTCTGCTCGAGTGTGCGTCGATCTCACTGCTCGGGACCGACTCGCCGAATCAGAGCTCTCGCAAGGTCCGAAAGAGAGAGTAAGATCTATTGCAAGTTGACGAAGGCTCCTCCATCAACGAGGACCGACGCGCCCGTCACTGCGCGAGGAGGGGTGTGAGCTGTCGACGTGCAGGGACGAGGACGAGGGGCGGAGGACGAGGGGCGGAGGACGAGGGACGCACCGTACTGCGCCATGTCGCTCAACAGGAAGACGGTAGGGCCGCTCAGGTCATCCGGTCGCCCGAGGCGGCCGAGCGGGATGCGGCCCTCCATGTAGGCGCGTTTGTCCTTGTCGGCGAGGTCGTTGGCGTTGATGGGCGTCTCGATCGTGCCTGTCGGACGAGGCGTCAGGGGCCTGTGCGCGTGCGCGTGCGAGGATGAGGGAGCGGGCGCACCTGGGAGGACAGAATTGCCTGCGCGCGCCGTCGGGCAAGGTCGTCAGGTCGTGCTCGAGACTGGAGGAGCGAGAAAGGGAGAGCTGCGTGACGCACAGCGGATCTTGTACGGGCTGAGCGAGATGGCGCAGCTCTCCATGAGCGACTTGACGCCGGCCTTTGTCGGCGTGTAGTGCCTGCGGGTCGGGTGGTCGTCGTCAGGACGGGGCTCGAACGGACACGGACGAGGAAGGGAGAGAGGGGGACGCACGCCTGCTGGCCGCCGCCGACGAGCGCCGAGATGCTCGACACGGCGACGATTGCGCCGCCCTGGGGCTCCTGGGCGCGCATCTGCCTCGCGGCGGCCTGGACGACGTAAAAAGCGCCGTCGAGGTTGATGCTGCGGGTCGAGCGCCACACGTCGTGCGGGATGTCGAGGAACGAGAAGAAGGGGCACACGCCCGCGTTGCTCACGAGGCCGTCGAGGCGGCCGTACGCTGCGACGGTCGCGTCGACGATGGCGTCGGCGGTCTTTGGGTCGCTGATGTCGCCCGAGACCTCGATCGCGGCTGGTGGGCCGGCGTGCGGTGCTGGTCCTGCAGCGCGCTGGCGGAGGTCGTCGAGCTCGCGGACGAGGTGGCGCGCGTCGCGGGTGGTCGAGTCGGTGCCGAGGTGGTGCACGACGACGTTGGCGCCAGCTTGAGCGCAGCCGAGGGCGATGCCGCGGCCGATGCCCTGGCTTGCGCCCGTGATGGCGACGACGCGGTTCCGGAGGAGGTTGGAGGCGGCGAGGGCCATGGCGGGCTCAGAGGGGGCGGGTCGGGGTCGGCGAGGGGAGGTCGAGTGAGGGTAGGAGCGCGAGCATGAGCAGTGCTGGACAGGGTTGCGAGCAGTAGCTGTGGGGGGAGGAGGGAGGGGAACCACAACCGGCCGGGCTTCGGGCCGCGGCGCGTCTTCATCGCGAGCGGCCGACGTTCAGCGCCTCCCTCTCACTCGACACAGCTTGCAGTACACTCGCACAGCAGCGCCACCACCACCACCGGCCACCCGTGCCCCTCGCTCCTCGACCCGGCCCACGAGCGCTCCTCCCACCGCCCCGCTCCCGTCCGCGCTCTCTCGCCCGACCGCCTGCAGCTGCTGCACCGCCATCACCTGCACCGCGCTGCCTCCTCGACACCATGCCGCCAGACCGCACCGCCTCGGCCAGTGTCGAGCCGCCTGCTCCCGCCGGTGCCGGTGAACGCCCGCTCTCGACGAGGTGCGTGCTCCCTCTCCCTCTCTCTCTCTCCCCGCCTCTCCTCGCAACACCTCGGCTTACCCTCCCTTTCCTGCCCTCACAGCTGCACCAACTGTCGCTCGCGCAAGGTCAAGTGCGACAGCGGGCGCCCCTGCAACAACTGCACCGCGCAGGGCACCACCGACTCGTGCACTTACCGGTCCGTCCCCTCGTCTCTTTATGGCTCCAGGGCACACACTCACCCTCTCTGTGCGCTCGCAGACCTCGACAAAAGCCGGGCCTCAAGGCGGGCATCTCGAACGAGCTCCTCGACCGCTTCTCCAACCTCGAGGCCGAGGTTCAGCAGCTGCGCGAGCACGGCATCAGCGGCGTCAACCCGGGCTTCCTCTCGAGATTCGAGTGCGCCCTCTGTTCCCCTCCAACGCGACGGGCAGAAGCCGTCCTGACCGTGTCGCTCCTCGCAGTTCGCTCGAGCAGGCCGTCGCGCAGATCGGCGACCACCCGAGCGGGCGCCCAGATCTGGGCGAGTCGGTCCTGTCGCGAGTCAGGTGCGTCCTGCACTGCAACCTTTCCTCTCGGGGGAGCGATACTCACGCCCACTGCCCCGCAGCGGGCTCGAACACATCATCACCATGCTCTCGAGCCGACTCGCCGACCTCGAAACCCGTCCTTCCACCCTCTCTGCTTCTGCATCTGGTTCGACACCCTCTTCTGCATCTACGGCGACGAGCTTTCGCCCGCCAACGTTCGGCTACCCGCACGACAGCGCGCGGTCGCCGCGCCTTCCTCAACCACCTCCACCACCGCCACCAGATCTCGACCTGCCGCCGCCCGACCTCCTCCATAACCTGTACGCCCACCATCCTCGACGTCACCTCTCTCGAGTCACCTTTCTGATGGCGCTCTCGACCCGCAGGATCGAGGCCTACTTCTCGGACGTCGCGCCGTACGCGCCAATACTGCAGCGCCAGGACCTCCAGCCGACCCAGCTGCCCGACGGCTTGCTTCAGTGGCCCATCACCATCTACGGCGTCATCGTCTCGACCTTGCGAGTGCGCCCCGAGCTCCTGCTCCTCTCTCGTCGCCGCGAGCGCGAGATTCCTGACCCAGTCGCTTTCGAAACAGTTCTCGTTCGACGCGCAGTGGAGCCGGCTGCCGCCCAAGGACCAGTACCGAGATCGAGCGCGCAACAGGGTCATCCTCTACAGCTGCACGACGACGTCGCTCGCGTCGCTGCAGGCGCTCGCGCTCGTCGCGCTCGACGACATCGTGTGCAAGGCGTCGCCACGTGGGTGGGGCGCCCTCGCCATGCTCACTCGCTCAGGTGCGCTCCCTCTTTCTCTCCAATCTCTGGAGGACGATACATCAGAGCGACGCGCTCATGCCGTTCTTCCCTCTCGCAGCAAGCCACATGCTCCTGTTCGAGGAGGAGGCCAATTCGCACCACGCCGGCGCGAGCGTCTCGCCCCTGCAGATCCTCGGCGCGCCGTCGTCGTTTGCCGAGGAGGAGAGCCGGCGGCGGCTGTTCTGGGCCATCTACCTCCTCGACCGGTTCTCGGCCTCGGCGACCGGCTGGGAGTGCGTCGAGACGGTCCTCCTCTCCTCTCCTTTCCTTCTCCTCTCTCGAGAAGCCTGCGACTGACTCCTCGGCCCGCACGCAGCTTCGCTTTCCCTGATCAGCATATCACGCGCAAGCTGCCGGCGCCTGTCGAGGCTTGGGACCCGGCGATGGTGCGTCCTCGTCCTCCTCCTTCCCTCCTTCCTCCTTCTTCCCTCTTCCCTCCTCCCTCCTCCTGCCCGGGATGAACCTCATTCGTGCCTCCCGTGTCGTCGCAGGAGCCGACAACTGCGCCCGTCTTCCGCTCGCCCTGCGCGCACCCGTCGGCGTTCGCCTCGCCGACCTACGACGCCTCGTCGATCGACGTCGGCTACACGGCGCTCGTCGAGGTGTTTGACCTGCTCGGCAATGTGCACCAGCTCCACCGGTCCAAGCTCGAGGACGTGCAGCAGTTTGTGCACGAGACCGAGGGCCTCGAGATGCGCCTCCAGCGGTGGTACCGGTCGTTGCCGCACGAGGTCATGGCGGCCCAGACCGACAGCCCGTTCATCCTCGTGCGCGCCTTGTACTGGGCGACGATGATCAAGCTCTTGTCGCTCGTGCGTCCCTCTCTCTCTTCTCTCTCTCTCTCTCTCTCCCTCTCTCTTTCTCTCTCTCTCGACGCATGAGCAAGGGCCTGACCACGCGCGCACACACAGATCGCCTACCCGCTCTTCCGCAACCTCACGCCCGACCCTCAAGCGGCCGACAACGCCCACTCGGCGTCGCTCGCCATCGCCGCCCTGACCAAGATCATCCCGATCCGGTCGCCCTACTTTGCCTGGGCATGCTTCGTCGCCGCGCGCATGCTCGTCCTGCGCGCGCACCGCCGTCACGAGCCCGTCGACCCGGCCATCCACGAGCTCGGGCAGGCGTTCAGGGGCGCGAGCGCGAGCTGCAACCTCGCTCGTGCGTCCCTCTCTCTTTCTCTCTCTCTTTCTCTCTCCCTCTCGTTCCCGAGCACGCCTGACGCTCGAGAACCCCGCAGGTCGGTACCTCCACCTCATCTCGCGCGCGCTGCAGCGCCTCAACTCGCTCGACGGGACGCTCGGCGGCGCAGCGGCCCTCGTCGACCTGCACCACACTTCTTTCTCGGCTGAGTCGGCGCTCCTGCCCTCGGGCGCCGTCACGCCCGTCGCCGCAGGCGGGCAGTACAACCTCGGCGCCGAGCTGGGACGGCTGCCGGGCGAGGGCGCGGCGACGTGGGTCGTTGGCGGCGGCGGGGCGGCAGCCGGGGCAGGAGCGGGCGACGTGCAGCAGGGCTCAGGGGTCGCGACGGGCGAGGCGGCGGCGTCGGGCGACGCCGAGATGCACATGTGGCTCGACAGCAACCTGCTCGGGCACGGGTTCGAGGGCTGGTTCGATTTGCCGATCCTCACGTCGCCGGCGAGTACCGGCGTCGCGTCTGGACCGTAGCGCCGAGCATGTGTAACGCGACGGGTTCGACGTCTCGAGCCTGCAGTGAGAGCGAGAGAGGGTGCTGTGCGTCAAGGGCTCCATACGTCCGACGCTCTCGCATGCTCTGAGCCTCGCTCGACGCGAGGGCTCGTGCGCACCTGAGCGCTTTCGCCCGCCTCTCGCTCGTCTCGCTCCTCTTCCTCGTTCCCCTAGTCTACTCCCGTATCTCTGTCGAAGCTCGTGCCGCGACAGCGCAACTCTCAAGGCGAAACGAAAGACGCGCTGTACAGGCTTTTGCATTCTAAAGGTCAGGTGCAAGGGCGCGCGTGCTCGCCGACGACGGCGCACAGCTGCGTGACATTCTACGAAGGGGAGAAAGCGAGAGAGGAATGAGACGAGTTGAGAGAGGGCCCGAACGCTCAGAGACGAGAGCGCGCTAGTAGAGGAACGAGCGCATCGGCTCCTCGAACGCCTCGCGGATCTCGGTCGCGTTCTTGCCGAGCGCGAGGAGGATCTGTACGTGACGAGAGACGAGCGTGAGGACCAAGTCTCGACGACGAGAGAGGAGGAGAGGAAGAGAGGAAGCACCTGGAGGAGGCGGCGAGACTTGACCGGGTTCAGGAGCGCCGACGAGATGTAGCTGCCCGCCGCCGGATCCTCGTCCGGGGCGACAACGCCGTTGTTGATCTTGGTCGATGCGACGACGGGGATGCCCTGGCTCATGACGTAGGCAAGGTTCTGCTTCGCCCACGGCGAGATGCCGCCCGCGCCGGTGCCTGCGAGGAAAGGGTGGCCGAGAGCGCGAGGAGAGGAAAGACAACGAGGGGAAAGCGAACACGAGTAGTGGTGCGCAGGAGGGAAGGTGACGAGAGGGCGAAGAATGAACGAGGGAAGGGAGGAGGCAAGGCAACTTGGGAAGGTCAGTGTCGTGCTCGAGTCGCTGTCGCCGACGTCAAACGCGTACAGCTCGACGTCGGCCGACGACGACGAGCTCGAAAGTTTGACGTGGGACGCACCTGCACCGATGAAGCCCTTGGCGCCGTTGGCGACCGACGCGTTGACGCCGTCGAACGTGGCCATCTGGTGCGAGTACAGGACATCGACGCGAGGCAGCGAGGTGACGTTCGACAGGTCGTACACGGTCTTGAACGTGGGCTGCGACGGCGGATAGTAGAAGAACGGCTTGGTCGAGAGGAGTCCGCCGACAAAGCCCTGCTCGTACGCCTTGAACGTGTCGAGCGCGTTGGCGTTGGTCTTGGCGCAGTAGAGGGCCTGGGTCATTGAGAACGTGAAGAGTCAGTCGGGTGCGTGGGACTCGAGCCACGCTCACGAGGAAGGGAGGTCTCGAGGAAGGCAGCTCTCGAGGAAGAAAGAGAGGGTCGTGCGCACCTGGCAGATCCGGTCGTTCAGGACGACGAGGACGCCCCGGCCGTGCGACGCGGGCGATACAGCCGTCGTGACGGCCTCGAGGAGGTTGCTCTGCAGGAAAGTCGCCCGGTGAGCGTCGTCCTCTCGCCGAGAGAGGGTCAGGACGCACCGGACCGTCGGCCGAGATGGCGGTCGCCGGGCGCATGGCGCCGACGACGACGACCGTCTTGTCGCACATGAGCGTCGCGTCGAGCGTGTAGGCCGTCTCCTCGAGCGTGTCGGTGCCGTGCGTGACGACGACCGCGTCGTACTCGGGGTCGGATCCACAGAGCGCCTTGTTGGCGAGCTTGGAGATGAGGAGGACGATGTCGTCCGTGATCGAGCCCGAGTCGACGTTGCTGACCTGCATGCCGTCGATGTTGCTCACGCTGCGAGAGGAGGAGGGGCGAGGGGAGGAGGGCAGAGGGTCAGCTCGCGCTCGAAGCGACCTCTCTCCTCGGTCTGCCCTCAAGCCCCCCTGAGCACGCTCTCACGAGGAGCACCGTCAAGCGAACGAGAGCGGGACGCACTTGAGGAGCTGCGGCACGGCATCGACGAGCGCAGCGACGCCGATGGAACCCGCGCGATAGTTGGTCGAATCGGTCGCAGACGCACTCGAACCAGCTATAGTCCCGCCCGTCGCCATGATGAGGGTGCGCGGCAGGCCGTCCGTGTGGTTGCTCGAGAAGGTGATGTTGAAGTCGGGAGAGCCGTCGACCTTGCGCTCGACGAGCTGCTGGACCTGTTGCGGAAGGGGGTATCGCAGGTGAGTGCGACGGCCTCGACGCGTGCAAGGGCTGCTTGACGGCGACGACCGACCGGTCTGGCGAGGCAGAGAGAGAAGGACGCACGGCGACGAGAGGAGCCGCAGCGGCGGATCCGAGGAGGGACGCCGCGACGGTGACAGCGAGGGAGACCTTGACGAGCATCGCAGGGTCGCCAACAGGAGGGGAAGAGGGTCTGGGCGAGGTAGCGAGCGAAGAAAGCGAAGAGGAAGAGCCAGGGCAGGCTCGAAAGCGCGAAGAAGGCCTTATCTCGAGCGCGGCCAGCGGTTCGACGAGGGCGAGGGCGGAACGAGCGGGTCCGACGGCTGCAGCCCTTGGCGCGATCGCAGGGCGGCAACTGTGCAGCGCGGGGCTGAGCCACGAGGCCTGGGGTGGGTAGCGACCTCGGCACGCAAGAGTCGGCCGAGGCGAAGCGGGTCGCAGTCGCCCGCCCGCTAGCCATGCGGCGACGAGGAGGACCAGCATGGCGCGCAGGAGCAGATGCGACCAAGAAGCAAGCAGCAAGAGCGCGATGTCGAGAGGAGCGAGTGGAAGCGGAGCAAAGGGGAGAGAGCCAACTTGGTCGAATCGCCGTCGGCAGTGGCACCGCGAGGAGGACCTCGTTCCACCTCGACCCACCACTCGCCTGCTCGCGGTCGAGCACGACAGCCCTACTCGCAGCACCCCCCGACAGCCTGCGCACCGCAACCACCCGCCCGTCCAACTCGCTCCCCTCCACGCGGGTCCTCCCCCACATCGCCCACTCGACCCTCGTCCACCTCTCCTGCGACCATGGCCCCCTCGAGCAACCTGACCGACGGCCACACCATCACGCCCAAGGACATCCTCTCGCTCCCGCGACCCGGCGCCGCCATCCCCAACCCGGGAGCGACCCTCGCCCTCTGGCCCTCGTCCACCTTCGACTTTGCCGCCGCCGACGGCAAGGGCCGCACCGAGCGCGCCGTCCACGTCGTCGACCTCGCCCCGGGCAAGAACCTCGACGGCGCCGCACCCGACCCGGACGACTTTAGCTCGACCGCCGACCCTCGCCTCCTCCTGTCCGGCCTCGCGTCGCTCGAGATCGCCTGGCTCGACCACCGCACCGTCGCCTTCCTCCGCCCTGTCGTCCCCGAGGGCGAGGTCGTGGCCAAGAGCGAGAGCGGCGCCAGGGTCGACCACCCGGCGGGCCAGAGCGACGAGGAGTTCAAGAAGCAGCAGCAGGCCTGGGCGGCCAAGGACGGCGGCGAGGGCACCGAGGTGTGGGCCAAGGACGTCCGTGGAGGCGACGAGTACCTCGTCGGCACGCTCCCCGTCTCGTGCGTCTCGAACTCGCTTCCTCCTCGTTCGCGGACGGCGACTGACTCTCTCCTCTCCCGACAGCGTCTCGGACCTCACGATTCGCCACCACCCGTCGTCGTCCAAGCACTCGGCCGACGAGGCCTACCTCGCCTTCAGCGCCTCGGTCTACCCGGACGGCGACGTGTACGCCGTCAAGAAGCACGACGACGAGCAGGAGCGCAAGGCGGCCGGGTCCGACATCAAGGTCTACGACGAGCTCCTCGTCCGCCACTGGGACGAGTGGACGCCGACCGCCGGCCAGAAGAAGCAGGTTAACTACGTCCGCCTCGTGCGCGCCCAGGACGCCCCGTCAACCGCCGCCGAGACCGACTCGGACGCGTCGCTCGAGGACTTTGAGCTCGTCGACAAGCCCGAGAACGGCATCGCCGCCCGGTGGAAGCTCATGGACGACAACGAGCACGGCGAGGCGAGCGCGTCGTCGTCGTCGGGCCCTAAGATCTACAGCCCGCTCGCCGGCACCAAGCTCGAGTGCCCCGTCGGCCCGTTCGGCGGCGCGTCCGACTTCTCGTTCTCGGCAACGCACCTCCTCTTCCACGCCAAGGATCCGCACGTCAACCCGGCGTGGCACACGCGCACCCAGGTGTACCTCGTGCCGCTCGACCCGCGCTCGGGCGCCGACGCCAAGCCGCGCGCCATCACGGTCGGCACCCAGGGCGCCTGCTCGTCGCCTGTCCTGTCGCCCGACGGCAAGCGCGCCGCGTGGCTCGAGATGCGCGAGGACGGCTACGAGGCCGACCGCAACCGCGTCGTCGTGTACGAGATCGAGTCGAGCTCGAGGTGGGGCGCGACCGAGGAGTGGGACCGCTCGCCGAGCAGCATCGTGTGGGCGCCGAGCGGCGACAAGCTGTTCCTCACGTGCGAGGACCAGGCGCACGTCAAGGTGTTCCAGCTCGACGTTCCCGTCTCGACCGGCGGCGACGACAAGGCGACGAGCAAGAAGGCCGAGCCTGTCGCGCTCACGAACGCGCACACGGCGTCGGCGGTCCACCCTCTCGCCGACAACGCCCTCCTCCTGACGTGGAACAGCCTGTCGGGCCCGAACCAGCTGTCGCTCGTCGGCGTCAAGGCGCCGCACGGCGACGACCCCAAGCCGCACGTCGCGCTCACGCCGCTCGCGTCGCTCACCAAGGACCTCAAGCAGCGCAAGGCGCTCTCTCCCGGCGAGGAGTTCTGGTTCGCCGGCGACAAGGGCGTCCAGGTCCACGGCTGGATCTCGTTCCCGCCCGAGGCCGCCAAGGTCCGCCTCGCGCGCAAGAACGGCGAGACCGTCGCCGACGAGCTCAAGGGCAAGAAGTGGCCCGTCGTGAGCCTGTTCCACGGCGGCCCGCAGAGCGCGTGGACCGACTCGTGGTCGACCCGGTGGAACCCGAACGCGTGGAACGGCGCCGGCTACAGTGCGTCCCCTCTCGCTCTTCCTCTTTCCTCGTGCGCCTCGTGTCCCTCGAGGACGCCTCACTGACTCTGCCTCTTTCGCCCCGCCCTCAGTCACCGTCGGCATCAACCGCACGGGCTCGACCGGCTTCGGACAGAAGTTCTGCGACGACATCAAGGAGGACTGGGGCGGCGCGCCTTTCCGCGACATCGTCGCCGGCATGCAGTTCGTCAAGGACGCCTACCCCGAGATCGACGCCGAGCGCATGGCCGGGTGCGGCGCGTCGTACGGCGGCTTCATGTCGCTCTTCGTCCAGGGCCACAACGACGTCCTCGGCTTCAAGGCCTTGGTCTGCCACGACGGCGTCTTCAACACGCAGAACACGTACTACACGACCGACGAGCTGTGCGTCGCCGCTCTCCTCGTCCCTCCTCCCTCTCCCAGTCTCTCGACAGCTCGTTGACCTCCTTTTCACGCCCGCAGCTACTTCCCGCAGCGCGAGTTTGGCGGCGCGCCCTGGGAGGTGCCCGAGAACTACGCCCGCTTCAGCCCCCACAACTTCATCAAGCACTGGAAGACGCCGCAGCTCATTATCCGTGCGTCGCCAATCTCTCCTCTCCTTCTCGCCGTCACTTTCCCTCTCTCGCTCCCTCCCTCTCTCCCTCTCGCTCCCTCTCTCTCTCTGGCTCTCTCTTTCTGTCTCCTTCGGTCCCTCAGAGCGTGACTAACATACTCTCACGCACCCGCAGATGGCTCGAAGGACTACCGCCTCGTCGAGGGCGAGGGCCTGTCGGCGTTCAACACCCTGCAGCGCCTCGGCGTCCCGTCTCGCCTGCTCATCTTCCCGTCCGAGAACCATGTGCGCACCCTTGTCTCTCGTCCCGTCGCCTCGCCCCCACCGCGTCCGACACTGACCTCGTTCTCCCCGTCTCGCTCGCAGTGGGTCCTGCGCGCGCAAAACTCGCTCAAGTGGAGCGAGGAGGTCTTCCGGTGGCTCGACGAGTGGTGCGGAGGAGAGCAGGCGGCGAAGTAGACGGCTGGCAGTTCGCGAGGGCGCGAGGGACGGGGAGACGTGTGCAAAGAAGCAGAGTACCGCTCTCGAGCGCACGGACCGCGTCCTCTGTCCGTCTTGCTTGCTGCCTCTCAGCGAGCGAGCTGTCGCGAGCGTACTCGCTGAGGAGAAAGAGCCTGCGCTTGTGCGTGACCGCCGAGAGTCGCTGCGGTGCTTCCCTGCGCCGCCTCGGAAGCGAAGTCCCTCGCCTCCCACTCCTCAGCTCGCTCCTCTGCTCTCGCCCAGATGGACGCGCACTTGCCCGCACCACATTCGCCTATGCGCAAAACACAGTGCGCCCCTGTCCCTGCCGCACCCAGGCCGTCTGCACGAGCCGTGCCGGCCTCCCCCTTGTCATCTCCCCTCGTTCAACCACGACGCCTCGCGCATCACACTGACCCTGGACGCGGCCTACAGCAGCAGCACCGCCCTAAACACGCCCATTGAGCCTCAGCGCACCCCCCTCGCGGCCTCGCAGACCGCCAACATGCTCTCGTCGACGCCGACCTCCACCAAGCCGTCCGCGCCCCTTTCTTCCGCCGCCTCGCCCGCCAGCGACCTCGCGGCACGCCTCGCCAACTGGTCGCTCCACGAGTCGCCCGACGGCAACGCGTCGCCAGACGCGCCCGGGTCGCGCTTCCTCCTCGAGTCGCCGACCCTGCCCCGTCGAGCCCTCGCAGACGGCGCGCACGAGTCGCAGCCGTTCGCGCTCGGCATGGTCCTCGGCGACGAGCGTGGCGAGCGCGTAGCCGTCGCAGAGCGCGGCGCGAGCGAGTCGGACAGCGCCTCCGCCGCGCCGCCCGTTCTCGACGAGCTCGCCCTGTTCGCCATCTCGTCGAGCGTCACCGAGATCCTCATGAGCATCCAGGACCTCAACACGCTCCTGTTCGAGATCCAGGAGCTGCGCCACGCCACGTCGGCCGCGCCGTCGGCGGGTCCGCCGCAGTCGACCGGGTCGTCGCCGGCGAGCGAGGTGGACGCGGCGCTCATGCGGCTCGACGCCAAGATGGACGACGTTCGCAAGGTGCGCTCGACTCTCTCTTTCTCCCCTGCCTCGTACGGGACTGACGAGCGGCTTCCACAGGATTACGCCTTGGTCGAGTCGCAGGTCCAACCGCTCCTCGCCTCGCACGCGCACGACGAGCGCAGCGAGCTCGGCCTCCTGCGGCAGAAGTGGGTCGACGCCGTCGACGAGTGGGACACGGTGCAGAAGGACGCCGATGCGCTCGGCGACGAGCTCAAGGAGGACAAGTGGCTCGTCGTGTTTCGGAGCGTCTCGAGCCAGGCGAGCGACATGATGCGCTCGCTCGACAAGGTCCTCGTCCAGAGCCAGCACTTTGTCGCCGACGTCCACGGTCACGCGCGCCCCTCGTCCTCGTCGAGCGCACCGTCGCCGGGTCGCCTGTCGCGCTCGCCATCTGCGCCCGTCTTCCTCGGCGGCGTGCCCACCTCGCTCGCGCTCGACTCGGTCAAGGCCAAGCACCTCCTGTCGTCGTTCAAGGACCTCCACCAGAGCCTGCGGGCCAAGGTCAAGTACTACGCCCCGGCCACCGAGCGCGTCCTCGCCATCCTCGCCAAGGGCATCTCGGACCGCCGCACCAAGAACGGCGAGGTCCTGCGCCGGTTCGGCGACATGCAGGGCCAGTGGAAGGGCCTGCAGGAGCGCGTCGAGCTCGTCGAGCACGAGATGCAGCGGGTCGAGCGGCTCCTGTCGAGCGCCGCAGCGCCGAGCGCGCGCACGGCCGAGCACGGCAGCACGCTCACGCCGCCGCGCAAGTACGCGACGCCCGGCCGCAGATCGCCGCTGCGTCGCTCGCCGAGCGCGTTCGAGTCGCTCTCGCTCGGCCACCCGCCGTCGGCGACGCCCACGCGCGGCGGCCCGCTCCAGACGTCCGCCTCGTCGCCCACCGTCGCGACTCTCGGCACCGTGTCCTCTCCCGACAACCCTCTCCGTACCTCGACATCATCCTCCCGTCCTACACCGCCGCGCCCGCCAAAGAGCCTCAAGCGCCTCGTCAGCGAGTCGCAGGCGTCGCCGCCCGCCGCGCTCACGCCCCCTCGAGCCCCATTCAGCCTCAGCCACCGCCGCAGCGCCTCGGCCATGTCGCCGTCGTACTCGGGCCTCGGCAGCTCGCTCAGCACGCCGCACGACCCGCGCTCGAGCATGCACGGTCGACGGCCCGTCTCGCCGGCGCCGGACGCCGTCCTCGGCAGCCGCCCGAGGTGGAACGGCTCAGTCAAGCCGCTCGACGAGCGCGAGGTGCTCGCCTTGGCGAGTAAGCCGCGGTCGGGCCGTCTTTCGGCGGCGAGCGCGCGGCGCCCATCATCGCGCGCCTCGCTCACGTCGAGCATGGCGCGCTCGCACGGCGCCGGCGCCGCACGGCCCGTCTCGCCGGCATTCTCGGACGCTTCCTCGTCGGCGTTTCGAGAGCGTCCCGAGACGCCGAGCAAGATCCCGCGCCCGTCGTCGGCCATGCGCCGGCAGAGCGGCGTCTTCGGCCTCGACGACCCGGACGCGTCGACGCTCTTTGGGCGCGCCGTGTCGCCCACGCCGAGCGCGAGTCGGCCGCCGCTCTCGGCGTCGGGCCGCTACTCGCTCAGCCGGTCGATGGGCCCGCCGCCGTCCTCCTCGCGGCGCCTCTCGTCGACGGCGGCAAGCAGCAGGACGCCCTCGTCTCGCCCGACGAGCCCCGCCCTGTCTGCCTCGTCGTCGACGTACTACCGCAGCACGCAGACGCCCGAGCCGAGCCTCATGGCGCACGTGCAGCGTCTCTCGGGCGTGCGCGCGCCGCCGTCCTCCTCGTCTCGCCCGCCGCCGGTACCGCGCGTGCCGTCCAGCTACCGCCAGGAGGTGCAGACGACACCGCGCGCTGCCGTACCAGGTGCGGCGGGTCGGCTTTCAAGGCCGGCGTCGTCGCTCGCCTCGTACCGCCCCGACCGCTCTACGACGCCTCTTCCTCCCGGCGGCGAGCCCGGCGCCTACCGCCCCAACCCTCTCGACCCGCTCGACGCCTCGATCGCCTCGCTCGTCAACTCTCTCCCACTCCTCCTGCACGTCGAGCGCGTCGACCCGCCCTTGTCGCCGTACGCCACCGTCGAGGTCCACTCGGCGCGGTACACGTTCGCCCTGCCCGACACGGCGACGACGGCGACGAGAGACGACAAGCAGGGCAAGGCCGTCATGTGCAAGCTCGTCGATCGAGTCGGGCCCCGAGCGAGGAAGGGCGAGAAGAAGGTGCTCGTGCGGGTCGGCGGTGGGTGGCAGGACCTCGAGGGGTTCGCGCTCGGGCTCCTGGCGAGCAGCGTGTGAGCGTGAGGAGGGCGTGCTGTACTTTGTATCTCTCCAGTTGTTGTCCTCTCCTTTTGCGAATCGAGCTCTTGTCGTTCTCTCCGTCTCTCGCTCGCCGAGGGTCCGAGAGCCGTTCGCCTCGAGCCGAGTTGTGTCGCGTCCACTCGACGCTCGGCCCTCCTTTCCTCGTTCGCGTTGCTCGGTGTCACTTGAGCGCCGTCTCTCTCGTCAGGGCGTCATGCGCGGTCACCCAGCACACTGCTCTCAACGGGCGACCGTGTCGTCCACGTCGACCTCCTCAACTGAGGGCCTCGTGAAACGTTTCGATACTGCCTCTCAGGGCTCGACCGACCTTTCGAGACGTGCACTCGAGCAAGGCGGCCGCTTCGAGAAGATCTGGCGAGAGCGCCTTCACAAAGTTGCGCTTGAGAAGGTTCGGGAGGAAGAGGTCGTCGCTCAGAGCCCAATCTCTGTCGCTCGCTCGGCTCTCGTTCGCACAGAGAGAGAGAGAGAGCATAAATGTCATCGACGATACAAGATAGAGAGGGCACGGCCGAGTACAGTCGTTACGAGAACCGGATCCTCCCTCCTCACGCCTTGATCTGCTTGCGCGGGCTCCTCCTGAGCGGCACCGGCTCGACAACTTCGGCAACGACGACGGGCTCGACGTCCTGCTCGCGCTTGACCTTGCGTGACGTCTTCCTCGGCGACACGCCCTTGCCCGCCTGCGCCTTGGCCGCTCCCTTCCTTCCAACTGCTCGCGCACGGACCCTCGGCGCGTCCTGCCCCTGCGCCGCCGCCGCCTCCTCCTCCTTGCCTCGCTGCACCTCGTAGTACGCCATGGCGAGGAAACCGACCTCCTTGTCGAGCTCGGCGCCGCGACCGGCCCCACCGCGCCCGGCGACGACCTCCTCCCAGAACGCGGCCCAATTGCGCTGCGCCTCGTCGGTGCGTGCCGCGCCGCCGAGCGCGAGGAGCGCGAGAGCCCACAAGCCGTGCGTCGTCGGGTCGTCCGAGATGGTCGAGCGCTCGGCGCGACGAGCGAGGACGGCCTCGCGCTCCTCGAGGAGGAGCGCCGCCGCCGGCACCGACGACGACGACGACGCCGCCTCGACGGCGTGCAGGACGCGCACGAGCTCGTCGTGCGAGTGCTCGCTCACCGCACGCTCGAGGACGACCCGGCGCTCCGCCGAGCCCGGCCGCGTGACGAAGCACCACCCGAGGAACGGCGCCGAGCCGTCGCACGCGCGCTCGCTGGTGCGCAGCGCGTCCCGGTCACGCAGGCCCGTGTGGCGCGTCGCGAGGAGCGCGGCGTAGTGCGCTGCGGCACGCGGCGCGTCGAGCGTCTCGTTGGCGAGCATGGCGAGGCGCGCGTGCGCGGCCGGGTAGTCGGCGCGAAGCGCGACGGCGCGCTCGAGGAGCGTGCGGGCCTCGGCGAGGCGTGCAGGCCCGCCGGAAAGGTGCAGGTACTCGCCGAGGGCGGCGAGCGCCGTGTACGACAGCGGGTCGAGCGCGATCGCGCGCCCGAGGTGCTGCTCGATGACGGCGGCGGCATCTGCCGGCCGAGGCTCGACGCGCAGGACCGCCTTGGCGAGGTACTCGTGCGCGAACGCGAGCTGCTCGTCGCGCTTGAGCGCCGCCCGGAGCGCCGCGACGGCGCCCTCGTAGTCGCCGAGGCGGAACTTGACCCGGCCGAGGCTCGCGCGCGGCGTCGCCCGCCCGCCGTCGAGCCGGATCGCGCGCTCGAACGCGGCGGCGGCGCGCTCAAGCGCCTCGCGGTTGCTGCCGCCGGTGCGCGCGAGGCGGTACAGCGTGCGGCCGAGCCATTCGCTCGCGAGGCCTTTGTCGGCGGGCGCGCACGCGAGCGAGACGATCTCGACGAACGTCGCGGCGGCGTCGGTGAGGCGCGACGACGTGTAGTGCTCGATGCCCATCGGGAGGAGCTCGCGTGCGCGGAGGAGGGCGTCGCCGTTGAGCTCGAGGAGCGGCGAGGTGGCGCGGTCGAACCGGCGAACGGCGACAGGCGACGGCGGCGTCGCCGAGCGCGAGCGGGCGACGCACTCGGGGCGCGCAGCGGCTCGGGCTCGGCGGTGGAGCAGGAGCGGGACCGAGGCCGACGCGCCGACGAGGAGGGTCGCGAGGAGGGCGACGACAGGGAGGGTCACGCTCGAGCCGATCGGGATGGGCGTCGCGAAGTGGCTCACTTGCGCCGTCTCGTTGAGCGGGACGTAGCGGAGCGACCGGGTCGGCTCGAGAGCGACCTCGTGCGAGGCAGGGCGGAACGGCTGCGGCCGGAGCGTGCAGGCGAGGGCGGCGGCGAGCGCGATCGAGAGGAGCTGCCACGGGCGGGCAGACGACGGCGCCGGGCGTGCGGGGTGGTCGAGCCTGCAAAAGAGACGAGTCAGTCAGATTCGCGTGGCGGAGAGAGGAAAAGACGGGACGCACGAGTTGTTGTTCTGGATCTCCTCGGCCGCCTCCTGCGCGCCCTCGAGGACAACCACGTCCTCCTCGACGCCCTCGACGACCGTCTCGCGAGTCCTGACCGTCGTCAACGTCAAGTCCTCGTCAGGCAGGGCCGCCCCGCCGTCGCCGCGCTCGCTCCACGACTCGACGCTGCGGTCCTGCGACAGGGCCGTCCACCCGAGCTGGACGTGGCGCGTCGCCTCGATGATGGACGACAGGGCATCGTCGCTCTCGATCTGTGCGCAGCATGAAGCACGGATCAGTGAGAGCTCGCCTAGGCGAGGATCGAGACCGAGGGCAGTGAACCGAGACGCACCGTTGACGAGCCGTCCCCTCTCGCGAGCCGCATCGTCTCCTCGAGCCAGTGCGAGAAGTCACTCTGGCTGCGTGTGACGCTCTGCGCGAGGAGCGCGTCCTCCTGGCTGTCGGTCAGGGCGCCGTTGGTCGGCGTCGCGTGCCGAGACGAGGGTGGCGACGGCGTGGACGAGGGCGACAGGGCGGGCGCCGAGGCCGAGGGGAAGTGGCCGTCGTCCGACTCGAGCTTGACGTGGGACGCGAGGTCGTCGTGGTCCTCGACGTCGAGCTTGAGCGCCGGCCCGAGGACGCTGGCTGGCTCGTTCGAGCTCGCGGCGAGGAGCGGTTGCTCGGGCTCGGGCGCCGCGAGGTGCGCGCGCTCGCGCTCGCTCGTGGCCTGCTCGAGCGACCTGCGCAGCTCGCTCAGGTGCGTCCAGTCCGTGTCGCCCGACGCGGCGCGCGAGCGAGCGACCGACTCGTCCTCGCTGTGGGGCGCCTCCTCCTCGCTCGCGCGTTCGTCGTCGTCGCCTCGAACGCTGTACGCCTCGTCGAGCGACGGTGCGCCGCTGCGCGCCTCGACCGAGCCGACGAGGGAGCGCGTGGCCTCGCCCGGGGGCTCGGTCGAGCCGGTCGCGCCCGTGCCGGTGGTGCGGGCCGACTTTGGCGAGAAGAGGAGGGCGCTCTCGCGCGCCGTGTCGTCGGCGTGCGACAGGGCGGTGACGAGGGACGAGATCGAGTCGGACTCGGTCGCGGTCGAGGGCGACATGGTTGGCGAGAGGGGATCGCGGCGACGCGGGACGGGGGAGGACGGGTGAGGGCGGTCGTGAAGCGGCGGTGGGTGTAGGGGGAGGTCGTAGAGGGGTCGTCGGTGGTCGTGGCGAGAAGTAAAACGCGGTCGGTGATCGTCGCAGGCGTGCACGGGCGGGTGTGCTCGAGGGTGAGGGCGGGAGGAGGGGCGGGGCGGAACGCTGGAGAGGGTCGCCCGTGGACGGCTGCCGACGAGTGGCAGCAGTGCCCTAGCTGTTGGCTAGCTCAGGGACACGCGCAGCAGTGAGACTCGAGAGTGCCAGCCACCTCGAGCGAGAGAGAGAGGAGGCGGGTCGAGGCGGTGCAGCAGCAGCTCGAGGGGAGGGGCGACGAGCTGGAGCGGTTCCACAGCGAGCGGGTGCCTGTTGCTCTGAGCTCGTGTGCTTCGAGTGGACCAAGGTCAAGACGGAACTGGCGGTGCCGATTTGCTGAGCGGGCGCGAGGCGGGGCCCGCGGAGAAGGCGCGGCCGCCTCGGAGTCGACTGAGTCCACCCTCGCTCGGGCTCACCAAGCACGCCCATACCATGGTCGACTCGCTCCAGCCGCCGCTTGACTCTGCCGCTGCCGCCCCGACCTCGCCCCAGCCCAAGACCGTCTCGTTCGACGAGGTGCCCGCTCCCCCCTCTGCCTCGTCGTCGTCCTCGACCGCACCGGGCCCATCAACCTCGCACGCTCGCCCAGCCAACAAGCGCCGCCGCTCGTCTCTCAAGCAAGGCATCGTCATGCCCTACGTCCCGCCAAAGGAGCTCTACTCGCACCGCGACCCGCTCCTCCGCCGCCTCCGTCTCCGCGACTCGTACGCCAAGCCCGTCGACCTCAACCGCGAGTTCAAGGACGCAAAGGTCGTCCTCTTCTTCTTCGGGTGCGTTCCTTCCCTCGCTTCTCCCTTGTCGAAGCGACCCGGACCTGACCCACACGGCTCTCCGTCGCAGCGCAACTTGGAGGAACAGCTCGCGCGAGCCGTTCGACCTCGTCGGGTCGTTTGCGCGGCGGCACCCTCACCAGCTCAAGGTCGTCTACGTCTCGGTCGACCAGACCGAGCAGGCGTACGAGGCCAACACGCGCAACAAGCCCTGGCTCGCCATGGAGTGTGTCCCGCTCTCCCTCTCCCTCTCCTCGTCGAGCCCTCGCACTGACCTCTCGCCCCGTCGCCACCAGGTGGAACGACGGCTCGACCATGTCGACGCCCGATGAAGCGCCCGACTCGCCCGCGTCTCCCGAAGCGTCGACCCCGCTCGAGCCGTACCTGCTCGCCGGCGACCCGGACCTCGAAGAGGTCGTGCACGAGACGGACCCCGAGGGCTCGCTGTACCTGCGCCCGTTCTCGCGCGTGTACCTCGCCGACAAGTGGACCGTGCTCGGCGTGCCCAACGTCGTCGTGTACCACGTCGAGAGCCAGAAGGTCCTCACGTACCACGCCCGGTTCGACCTCCTCAAGGAGGGCAAGGCCGACTCGACGTGGGACAAGTGGAGCAAGGGCGAGAAGGTCGAGTTTGGCGTCACCGGTGCGTCCCACCTCTCTCTCTCTCTCGCTCTCGGGGCGCAAACTGACCTCGACTACGAGCGCGCGCAGACTTCCTCCACGCCCTGCGGTGGTCGATCGGCCTCGCCGTCGTCGCGTCTGGGTACGCCGTCGCCGTCCGGACAGGCTACATCGACGACGTCATCGGCCACGCGAGCTCAAAGCTCACGCAAAACTTCCTCGCCAACCGGTAGCGCCTCACCTCGCTCGCACCCCCTCCTTCTCTCTCTCTCTCTCTCTCCCTCCTCGTCGCCGTGTTGTGCCATAGACGTGCCCCTATCTCCCTCTTTACTCAGTAGTCGGCTAGAGCTCCTCGAGCGACCCTGCAACGCTTCGTCGTTCTCCCTCTCTCTCTCGCGCCTCTCGAGACTCTCGTGCGCCGGGAACGTGCACGGACGAAAGGGAGAGTCGCACTGCGAGATCGTCGTCTCGACGACGAGAGGAGGAGGGGGACTACACGGCCAAGCGGGCAGAAGGGGAGGGAGGGAAGGAGAGGGAGGTGCGGCTGCAACGGAGGGAGCGGGGTGCACAGACGGTGGAGGGATAACGACATGGGCGACGGCGTGAGGGGGAAACTGCAGGAGAGGGAGAGCGTGGAGAGAGACCCAGAGCTGCTCTAGATGTCCTCCATCGCGCGCGCGAGCTGTGGGCGGACGAGACGAGGGTCAGTCCTCGGCGTACGAGAGCGAGGAGGAAAGGAGGGCGACGCACCTCGTCGAGCTCGGCCTTGCTCTTGTTGTACTTGTCGACGGCGTCCTCGTACTTCTTCTCCCACTGGTCCCGCTCCTGCTCGACACGCGTGATCTGGCGCTCAAAGTGCTCGGCCTTGACGTCCGTCTGGCGCAGCCTGCGGGGTGCGGGCATTGGCGCAGGGTCAGCACATCTGCTGACAGCATCGAGGCGAGAGAGAGAGAGAGGACGCACTTGTCGGTGACCTCCTTGAGCTGCTTCTCGGACCGGTCGAGCTCGCTCTCGAGGAGGTCGACCTTGCGGGTGAGGGCCTCGCTCGCCGAGCGGTGCGTCTCCTCGTCCTCCTTTGCGCCCTTGTGCTCGGTGAGCTTGGCCTCGAGCGAGTCGACGTCGGCCTCGAGCGTCTGGTTCTTGTGCTGCAGCGACGCGATCTCCTGCTCCTTCTGGAGCACGTCGAGCTCGAGCTTCTTGACCTTGTCCTCGGCACTGTGTGTGACCCAGGGTGGCGAGGGTTCAGCTGGCGAGGTTGCGAGAGAGGGGTTTGGTGACGCGACTCGGGCTCGCGTTGGACGAGCGTGGGAAGGGGAGGGGGAGGGGAGCTCACGTCTCTGCGCGGGCGATGGCGGCGTCGGCCTCGGCGCGGAGGGAAGTAAGGCGCTGCAGGCAAGGTGGCAACACGGCCCAGGGTCAGCGCGTCGAGGAACAAGGGGCGGAGAGAGGGGCGAGCGGGGAGGAGGACGAGGGCGGGCTCACCTCGCGGATCTTGTCCTGCACAGGGTGGGACGGGTAGGTCAGTCGGTGCGCCTGATCAGGAGACGCGTGCAGCACGCACCATGGTTGCTGCTAGTCGAGGGCGAGAGGGTGTGGGGAGGGGGAGCGAGGGCGACTCGCCTCGTCGTCGTCGTCCGCTCACGACAACCTTCGCTCGGCTCGCCATGAACCAGGACGCCTTCCGACAGCTGCTCGCCACTCCAGGCGCAGCGGCGAGCTCATCCACGGCAAAGCCCCGAGCCTGGGGCGCTCCCCCTCCCAAGCCCAAAGCCTCATCGTGAGTCGCCTCTCTTCCACCCTCTACACCCCCTTTGGGGACCTGTACTGACGCACGTTGTCTCCACAGTGGACCAGTGGGCAAGGCGACCGACTTTGCGCCGCGCAAGAAGGCGGCGCGTAAGCCGAAGAAGGGGCCCGACGGCGAGCTGTACCGCGATCGGGCCAAGGAGCGCCGACTCGGCAAGGAGGGTGACTTTGCGCAGGCAGAGAAGATGCTCGAGGTGCGCACCTCTCTCTCTCTTGACGGGCGGGCGACGCTGGACGACCTCGAGCCGACCACTGACCTGCTCTCGACCGCGCGCAGGACCTCAAATCTCGCGAGACGTACAGCGAGGAGCAGCTGCAGTACCTCGTACGTCCCTCTCTCTCTCTCCCGTGTCCGTCTTCATGTGCCGGCGGCCGACCCGCTGACCCTCTGCCACGCACGCAGGGCGGCGACGCGCACCACTCGGTCCTCGTCAAAGGTCTCGACCACGCCCTCCTCGCGCGCAAGAAGCACGAGGCCGCGCTCGAGGCCGACGCCGAGCTCGACGACGTCGAGGACGCGCTCGACGAGGCGTTTGACGCGCAGCCGGCCGCGCCGTCGCTGCCGGCGACGGGCGAGGCGCGAGGAGGGTCGTCGGGCGCCCCCGCGGGCAAGGGCAAGAGCCGCAACGAGCTCCTCGCCGAGCTCAAGGCGATGCGCGGCGGCGCAGAAGGCGGTGCGGCAGTGGTGGACGAGGCGGGCAAGGGCCAGCCCGGTCGGTTCAAGCCCATCGGCGCCGACCGCAAGGGCAAGGGCAAGGAGGGTGCGGCGGGCCCGGGCGCAGGGTGGAAGAGCGTCGGCGGGGCAGGAGGTGACGCAGGCGGCGAGAAGAAGCGGCGCAAGAAGAAGAAGGTGGCGCCCGGCGGCGACGACTCGGCGGCGACGGCGTCTGCGGCACCACCAGGGCCGGCCGTCCCTCCTCCACCTCCCCCTCAACCCGCCGCTCCGCCTCCGCCACCTCTCGACGACTTTGACGACGACGCCGACATCTTTGGCGACGTCGGCGAGTACGGCGGGCTCGGCGACGACTCGGACTCGGACGACGAGGCCGGCGCCGCACCTCGACTTCCTCCACCCGCACCGCCCGTCGCCGCCGCCGGCACCGCCGCATCTACAAGCGCCAAGCGCAAGTACTTTGACGACGACGACGCCGACGACCTCGACCTGTCGACCGCGCCAAGCGCCGTCGCCGACCTCGCGGCCAAGCAGGCGGCCGCCGACGCGGCCGCCGCACTCGCCGGCGACGAGGGCGGCGCGAGCGACGGCGACGGCGAGGGCGCGCACAGCGGTGACGACGAGTCGCTGCGCAAGCCGACGAGGCTGCAGGGCCTGTCGAGCTCCAAGGGCCCGAGCGCGCGCGACTTGCTCGAGATGGACAAGGAGGCCGAGGCTGAGGACAAGCGCAAGGCGGTGCGTCTCCCCTCTCTCTCTCTCTGTTTTTCTCCTGCGCAATCTGGGCGCTCGGACTGACCCTCTCGATCGGTCGCGCGCCCTGCAGAAAAAGGCCAAGCGGCGCGAGAAGGCCGACGAGCGCGAGCGCACCATGACGGACGCCGACCGCTCGAATCGCGACTTTCAGGAGATGGATGCCTACCTGAAGAGAAAGGCCGGCGGCGGCAAGGACAAGGACGAGTAGCGCGCGCGCGCGAGCTGTTATCGAGTTCGGTTCGCCGTCCGGATCTGGCTCGAGGCGGGTGAGCGAGGACGTCGAAAGAGAGCGCGCAACCGCCGAGAGACGTAGAGCAGGTCGACTCGAGCTCTGCAGAGCGTCGGTCCGCGTGCAGCGACGCCGAGATACGAGAGGAGAGCGAGACCCGCGAGGAGCCGCCACTGGCTCTCTCTCGCCGAGGGTATCTGGCGCGACGGCGAGGTGCCGCGAGGGCAAGCTCGAGCACTGCGTCAAACCGCACTACTTGCGGTGCAGGAGGACCGGCGCGGCGCCGTCGAGCCTTTGCGAGCGAGCAGGAAGAGCTTGGCAGGAGAACGCACGGACCTGCAGACGCTGGTCTGCGTCGGCGGCTGACGCCCCAGGGTCGTCGTCGTAAAGCACGACGCAGTTGCGTCTCGCGAGCCGCAGCGCTCAAGCTAGAGACGTCGCCCACGACGAGCGAAAGTCGTCGAGCGAGCTGGAGGGGAACGAGCGCGACGAGCGCCATCGGTGCGTCGACGACCGGTCCGGCGAGCACGAGAGGTGCAGGAGCACGTCGAGGAGAGCAGGCGTGCCACACGATGCGTGTGCGAGCCTGAGCACGGTTGTCGCGAGTGAGCGGATGGAGCCGGAGCGGCGGTGCAGGGGTCGAGAGATCGGGCGCAGCGGGTGCGGCGAGAGCGTGCGGCGAGGCAGTTTGAGAGCAAGGGATGTCGACCGTGCAGCAAAGGCGCGTTCGGGACGAGTGCAGCGCGAGGGAGACGAGGACAAGCAGTCGGAGCGACACGGATTGGTCGACGCGCGACCGAGCGGCCGAACCTCGTCCTCGTCGCCCTCTTCTCTCTTTCGTCCTCCCACCCCCCCACCTACCTCACTAGACAACAGTGCGTCGTGCGCCACAGCTCCCACGCACCTTTTGCGGCCCGACTTACCGTTCCACTCCCTCGCGCGCAGTGCCTTACGCTGCCGGTTCGTCGCCTCGCACCTTGCTCGCCTCGACCCTCGTCGATCTCGGCCACGCGGCGTCGTACTGACCTCGCCGCCCCCTCGCCACCCTCACAGGTGACGCTGCCAAGGGCGCCAACCTCTTCAAGACCCGGTACGTCGCCCTCCTCGCCCGCGCCACCTCCCCTTCCGGCGACCGACCTTCGCCCATCCTCGCGCCTCTCTCGAGTTCAGAGACCTGACGGCGCCCCACCTTGCCCTTGTCCCTTACAGCTGCGCCCAGTGCCACACCGTCGAGGCTGGTGGTGGTGCGTCCCCTCTCTCCCCTCTCGCGAGCGTGCGGCGGCTCGTTCGCCGAGCCGCACGCGTCGCCAGTGACGACGTCCAAAAAGCTGACCTCGCCTTTCGATCCACGTCCTCGCAGCCAACAAGGGTCAGTCTGCTCTCTGTGCATCGTGCGGCGCGGCGGGAGTGCGTCGATCGCGCGGCGAGGTGGCGAGTCGGGCGGCGGCGGCGGTGCGGGCGGCAACGTCTCGTCGAAGCGGGCTGCGGCCGCTCTGGGTCTTGCGCGCTCCTGAGCAGGCGTGCAGGGTTGCGCAGAGCAGCTGTCGAGCGCCGGCGGAGCCGGCGTAGCTCGCGGCGGCGGCACCTCATCACCTTCCCTCCCTCATCTCGGCTGACCCTCATCTCCCTCCTGCAGTCGGCCCCAACCTCCACGGCGTTTTCGGCCGCCAGTCGGGCTCGGTCGAGTCGTTCTCGTACACCGAGGCCAACAAGAAGGCCGCCGTCCACTGGTGCGTCGCCGTCGTCCTCCCCGCCCTCCCACGGCCCTGAGGGGCCTTCTAGCGCCCGGGAGCTGACCCAGTTCGCCTTTACAGGGACACGGAGACGATGTTCGATTACCGTCAGCCCTTTATCATCATTTTCGGTACCAGGAGCTCGAACTGACGTCGCCCTCGTCGCCTTTCCGCCCCTCCGTTCCCGTTTCTCCATCTCGCCACCCTCTCGCCGCCCTCCTTCCTCCCTTACCTCATGCAGTCGAGAACCCGAAGAAGTACATCCCGGGCACCAAGATGGCGTTCGCCGGCCTCAAGAAGCCCAAGGACCGCAACGACCTCATCACGTGCGTCGCGACCTTCTCAACTCGACGACGTCCCATCCCGGCGCTCGTCCCGCCCTCAGTTCCTCGTCCTGACCCTCTCCTCTCCCCCCTTGCGCAGCTGGCTCAAGGATGCCACCAAGTAAGGAGCCGACGCGGCCGCCTGCTGTTGTATTTTCGGAGGCGATCAACCCTAGACGCAACGTTACTCGCACTTCCCTCCCATCCTTTGCCTTCTCCTCGAGGCTTCTACTAGTCGCGAGAGAGAGCGAGAAAGAGACAGTGAGAAGGAGCACGAGAGAGAAGAGTGTGAGCGACGAGGCAAGCACGAGAGCCCACCGCTTGAATGACAATGCGCGCGCTCTGCCAGCTGCTACGGGGTTGAGAGTGTGCTTCCCACTGTCAGTGTCGACGGCCGTGCGGCGTCGAGCTACGAGCAAAGCCGCCGCGAGAGAGCTTGCGAGCGAGACGATCACGACGCACGTTCCCTCTCGAGCTCGAAGCTGCGCAGGCCACGCAGGGCAGGCCACCGGCCGGCTCTCGCTCGTGGCAGGGCTCCCATGGGGCTGATGTGCTTGCAGTCCAAGCCATCCAGGTGCACGGGCGAGGGAGAGCCGAGTCTCGAAGTCGACGTCGAGGAGAGCGCGCTCGAACTGATGAAGCTTTCTCGCCGTGGCGCTCACTTCTTCCGAGCTGCGCTCGCGTGCGTTGCGCTCAGAGTCCTCTGCTTCGTGCTTCGCAGACGCGAGCTCGCCGCCGGCGACGTGGATCGTTCCTCTTCCTGCGCACCTCTCTACCAGAACATGGCGCCGCTCCTTTCTCTCTGCGCTGTCAACGTGCGAGGACAAAACCCGGTCCCTGTTCGCGCGATTCGACGCTCGCGAAGTACATTCGGCGATGGGAGGAGTTCACGGGCAGGACGAGCGGTGGCCGACGAGTGGGTCCAAGAGTTCTCCCTTCTCGCGCTTTCGCCGTCCTTTCTGTTCCTCGTCCCTTTCCATGCTCGACCCCTGTCGCACCTGTAGCACTCCCTGCATTGACGAGCTCGTGCCTCGCGCCGAGTCTCGGCCCGAGAGTAGCTCTCTGGACGTCTCTCGAGGAGGAGGAAGTGCGACTTGAGAAGGCGTTGCACGAGAGGCTGAGGGTATCCACGTCCGCAACGAGAGAGAGGGGGGTATCCAACGACGAGAGCAGGATGCGAGAGGGACAGTGCCCACGAAAGGGAGAGGAAGAGAGAGAGAGAGAGGGTCCGAGCGCGACTCGCTCGCTCACCTGCCCGAGAACGACCCAGCGCCGCCGTCGAACGCGCCCTGCTGCTGCGCCCTCAAAGCCGCCGTGCACGTTTTGCGCATCTGCTCCCACTCGCCTTCGCGGGGCGTGACGACGTCTGCGTGGGCGAGGACAAGGACGAGGGGAAAAGGAGAGGAGGGGGGCAGGGCAGAGGCGGGTCAATTCGGCCAGCTTCTCGAACCCAGGCGTCGCCGTCGAGGACGACGAAGAGAGGGAGAGACAAAGGAGACACGACGACGCACCCTGCGCGAGCTCGTACACGTACACGCTCCCGTCGGCGCTCCCGACCGCCGCCCTTCTTCCCTCCCTCGAGCGGTCCCACGCGAGCTTGTTGAGCCCTCGCCGCGGCGACGACGACGACGATGAGGCGGCACCGTTCGAGGTGGCGGTGGACGAGCGAGGGTCGCCGCCGACGAGGGTGCGGAGGAGAGGGACCTGCGGGCGAGGGAGAGAGGGACGAGGCGGCAAGGAGGAGGAGGCGAGGAACGGCGAGGGGGACGAGCAGGTCAGTAAGTCGCTCGAGGTACGAGGCAAGAGAAAGAGACAGAGAGCCGGACGCACCTCGGTGTCGACGTTGAGGTTCCACACGTCGAACCTGCCGGCGCCGTCGACGCTGCCAAACATGGCCGGGTGGCGCGGGTGCCACCTGACGTCGTACACGTAGTCGTCGGCCTCCTCGAACGACAGGAGCGGCGCGAACCCGCCCGATGCTGCCGCCGATGCCGACGAGGACGAGCCGCCGTGCTTGGACCCGCCGGACGACGACGATGCGCCTTTGGCCGCCGCCGCCGAGGTCCTCGACGCGCCGCCTGCCCCACCCGAGGACGACGACGACGACGATGCTGCGGCTGCGGCACCGTGGCTGCCGCCGACGCGCCACAGCTTGACGGTCCAGTCGACGCCGCTCGTGAGGAACAGGTCGCTCAGGTCGACCGTGCCCTCGACCGGGTGGAAATCGATGCCGGTGACGGGTCCAGCGTGGCCGCGGTACGCCTCGCCGGGCACGATGCCGGCTTTGGCGCCGGCGCGGTCGTACCGGTGCGCCGGGTACACGGTGCCCTCCTCGGTGCCGGCAAAGAGGGTCGTGGTCGCGTCGGCGTTGCGCGGGAGCCCGAGCGCCGTGACGCTCACCTCGTCCGTCTTGTTGTGCTGCGGGTGCACGAGCTCGAGCGTCTCGTTCGGGCGCGCGAGCATGTCGAGCGCCCACGCGCACACGGTGCCGTCGGTCGACGCGCTGACGAGCGAGTGCGCGTTCGGGGTCCCGACGAGCTCGAGCGAGTAGACCGGGTGCGTGTGCCCGCCCGACGACGACAGCGGCGTCTTGAGGACCGGGAACGAGTGCCGCGAGCGCGTGTCCCACAGGAGGATCTGGCCCGAGTAGGTGCCGCCGACGACCAGGTTCGGGTGGAACGGCGAGAACGAGACCGACAGGATGTCCGACTGCGTGCGCTCACACAGACGTCGTCAGTCTCGTGTCGCAAAGGAGAGAGAGAGAAAAGAGGGAGGGGGACGCACCTGGGCGTGGAAGACAAACTCTGGCCGCTCGAGGAGGTGCAGGTTCCACACGGCGGCGATGCCGTCGGGCTCGTTGACCGCCATCGGGTTCTTGTTGTACGACGCGACGAACAGCTCGGGAAACTGGTGGTGGGAGGGCCAGGCTCGGTCAGTGCGCCGTTCACGAGGGGAGGGGACCGTGCGCCGCGCTCGAGGTGGGCGAGACGGCGCCGAGAGAGAGAGAGAGAGAGCGAGAAACGCACCTTGTGGCTCCAGTCGAGGCCCGTGACGCTCCTCCCTCTGCCCCACGTCTCGTCCTTCCACCTCCCGACCAACCTGCACCTCGACCTCCTCCCGCCCTCGTCCCCCTCGCCGTCGTCCTCGCCTCCCGCGCCCGGCGCCCCACCGCCGCCGACCGAGTAGTCGCGCAGGTAGTCGTACGAGTCGCTCAAGGCCCTCTGGACGACCTTTGTCGAGCTGTCGACAAACTCGGCAAACGCGGGCGACGACAGGACGGACGCGAGCTGCCGAGGGGCGAGGCCCGCCGCGCGCTCGAGCTCGAGGGCCCGGGCGGCAAGGGCGCGCTCGGACGCGATGGCGGCGTCGAGCGCGGCGCGCTCGGCTTCGAGCTCGGCGACGATGCGCGCGCGCAGCGTGTCGGCCGTCTCGCTCGTGACGGCCGTCGTCGCCGTCCCGGTCGAGGTGGACGCCTCGGTCGAGGTCGTCGAGGCGTGCGGCAAGAGTTCGGACGAGGTCTGGATGCCCTTGTCGTACACGACCTTGGGCTTGGGCGGGAGCGAGTAGACCTCGATCGAGGACGACGAGAGGGTCGGGGCGGCCGAGCTGTGGGAGCGGCGGCGATTGTCAGTCCCTCGTGTCGAGTGGAACGAGAGGGAGAGAGAGAGAGAGTGGACGTACGGGTCGGTCGCGGATGGGGCAGGCCAGGCCTGGTCGGCGTCGACGTGCTCGACAGCGGCCGCCGAAAGAGGTGCGACGGGCGACTCGACGGCCGCGCGCCCGCCGGGCTCGTCGTCGTCGCCGTCGGCCTCTCCCGCCGCACTGCTCGCCGCTCGAGACGCGGTGGACGAGCCGAGGGCGGTTGCAGAGGCCGAGTCGGGCGCGAGGAGGGCCGAGGTGCGGTCGCGGGCGACGCCGACGGTGCGCAGGAGCGAGTCGATCTCGTCGGCCCTGGACGAGCTGGTGGCGCTGCCCTTTGTCGGTCGTGCGAGTGGGGTCGGCTCGGTGGACGAGGGTGGGTCGGGAGGGAGGCCCGAGGCGGCGGCGAGGGAGGCGGCGGCGGCGGCGGCACGCGCCTGGTTCTCGCGGTCCTCGCGGGCCTGCTTGAGCTGGGCGAGGCGAGCGCGCTTCTCCTGGATTTCTGCGCGTCGACGCTCAGACATGGCCGTTGAGCGATGAGGGACGACGAGGATGGGGACGAGGTGGGGGCGTCGAGGGTCGTGGGCGAGGGTTGCGCGCGGGCAGGCTAGTCGAGTGAAGCTGTTCGAGTAGGTCCAGAGGACAGGCTCGCAGCTTGAGCAGGTGCGAGGAGCGAGAGCTGATCAGCGACTCGCTCCCTCTCCTCCTCTTGCTCGTCGAACCGCCTGTCACCCACACAGCGAGCCCGAGCGAGACCATGGCCGCCGTACAGCAGCCACCAGCACCCACACCGGCACCGGCACCGCCCCGCATCAACGCGACCAGGCCCGAGAACCTCGGACCTTCGACCAAGCGCATCTCAAAGGCCCAGCTCCTGCTCGAGTACCAGCAGCTCCTGCCCCTCGAGCCTGCCCACAACCGCCGCATCCTCGACCTCGTCGTCCCCTCGTTCCTCGCCCGCACCCGCACCCCGCTCGCCGCACCTCGCGTCGACGCCGTGTGGGACACGCTCCTCCAAGCCGTCGCCGTCCCCGACGACAAGCACATGACCAGGCTCTGGCGCCAGGGCTTCTTCGGCAAGGGCTTCCTCTCGCGCTCCGAGCCATCGTGGCGCCGCCGCGTCGACAACCGCATCGCCGACTACCACGGCCGCTCCGACAAGCGCCTCACCCCGGAAGAGGTCACCGCACTGCGCCGCATCGAGCGCAAGGGCACCAAACTCGCAAAGAAGCTCGAGCGCGACCACGACCGCCTCGTCGCCGCCTCGACCGCCACCGACCGCGTCGTCCTCGACCAGGCCCAGGTCGACGTCCAGGCCAACGCCAAGGGCAAGGGCAAGGGCAAGGAGGTCGTCGACGTGCCCGTCGACATCGAGGCCGACGCCGACGAGCAGGACCCGCCCCCGCCAGCGTGGCACCTCGACGCCGAGCACTCGCAGCTCCAGCCCGAGGAGGCCTTCTTCCTCGTCTTTGCGCTCGACGCCCTCAGCCTCACCGTCTCGGACCCGTTCGCCCCCGACGCCGCCACGGCCGTCGACCGGCCGCCCAAACCCCTCTCGATCCTGGCCGCCTTCCGCCTCTTCCTCGAGGCCGCGTGCCCGTCCCTCGTCCCCCTCCCCCTCCCCCTCTCGCCCACCCAGAGCACCCCGCCCTACGACCCTCGCCTCGCGCGCCTCGACTCGCCGTTCCTCGTCAGCTACGCCGCGTACCACCACTTTCGCTCGATGGGCTGGGTCGTCCGCTCGGGTGTCAAGTTCTGCGTCGACTGGGTCTTGTACGGCCAAGGTGGACCGGTCGGGGGCCATGCCGAGTGCGTCCTACTCTCTCTTTGTCTCTCTCTCGGCTGGACGAGGCGTCGTCCGCTGACTCTGCGCCTCCTCCCCTCCTCCTCGTCCTCCACGTCCCCTCTCTCCCTCGCCTCCCCTCGCCTCTTCCCCCTTCTCGCCTAACACCCACGCAGGTTCGCCGTCCTCGTCCTCCCAACTTACGTCGACCCAGCCGACGCCGCGTCCAACCCGTTCCGGTCCCACTCGGCGGCGCTCGCCGTCGACCGCGCCGGGGCTTCCTCGTCGGGCGGGGGCGCGACGGGCGACGACGAGCACCGCCAGGGCGAGGGCGAGCGCAAGAACTCGTGGAGGTGGTTCCACACGGTGAACCGGGTGTGCAGCGGGGTCAAAAAGGTGCGTCTCGGGAGCGCCTTGCTCTTTCTCTCTCTCTCCCTCCCTTCCTCCCTCTTCCTTCCTCGCTCTCTTTCCCCTTTCTCCCTCCCGCCCTGGCCCTCTCGCTCGCCTTTCTCTCCCTCTCTCTCTCTCTCGCGACACGAACCACCGGGCGATCGACCTGACGTCCTTCTTCATCCCCCTCCCCTCCCGCCCCCTCTCTGCCCCTCGCCCACTCCTCGCCTCTCTCCTCCTCCTCCCCATCCCTCTCCCTCTCCCTCCCACGCAAAAAACAGACCCTCGTCCTCGCGCACGTCGTCATCCCGCCTCTCTCGTCCCTCCCCGCACACGCCGCCGACCCGCACTGGGTCGCAAAGCACCCGGCCCAGGCCCTCGCGCGCCTCGAGGTCCGCGAGGTCGTCGTCAGGAGGTTCTTGGCCGGCAGGATGCGCGATTGAGCTCGGGCTCGGCGGTGCGGCGCGGCGCGGTGTGCGACGACGAGGGCGAGGGCGAGGGCGAGGGCGAGGGGCAGGTTGTTGCAGAGACGTGCGGGCGAGGAGGGTGACGAGCAACGTGGAGCTGTTCTCTCGCCGCCTTGCGTTCTGCCTGCGAGACATAGAGAGAGTGTACGTCCTGTGTGCAAGTGCGGATGCTCTACGATAGTCCTCAAGCCTCGAGTCGATTAGAGAGGCCCGTCCTCCCTTCCTCCACGCCGCTCTCTCCCTCCCTATCGCTCATCCTCGCCCGCAAACGCTCCTCACCTCGTCGCCTCGCCGCTCATGCGCCCGAGAATCTTGCTGAACGGGTTCGCGCTCGCGCCCCCTTCCTCCTCGACCGCCCTCGGCGTCGTCGCCGCCGCCGATCCGCTCCCGCTCCCGCCGCCACCACCGCCACCACCGCTCACCATGACGCCGCCGCTCACCGAGCGCACCATGCCCGTGCCCTTTGCGAACGCGGGCGACGCCGGCGGGTCCTCCCTCGCCGCGCGCCGCTGCTGCGCCGCGAGGTCCTCTCCCGCGCCCGCTCCCGCCGAGCCCGGCGCCGCCGCCGCCGCCGAGCCGCGCAAGAGCGCCTCGGCCGTGTCGGCCTCGTCCTCCCACAGCGAGTCGGCGAGGGTCGCTCGCGTGTCGGCATCGCCGTCGAGGCTGTCGCGCCCGCCGACGCCCGCCGCCGAGCTCGCGAGCGACGCGCCGCGCAGGTGCGTGTAGCGCGCGCCGCCGGTCGACGAGTCGCGCGTGTGGCGCGAGCCTCCGCCGGGGTTGAACCGGCGGCGGTTGCGCGACGAGGGCGAGCCACCGCCGCTGCCGCCGCCCGACGTTGACGAGGTGAACTTGGACGAGGGGACCGTGTTGTGCGACGAGTGCGGGAGCGACGAGTAGGTGCCGCGGCGCAGGTGGAGCGCGAACGAGTACAGGACGAGGATGAAGTAGATCTGCGGGCGGTCGGCGAGAAGGTGAGGACGATGTCGCTGAGAGAAGCGAGCATGCAGAGGAAAGAGCCCAAGGCGGAAAAGGGAGAGAGAGGAGGCGGAAAGAGGTGGAATGGGCAGAGAGATTAAAAAAGAGAGAGAGGCGCACCTTGAGAAGCCAGCCGATGAGGAGCACGGCGCCGCTGAACCCCCTCTCGCTCGTCCACACGCCCATGGCCGCCTGCGTCCTCTCCGTCTCGTCCATCTCGACGCCCGACTGGCTCCCGCCCATCATGGCTTTCTGCGCGTCACTGTTGGCGACGCGCCGCCCGTCGTGCGGCACAAAGAGGTACCACACGACCGCAAAGAAGGTCGTGTAGACGGTCCCGACGAGGTGGTCGGCCGCGAAGCCGTGCGCGTACAGGAGCGTCTTGGGGCCGTTCTCCTGCGGTGTGTGTCACGGTGTGTCAGTCTCGCACTCGACTTCGCCCAGGACGAGCACCTGCGCCGCAACGCAAGCCTCGTCCAGGGGTTTCGAGAGTCGAGAACCGAGCCCGACGCACCTCGCTGATCTTCTGCAGGCCCCAGATGAAGCCGACCAAGCTCGCGATCGAGTAGGCGTACATGGTGAGCTGGCCGAGGGGCTGGCTCAGGGCGGCGCCGCCCGACAGGAGGACGGCGAGGATGCCGTACGCGCCGGCGACCTTGTTGAGCAGGGCAAAGAGCGAGATGAGGGTCGCGCCTGTGGGTGCGAGAGAGCGAGTCAATAAGGCTGGTACGTAGTGCACGGGCGCTGGGTGCGAGGCGAGCGAGGGAGAGAGGGGGCTCACCGAGCTTGAGGTCCATGCCGAGGAACGAGTCGAGGAGGGGCTGCGCCCGCAAGCGGATGGCCATGATGCAAGCTGGGTGGACGGGTGCACTGGATGCGGGCGTGCGCGCTGTGCTGAGTGGGTCTGAGGTCGAGGATCGAGGTGGGGACGACGACGAGGCTGATGAGGATGAGGCGGACGACGCGACGGCTCTGGCGGTCGAGAGCGCGGGTGGTGCTGCCAAGGGAGGCGCTGGGTGCTCAGTGGCGTGCCTGCTCGTGCGACCTGGCGGGAGGAAGCGAGTGGCTGGCGAGGGGACCTTCCTGCTCCCCCTCCGCCTCGGCAACGGCGACGCCGACGACGACGGTCGCCTCGCCATCTCTTTGTAAAGCTCCTCTCGCTCGGCAGGAGCTACGACGACACTGAGAAAAAAGTACTGCACGAGCCCATGTACTGAAGCAAGCCTCACAAAGCATCTATGGCCGCCCACTCTCTCGTCACCTCGACAAACCGCGATCCCGCCCGGACCGCCACCGCGCTACACGCTCGCCTTGCCCTTGAAGATGATCTCCTTGACTGCGCGACCAACGACGAGGAGTGTCAGAGTCAAGGGAACTGGTGAGGGCGAGGAAGGAGGCGAGAAGAGGACGCACTCAGCTCAATCGAGAACTCGCCCGTGCCGATCTCATTATGGGCGCCCTTGACCGCCTGCGCGACAGAGTCAGTCGGTTCTCCCGTGTCGAGCGTCTGATGAGGGCGGGAGAATGGCGAACGAGAGAGGGAGAGAGAGGGGGGACGAGGCAGGGAAAGAGGGAAACGAGCGACGCACCTCGGCCCAGACGACCTCTCCCAGCCCCTCACCGCGCTCAAAGCGGCTCACGACGCCCCACCCGCCAACCCTGCGCTCCCTGACCACGTGTCTCCTCGCCTCGTGCGCCGCCTCGTCCGAGTCGGCCGCGTGCGGTGCGACGAGCGGGCCGAGGAGCTGGTCGGCGAGCCGGCGCGTGTGCGCGAGCGGGATGACGGGGTCGTTGTGCGCGTGGAGGATCAGGATCGGGCATGTGATGCTGTGGATGACGGCGTGCGTGTCGAAGCGCGTCTTGAGGAGGGCGAGGAGCGAGTCGAGGACGCGGGGGAAGTGGCGCAGGGGCGAGAGGATCGGGATGAGGTTGCCTGCGGGGAGTCGGCGAGTCAGTAAGGGGCTCGAGGGTCCTCAAGGCGACGGAAACGAGGGCTCGGGGAGAGAAAGAGAGAGGGAGAGAGACGGGACGCACCAAGGCGGTACGTCTCGAGGAGGGTCGGGATCGACGAGAACGGCGCCACGAGCACGAGCGCCCTCGGTGCGACGCCCTCGTCGGCGAGCCTCGCGACGAGGCCCGCGCTGACGCCGGTCCCAAGGCTCTGGCCCATGACGGCGACTTGGGCCGGCGCGACGCCCTTGTCGACGACGAGCCAGTCCCACGCCCGGCGCGCATCGGTGAGGAGACCCTCCTCGCTCGGCGGTGGCGTGCGCGACGAGTCGGCGAACCCTCGATAGTCGACGATCAAGAACGAGGCATCCATGTCGCTCATGTGGCGCGCGACGCGGACGCGGTTGCCGGCGGCGCGAGTGCCCGCATTGCCGTGGAAGTAGAGGACGGTCGTCAATTTGCTGCATGTCGAGAGACGAGTCAGTGCACGTACGAGACCGAGGACAAGGAGCGAGACGCACTGGAGCGCCTGGTCGAAGACGTGGTCCGGCAGCGGGCCGTCCTCGGGCACGCCGTACGTCGCGATCGCGTCCTCGTACAGGTTGCGGGGCAGGACCTGCCACGCGCCGAGTCGAGCGCCGTCGTGGGTCGTGAGGTTGAAGGGGCGGACCTTGGCCGGCGCGAAGCCGACGAGTTCAGGGCGCGCAAAGTCGGTGCCGTGCGGGAAGCGGAGGCCGTGAAGGTAGATGAGGCTGTTCTGGACGGGCTCGTAGGTGAGCGAGGCGAGGAAGGCGAGGTAGGCGACTGCAGGCAGGGGGGAGGTGAGCGGACGAGGATGAGCGTGCGAGGAGGAGGGGAAGAGGGGCGGACCGAGGGTAGACGTGACGATGAGACGGGCTCGACTGAGGAGGCTCATGGTAACGCGCTACGTTCTTGAGGGCTGCAGAGCTGTGCCGGGGCGAGGAGAGCCCAAGTTGAGAGAGCTTGGAGGCGATGACGGGTCTCGACGAAGACAATGGCGGGTGGAAGCGAGGCAGGCTCAGGCGGGCTCAGAGAGCTTATCAAAGGCACTGATGCACTCGGCTCAGCTGTACGAGCTCGAGGCGGTGAGGGAGGGAGCCGAGAGCCCGAGGTGGCAGCGGCGACTGTCGACCTCTCTCTCTCGCTGTCACCCTGCTCGCCCTGGCTGCGCAGCGAACAGCTTCACTGGACCTCGGCAACCGCCTGCGAGTGCCGCGCGCACCATGTCGACCCGCCCTCGCCCTGCTCCCTCGGCACCGCCTCGTCTCTCGACCATGTCGCTCTCCGAGCCCGTCAAGCCGCTCAAGGTCAAGCGCACGAAGCAGCCAAAGTCGGTGGGCACTCTGTCTCTCTGCACGCGTCGCCCGCAACCCACGACAGAGTTGACCTGCTCGCCCTCCTCCCGCAGAACCGCCTCGTCCGCCTTCCTCCCTCGATCCTGCGCCGCATCTTTGCCGACATCGGCGAAGCCGACGCTGGCACCCTCCTCCTGTGTCGCGTCCTGTACGACTACTTCCTCCACGCCGTCTACACCATGATCTCGCTCGACACGCCCAACCAGGTCAAGGCCTTCGTCCGCACGTTGCGGCACCACCCCGAGCTCGCACAGCTCGTCACGACGGTGACGTTCACCCACGCGGTACACTACACGGAACCGCAGCCTGACGAGCGAGACTGCGACGCCGCCGGTCCTGGACTCGGCTCGGGACAGCTGGATTGGCTTCCAGGTGCGCCCGCTCCTCTCTCTCTCTCTACACTCTCCCCCCCCCTGCGCGTTCTGACTCTTTGCGTTCGCTCGCAGCCGGAGGTTCCGGCGAGGACGACATCACGATCGGCACCGGACTGTTCAGCGACCTGGTCCTCCGCATGCCCAACCTCGTCATCCTCGTCGTCAACGGCGCCAAGCTCGCCTCGGCGCTTGTCGCGCCACACCTCGTCGCCGACCCGCACTATCCTCGCTTCACCCACATGCTCGTCACCGTCCACGACGGCGACGACATCCTGCCCAGTTTCGGGCGCAACGTCAGTCGACTCGCCCACCTGCGTGTCCTCGCCCTTCACGGCTTCGACCGGCACATGCCCGTCACGACGCTCAACCTCGGCACTACCCACCTGCCTCCTCGAAGCCTGCGCCTCGAGAGCTTCGACCTCACCAACTGCACGCACGTGCGCCCCGACCTCCGGCACCTCTTCCAGGCCCTCGCGCCCGGCCTCACCTCGTTCAGCCTGTCGACGTCGTGGGCCTACCCGGCCATGCTTGACGACCTCGAGTCCTCCCACCGACCGTCAGCAACATGTCGCTCGCCTGCAGCCTGTACAAGTGCGGCACGCCCGACGACGTCAAGGCCATGAAGGGCTTCTCGGACGTGTTCGCCTACGCGGCCAGCATGCGCGAGCAGGCGCCGAGCGTGTTCCCTCGCCCGCTCACTTCGCCCCTGTCGTTCCCGACCTCCCTCGCGACGCTCAAGCTCCAGGGCAACACCGTCGTTGACAAGACGTTTGACCTCCTCGCCGACCTGCCCAACCTGCGCTCGCTCCACCTCGGCGCCCACACCGAGTTCCGCACGCCCGACCTCACCTCGTTCCTCCACTCGAGCCGCACCATCCAGACGCTCGGCCTCGACGTGTGCGCGTGCGCGCCTGTTCCGAGCACGGCCGTCATGCGCCGCTCGCGCCCGACCGCGGCCAAGGTCAAAGCGTCGTCGTCGCCGGCGCCAAGGCCGGTCTGGCGCGACGACTTCCGCGAGGAGGACGCGCAGGTCGTCGTGCGGGAGTGCGGCGGGCGAGGGATCGCAGTCGAGGGCTCGGTCGTGTGTGCGACGAGGAGTGCGGGCTCGGCTCGGGCGCACGAGTGTCGCGGGTGGTGCACGGCGTAGAGCCTCTCTCTTTGTCTCTCTCTCTTTGCAACCGAGCTTTGCCCAGCCTCTTGGCCTGGACGAGGACGAGCAAGAGAGAAGCTTGCCGGCGAGAGTGCGAGTCGCCTCGCGCTCGTTCCTCCCGCGTCAAGCTTCCTTCTCTCGCCTCTCATTTCGCGCACGGTAGCTCAGTGCACGCAGTACTGCATCATGTCGCAGCAGCAGCTCCCACCGCCCTATCGACGCCGTTCATCGCCCCGTTCGCGCCCCCTGCGCCCTCGGCCGCACCGCCTATCCTGGCCAACGCCTGCCCGCCCTCGCCCTGCCCCTCCCGCACCCTCTCCCTGTCCCTCTCCCTCCAGCCCGCCCAATGCGCAATCTGCGCGCCCGCCAGGTCTTGCGCGAGCAGGCCGTCCTCCTTGAGCGCGCGGCGGAACGACTCGCCCGGTGTGCCGGGCGCCGTGAGGAGGGCGAGGTGGTGCAGGGACTGAGGGTACTGGAGGAAGCGGGCGTAGGAGGGCTGGCGGAAGTAGAGGAGGTAGGTGAGGTAGCTGTCGGGGCGGAGCAGCGAGGGTGAGGGCGAGCGCGAGGCGGGCGGAGGGGCAGGGGAGAGAGGGTCAGCGAGTCGCGCTTGTAGAGAGAGGTGAGAGGGTCGTGCGCACTTGAGGAAGGGCTCAGAGTCGAGCAGGCCTTGCTGCGCGAGTGCTGCGGGCGTACAGAGAGGTCAGTCTCCTCATCAGTTCCGAGTCGAAGGGGGAGAACACGAGAGGGACTCACACTGGAGGTAGAACGGATTGGCTAGGCACTGAACGAACTGCAGAGGCAAAGGACACACTCGCAGCGTCAGACCAGGCCGTGGTAGTGTCGCTCCTCCTCGTCGGTGCGGGCGACTCGACGCACCTCGAGCTCCGTCTCGAACCGGATCCGGTTCGCTTCGCGTTGATGCGGCGTCGGCGCAGATGTAGATGCGGCCGGTACAGGTGAAGGTGCGACCGAAGCCATGAGAGGGAGCGAGTTGCGAAGAAGCGAGAGCTCGAAGTGGGGAGGAGGAGGACAAGGGCAAGCCTCTCGTGCGCCGCTCACGAGAGAAAGAAACGACTAATGGCAAGAAGTAGACACAACGACGACACAGGCAAGAAACGAGAGGCGAGGACAAAAGGTACAGACGAGTAAAGAGGGAGAGAGGGAAAGGATGGTGGGTATCGTCGCGCGTGCTCCTCGTCGTCCTCCACTCGTTCCGGCAAAGCCTGCTACCTGCCGCCACGTCCACCTCCTCCACCGGCACCGGGAGGCGCCGCCGCCGCCGGACCACCGGGCGGGCCCGTCCACCGCTCGGCCCGCTCGAGCATCTTGCACGTCAAGACGAGCATGCCGCGCGTCTTGGTGCCCAACAGGCCCCTGCGCTCGAGCTGCCCCTCCTTGATCCCTCCTCCCGCTGCTCCCGCCGCTCCCGCCGCGCCCGACCCGCCCCTCCTGCGCTCCTTGTCGCGCCCACGCTCGCGCTCGCGACCCTGCGTCGCAGCGCCGAGGCCCCTCGGCGGCGGTGCCGGCGCGGGGAGCTCGTCGCGCATGGCGCGGTCGAGAACCATGGGGATCTCGAGCGTGACGCGCGTGAGGGCGAGGGTGAGGCGCAGGCGGCCGTACACGTCAAAGTAGCCGAGCGACCGCAGGGCCGACTGGATCTCGTACAGGCGGATGAGCTCAAACTTGATGAGGCGCAGGTAGCGTTGGCCGGCTGCGTGAAGGCGCGAGAGGGCCGGTCAGAGCTGACCGTCGGTCGCGAGTCGAGGAAGGACGAGGGCGAGAGGGGGACGCACAGAGGAGGACCTCGCGGACCCGCCGAAACGCGCCCTCGACGCTGTCGACCGTCTCCTCGCCCAAGTTGAGGCTCGGGTTTCCCTCGTTGAGCGCCGTGGCAAAGACGCGAATCATCTCGAAGTCGCCGTTGAGAAACTCGTTGACGACGTTGCGCAGCACGCCGTTGAGCGTCTCGTCGGCCAGGCCCTCGGACGTAGCGCTCGGCGATCCTGCACACAAAGAGAACTCCATGAGCGACGCTGTCTGGACCCCGACGGCCACGAACCGCTCGCGAAAGAGAACGACGAGGGGCGCACCTGGGTCATAGCCTCGGCCGCCGCCCAGGTCGTACATGCGGCGCGAGCTCGGCTTGGAGAGCGTCTCGTAGGCGTACGACAGGCGCTGAAAGGCGGTCGTCGCTGGAGGGTAGAACGGGAGCTTGCTGTCGTCGGGGAGGAGACGGTCAGGAGGCGTACTGCGGCGTCGCCTAAATTCGAGGCAGCCGTGAGAGGGTCACGCGGACTCTCTCGCGGTAGATGGTGCAGATGAAATCGGGAGAAAGGCCACGCACTCGGGATGAATGACCCGGCTCCTCGCGAGGAACGCCCTCCTGATCTCCTCCGTCTTGGCCCGCCTGGCGACGCCGAGGATTGCGTACAGCTCGTCCTCGCAGTTGACCTCGTCGACGAGGTCCTCGGCCTCGCCGCGCGGCGGACGCTCGACCTCGTCCGTCTCGGGGATGGCGCGGCTCGAGGAGGAGGAGGAGGATGACGACGAGGCGGTGCCATTGAGGTACGGGTGCGCGGCCGAGGGGAGGCGGCTCTGCGAGGGCGAGCGGCGGACGGAAAGGCGGCGAGAGGCGGCGGAAGAGGGCGAGCTGGGCGAGGTCGAGGAGGTGGAACGGGAGGGAGACGAGGCGCCGGTCGAGCGAGGAGGGGCGGACGAGGTCGACGCGTCGCTGCGGAAGACGTAGGCCGATGCTGTGGGCGTGCAGTGTCAGTCCCCTCGGTCGCCTGCAAGACATCTCCTCGGCCCCACGCCCCCGTGCGAGGGCGGGACGAGGATCGGGAGGCACGAGGGGAGAACGAGGGAGCGCACCTGCAGAGAAGGCGTACGAGCCTGCCGTGGTCGCGACGCCCTGCGCGTAGCCCAGCAGGACCATCCTACACTGCCCTCCGCCCTTGCCGCTGGTCCTTGCGCGAGTGGAAGAGGAGGAACGAGGGACGAAACGCGAGCCGCGCGAGGACGACAAAGGGCGACGCGAGCTCGAGGTGGAGCGGCCGCGGGCTCGATAGGGGCCGTGGTGCCGCCTGACGCTGCACAAGCGGTCGCTTTCGCTGTGCCGAGCGTGTGGTCGAGGCGGACAGGGCTCGGGAGGAGGGGGCCTCTTTCACGTGTTGCTCGTCGCGCGCTCGCTTTCCTCTCGACCACAGCCAGGCGAGTCCGTGTCCAGGGCATAGTTGCAGCACGAGCTACTCGGAAAGGAGGCAGAAGCTGTCCAAAGGGGCTGAAAGGGTATCGACCGACGGCGAGAGAGGGCGAGGCGACATCGAGTGCGGCAGCACGGCTGCTGCACCAGGGCGGGGGAATAGACTGCTCGACACGAGGAAAGGGGAAGGGAAAGGGTGCAGGCCCGCTAAGCCGGGGCGGGCGACGCCTCCTTGTCGCGGCGGCCAAACCGCCCGCTCGAGAACCGCGAGCGCATCTTGGTCGGCGTGCCGCCCATGGTCGAGTCGGCGAGCGACCGAGCGTCCGACTCGGACGGAGCGCGCGATCCGCCCGAGGTGAGGAAGGACGGCGTCGCGATCCACTGCGCGACAAAGGACCGAGTCAGTGCTGCACGGCGGCGAGGCGGCGAGAGAGAGAGAAAGAGAGACGCACCGAGAGCGAGACGACCAACTCGCCGCCCAGCGCGCCGGCAAGAGGCAACGTGACCGTGTTGTTGGGCTGCAGCGGCGAGACGAACTGCCAGACGGCGAGGGTCGCCGACGACAGCACCTTGTCGCTGCCGAGCGTCTTCTTGTGGACGACGACGAACGTGAGGTCGACAGGGCCCGACGCCGGCGTCTTGACCGTCGCCGTGTCGCCGAACGTGATGACGTTGGCGTCGCTGCGGTGCGAGTGCGTCTCGAGGACCGTCTTGCCGCCCTCGAGCTTGACGACGACCGCCTTCTTCTCGCCCTCGCCGCCGCCACCGCCCGTCAGCTGCCCGAGCGTGACGGTGAGCGTGCCCTCGGCCCCCATGCTCGACCCGGCGCTGGCGCCGGCGTTGGTCGGCGTCGCGTCGCCCAAGGCCGGCGACGCCATGTCGGACGCGAGGACCTCGACGTCGCCGGCTCCTCCTGCGCCGTCGACGGCGTACCCGACGTCGTCGCCGAGCGCTGCGAGCTCCGACGCCGAGGCGACCGACGAGGTGCGGCCGTGCCCGCCGCCGACGGCGCGGCGACCGATGCCAAAGACGCCCTTGCCGACGGTCCCGACGCCCTTGCCGACGCCCTTGCCGACGGTGCCGACACCTTTGCCGACCGTACTGACGCCGTGCACGCCGACCTTGCCGACCGCTCCACCGGCGCCGACGATCCCGCCGCCGACCGCCATGGCGCCGCCGCCGATCGTGCCGCCAATCTTGCCCGCCGAGAAGGTCGACGTCGCCTTGCGTGAGCGGTAGATGAACTGGGGGCTGAAGACGAGGCGGACCCGGATGTGGCCGGCCGACTGGGACGAGTTCTTAAAGTCGGACAGGGCGACGGTGCGCTCGACGGCCTCGAACGGCTCGAGGTCGCGCAGGTCGATCTGGGCCCGGCCGAGCTTGTCGGATGCACCTGCGAGAGGGAGCGCGAGTCAGTCGAGGTCGAGGGGAGGAAGCAGGGGCGATGCGAGGAAGGAGGGACGCACCGACGCGGTCCCAGTCGTGCACCTCGACGATGAACTTGGCCGCCTCCCTCGACGGGACCTGCACCTCGAAGCGCTCGTTCCACACGGGCGCGAGCGTCTTCTTGACGATCTCGCTCTTGTGGACGCGCTCGTCGTTGAGCCTGCGCGGGGGAGGGAGGCGAGGCGCGCTGTCAGTCTCTGGGCCCAGGCGGCGTGCGAATGTGCGCAAGAGAGAGAGAGAGAGAGAGAGTACGACGCACCAGAACTCGCAGTACGGGTCGCTCTTGCCGTTGCGGTCGGCGCTCGGGAGGCCCTTGCCGTCGACGAGCTCGACCCGGACCACGCCCGAGTTGTTGACCGACTCGCGCGGCAGGATGTGCATGTGGACGGGGATGTACTGCGACATGATGGTGACGGTCGAGCGAGGCCCGCCAGGCTCGGGCGACAGGAGCGTGAACGTGGCCGCTTTGCCGAGCGTCTTCTCGAGGAACTCGTTCAGGTCGACCGTGAGCGACGCGACAATGTCCTCGCGCGTGTCCTCTGTGGGTGTGCGGGACGTCAGATCGACCGTGATGGCTAGAGAGAGAGAGAGAGAGAGAGAGGGACGCACTCTCGGAGTCGTTGAGCTTGAGGATGATCCGGCTAAAGTCGAGCTCGCGGATGAGCGCCTCGCCGACCTCGTCCCACGTGTTGTGCGTCGAGCGCGATCGCTCGGTCGAAAAGGCTGGCCAGTACTGGAAGGGAGGAAACGAGTCAGTCGGGCGGGGTCGGGCAGGGTCCGAGCGAGTCGAGGGAGGAACGGGCGCGCAACTCACGCCGTCGTCGAACAGGACCTCGAGCCTCGCGCCCTTCTTCGACAGCTGGCCCGAGATGATCTGGAACGCGAGCACGCCGGTCTGGGTCTTGAGGAGCTCGTCGCGCGGGATCGTGACGCCGTCGCTCTCCTTGGTCGACTTCTTGCCGTTGGCGCCGGCGCCGTTGACGCTCGTCCCGCCCGAGGGCACGGCAAACGACTCGGTCGTGGTCGTGACGGTCGGCGCGATGCTCTCCTCGTCGTCGTCGGTCGAGGCGGCGGCGTCCTCGTCGACCTCGGTGATCTTGGCCGTCGCGCCCGGGACCCAGTCGGACGGCGTGAACGACACGTTGCTGAGCGGCGCACAGGGGAAGAACTCGGCCTCGAACTCGATGTTGCCCTTGACCGTGCGGCGACCGTCCGTCTTGAGCGATTCGGTGCGCGACACCTTGCCCGTGCTGACCCAGGGCTGCGTCTTGCGGTCGGGCCCCTCGCCGAGCAGGCCCTCGACGGCAAAGTCGGTCAGGCCGAGCGACCGGTCCTTGGTCATGTGCTGGTAGTCCATGACCTCGATCGTGAACGTGTCCTTGGGCGAGTGGACCTGGACGTAGACGATCTCGTCGAACACGGGGTCGAGGTCGTTGTCGTGCACGACGCTGCGCGCGACGACGAGGCCCTTGTGCACGACGCGCACGTACGGGTCCGACTTGCCGAGCGGCGCCTCGACGTTCTTGAGGTCGGTCGAGCGCTTGAAGTAGAGGCGGACGACGCCGAGCGGGGCCGTGTACGCGCTGGCGCCGTTGATGGCGCCCGCCATGAGGATGGGCTTCCACTCGGCCGTGATGCGGACCTTGCCGCTGCGGGCCTGGCTGAGCGGGAACCAGTCGTTGCCGTCGGCGTTGGCCTTGAGGATGTCGGCGAGGCGCACGCTCACCGCGCCGAGCTTGCTGTCGGAAACGAGCGTGTTGTCGTCCATGACCTGGAGCCCGATCGTTGCCGACGCCTTGGCCGTGACGAGGAACTCGGCGGGACGCTCCCAGATCGGGTTGGGCGTGCGCTTGAGCGTCTGCGAGCGGTGCACCTGCTTGCCGTTGAGATACAGCTGGAAGAACGGGTTGATCTGCTGGCCGCGCGGGTCGAGCTCCTTGGCCTGGTGGACGACGAGGCGCACGACGCCCGACGTCGTCTCGGGGACGGGCTCGAGCGTGCCGTCGGCGAGCTTGGCGGGCTTGAGGACGGGGAAGTAGTTGACGTCGTACTTGACCTGGCCTCGCGGCTTGCCATCGAGGATGACCTCGCCGACGAGCCCGGGCTGCTCGCCGTCGTCGGCGAGCGACTTGAGGTCGAACGAGACGGTGCCCACGTTCGAGTCGTTGCGCCGGTCGTTGTAGTCCCACACCGTCATCGTCAACGCGTCGTTGAGCGAGTTGAGGAGGACGTAGTGCGTCTCGTTGAAGTGGGGCGTCGACGTGTTCTTCTTGATCTTGGTGCGCGCAAGCTCGGCGCGGCCGCTGATGCTGAACGCGATGTACGGGTCCGGAGCGCCGGCGCCGAGCTTGGTCGCCTTGAGGCCGCGCGCGTTGTGCACCGTGACGGCGAGGACGCCGACGGCCGTGTCGACAGGGGCGCCCGAGAGCATCTGCTCGAGCGACAGCGTGAACGAGTTCGGGTCGTACATCATCGGGCCGAGCGAGGCGTGGATCTGGGGCGCGAGCCGAGACAGGTCAGGGACGAGGTCGGCAACGGGCAGGACGTCGAGGAACACGCACCTGGTTCATGATGAAGGGGTACAGGCCGGGCAGGATCGACAGGTCGAAGCCGACAGGCTTGAGCGACATGTCGATCTCGGGCGGGCGCATGAACGACAGGTCGACCGTCTGGACGTGCGGGAAGTTGTTGATGAGCTTGAGGCGGATGCGCATCGTGCCCGTGAACGAGATGTCCTCGACGACAATGTCCTTGCCGACCGACGCGATGCCGACGCCGAACCGGACCTCGAGCACGATCTTGGGGTTGACCTTCTTGGCCGCCTGCGCGTGCGTGATGTCGGCGAGGTCGTTGGGCGTGAACGACACCTTCCACTCCATGATGACGACGTCTGCCGAGGGGGAACGAGGTCAATCCTGCTCGGCTCGAGGAGGACGAGTGCGAGAGAGAGGGAGGGAGGTTCGAGCTCACCGTCCTCGGTGTCGGGAAAAGTCTTGACGTGGTCGATGTGCGGCGGCTTGGTGCCGAGCGTGAAGGTCGTGAGGCGCAACTGTGCGGCGAGAGAGTCAGGACGAGGTGAATGAGGCTCGAGCGGGACCAGAGGGAGCTCACCGAGTCGAGGAAGGCGGGAGTCGAGACCGAGAGGACCTGGTCGACCGACGCGACCTGCAGGAGTGCGTGCGTGGTGCAGTCAGTTGGGTGCCTCGTAAGGGCGAAGAGAGGGCACTGCGGACGCACGATCGTGGCCGAGAGGACGGGCTCGTAGATGAGCCAGAAGCGCTCCACTGCCGGACGGCAAGAGGGTGAGCTCGTCGCCTCGCGACGCTCGAGAGGGACGGAGGAGGACGTACTGAACGAGTTGATCCAGCCGGCCGACTCGACGTCCGTCTTGAGGCCCTTCTTGGCGACCTCGCGCGCCAGGTCGTCTCGGGCGTTGCGGCGCACGCGCTTGATGCTCGTCTCGTAGAAGGTCGTACACACGGCGAGGATGACGACGAGCCAGCCCCAGCCGCCGCCAAACAGCGTGACAAAGTGCGACGAGACGACGGCAAAGATGATGATGCCGGCGTTGTGGTACCTGCTCGGGGCGAGGGCAACGTCGGCTCGGGCGCCAGGGTAGTGGGACGAGAGGGGGAGGACGTCGACGCACCATTGACCGTAGTAGGCGTCCGAGACGAAATCGGCGAGGATGGAGCGCTCGCGCGCCTCGTCCGGGCTGAGGAAGAGCGTCTTGTCCTGGCCGGTCCAGCCGATCGCAAACCATGCCGGGACTGCGCGCGTTCGACAAGAGTCAGGTCGACTCGCTTGAACATCATCAGGATGGAGAGAACGGGGGACGCACTCTCGCGCGGCTTGCCCTTCTCTGCCTCCTTGGCCGGCATGGCGCCGGGCGGATTCTTGGACCCGTCCTCGTTGGCCCGGCCCTCGTCCTTCTCGATCTGGGCCGCCCGCTCGACCTCGCTCAGCTTGACGCCCTCCTTCTCGTTGCCGGACGCGCTCGCCGCGCCCTTGGCGCCCGTCGTGACAGGGATGGCGGCGCCCGCCGTCCCGACGTCGCTCACGACGCTGCTCCCGCCGTCGTGCTTGAACTTGTCGAGCTCGGGGCCGCGGATCGAGGGCACGGCCGACATGTCGACAGGTGCGACGGACGAGGCGGCCTTGCGGGCCTGGGCGGCCTTCTCGGCGGGGGAAGCGTCGGGGTCGAACGAGTGGACGTTGGCGCCCTGTTGCGGGAGGCGGATGCGGGTGAGCATGCGGACAGTCTGCAGGAGCACCTGTGGCCGTGCTGCACCAGCCCAACCGGCGAGCACCGTGTGTGGACGAGTGCTGCGCGGCGAGGTGGGGCAGCCTCCTCGGCGCCTCCTCCTCCTCTGCGAGAGATGACAGCGGTCAGGACGCACCAGGGCTTGGTCCCTCGCCTCCTGCATGACCTCGCCGTGTTGCGAGATGGGCGGCTTGAGGCTCGCCTCGGAGGCTGTGCGAGGTCGAGGGTGGGGAGCGTCAGTGAGAAGATGGGGGAAAGCGAGAGCGCGAGCGCGTGGGAGGTGCTGGGCGCACCTGATGTGCTCATGTGCGTGTGCTCTGGCCTGCTGGCAAGGTTCTGGCGGCGGAGCGAGTCGCGGGGAGGATGCCAAGGGCGAGGTCTCCAGCTTCATCTCACGGCGCCCTCTTTGCCCTCTCCACCACACTCGGCTAGTGGGACGGCCTGCCCAGCACATTGCTGTACAGCTCGAGCAGCGGCAGGAGCACCCGCACGGTGATCCAGCCTCGCCCCATCGTCCTCGCCTCGTCGCGGCCGGCGCCCTCGACCTCCTCCAGCTCCAGCTCCCCGCCATCATCAGGCAAGCCTGCTGCGCACACCGCAAGAAGCGACGCTCGTCCGCTGCGCAGCCTCATGCGCCTATCGCGCGCCGCCAGGCCCGTCGTCTGTGCTCCGCAGCGACCGCTCACTCTCGCTTGCGCTCTCTCGCTGCCCGACCGGTCGCAGCTGCCATTCTGCTCAGGCACAGAGGGTCACATGATCCTGCTCTCAAGCTCGAGCGCGCGCACCATCCTGGCCTTGCTTCGGCAGATGCCTCGAGGCGGCCGCGGCCCACGCTTCTGACTCTGCTGGGTGCGGCTCTCCTGCTTGGCATCGCGCTTGCCAGCAGTGGGGCTCACGGTCACCTTTCACTGTTGCGAAGGACTCTGCGCGCGTTCAAAGCGTCCTCGCCCTCGGCGCGCTCACGCCCTGGCACCTGCGACGTCGCTGTACTAGCTCCACGAGCTCTTCGCAGCCGGCGTCGGCAGCACCGGCAATCCTCCGTCGTTCGCGAGGTTTTTGAGCCTTATCCTACGTCCTCGGCTTGTCGCTGCTGCGCTCAGAGAGAGGACCGGACGGAGAAGGCTCGGGCGGAGGAGGTCGGGCGCCCAGTCCGGTTCGAAATGACCCCCATGACGGAGCCATCTCGCCCTGAGCAGACCTCTCTTTGGTCGGGTTCGCTTGAGCAAGACCTTACGCTGCTTTTGAGAGTCTGGCGAGCGGCAGCGGAAGCGAGACGACGGCGGAAAGTGCGCCTGGCCCCCTCGAAGGGCGCACGGACCCGGACCTCGGGTTGCGCATGCTCCGCCGCCCGCGCCGACAGCTGAGAAGCCGAGGGCATGCCACGGCTTTGACAAAGCGACGCTCCGTTGCAAGGGGAAGCACGGCGATCGACACGGAAGCCGCTTCGGCGCCGCCCAGTCAGCGTTTTGTGCTCCGTCGCCGAGCCCGAGTCGGCCGCCGCGCGCCGCGCTGACCTCGCAGCTCGCTCATCCCGTCTCTCTCGGCTCTCTCGCAGCTCGTTCGGCCACTCTCCTTCACTCCTGCACTCGCGCACACAACCCGACTCCCACCTCGACTCGAAGCATGCTCAGCCGCTCGTCGTCCGCCAGCTCCACCTCGATCTCGGCTTTCGGCTCGTTCGCCTCGACGTCGTCCTGGTCGTCGCACGGCGCTTTCGACTTCCTCGAGCCGGTCGAGTCGACCCTGCCGCACGACATCGTCGACTGGTCGCTCAAGATGCCGAGCCGCCGGTCGCCCGTCTCCTCCCTCGCTTCGACGAGCCAGCCCTCTCTCTACGTGCGTCCCCTCCTTCTCCTGAATCTTGCGGACTCTCGAACTGACTCTCCCTCCCCTCTGCAGTCGTTCCCTCGCGGTCACACGACCCACGCCGTCTGCCCGAAGCATGGCATCGTCCACGACGCCGCCCTCGCCCTCCCCGAGCGCGATTCGCGCAGCCTGTCGTCGTGCGGGAGGAGCAACACGTTCAACTCGATGTCGTCGTGCTCGTCGGGCGACTCGGCGTGCTCGAAGCGCTCGCTCAAGGTGCGTCGCCTCTCTCTCCCTCTCCGTCTTTCGACAGTTCCTGACCCTTCCCATCTCTCTGCAGTGCACTCTCAGGCGCGTCATGTCGCTCAAGCGTCTCTAAGGACCCGCTCGACGATCACTGGGTCGCCGTCGCCGCACGCCGTCCAGCTGTACCACCACGCGCCATCTCGGCGCACGATCCGCTCGTCGGGCACGTCTCGTCGCAGCCCACCTTTCACCATTCAGCCACCATGGACCCAGGAGCGCACTCTCACGTTGTTTGAGCAGAAGACGAGGTCACATTGCCAGGGAGGAAGAGTACATAGTGTTTCCCGTTCGTCACCTCGAGGGCTGCGTCGTCGCCCTCGTTCGTCATGTTGTCATTACAAGCAGTGCCCTTATCTCCTCTGGCTCTCTAGAGCTTGAGCGAGAGAGACGCAAAGAGAGGCAGAAAGACGGCTCTGATAAATCCACGCTCGACGACGCTGTGCGCTCGGCCCTCTACTCGGCGCGTCTCCTCGGTATTCTACACCAATCCCGCCTCCTCGACCGGCAAAAAGCTCCACACAGTCCCGACCGACGCCATGACGATCGAGACGACGAGGAGGAACCAGCACAGGACGCGCTCGGCCCCGGCGACGACGAGAGGCTCGCCGCCGCGACCGCCTCCTGACCCGCCAAACGCCGCCGCCCGCTTGCGCCGCGCGAGCTCGGCAGCATGCACCTGCCTCGCGTGCGCGACGACCGAGTTCTTGCCCGCACCCGGGCCCGCACCGTCGGGCGAGTCGCCCTCGTCGGGCGGGGTCGCGACCTCGCGCACCGTCTCGAGGCCGCCGTAGCCCGACGCGCCGCCGTCGCGCTCGAGGTCCTTCTTGCCCTGCGCGCCGACGATGAGGTAGGCGCCGACGGGCCCGATGACGCAGATGACGAACGCGCTCGCGCTGCCGAGGAAAGCCCTGCAAGTTGACGAGAGTCAGGCTGCGACACCGAGAGAAAGAGGGAAACGCGAGGGAGAAGGCGACGCACAGGACGCGGTCAAACTCGGGGATGGCGATGGCGAGGCCGACGCAGAGGATCGAGGCGGCCGGGCGCAGGAGGTAGTACCGCACGCGGTGGATGCGGCGCTCGGCGGCTGCGGCGGCGACGAGGACGCGTCGAGTCGGCGACGGCGACGTCGACAGGGCCGAGTTGGACGTGCGGTGGTGCAGGGTCGAGATGGCGCTGTCGGACGAGGTCGGCGCAGGAGGAGGAGGAGCCGGGACAGGCGCGACAGGCTTGTGGAGGCCGACGAGGTGCTCGAACGTCGTGACGAGGGGCTTGTTGGCGATGGCGTACTTGACGAGCGGGTTGATGGCGACCATCCACACGGCGAGCTGGTTGAGCGCGACCGGGTACCCGACCGTCGACGCCAGGTCGCGCGTGATCTCGCTCGACACGCTGTTCCCGAACATGAGGTAGCCAAAGACACCGAACACGACCGAGACGACGAACGCGATGATGTAGGCGACGTTGATCATGGACGCGAAATGCTCGGGGTGCGCCATGTCGCGGTACAGCGACGGGACGACGGCGTGGCCCGAGAACTGCGAGGCGCACAAGGCGGACGTGTCAGGCGCGGTCCTGCAGACGAGGCGAGGACAGAGAGAGTAAGAGAGACAGGGGACGCACGCCCGACATCAAGAGGCCGAACGAGATCGGGAACCGGCCCCACCGAGGGACGATGCTCGTCGCCATCGGCTCCCAGAAGCTGCCCGGCGCCGTCTTCTTGATGAGGCCATCGGTGACGAGAACGGCGAGGAGCACGACCGACGACATGATGCCGAGGAGGGAAGTGAGGGAGAGGACGCGCAGGGGGAGGTAGGTCGTCGGGAGGAGGCTGTCGACGGGAAGGGGCTCGAGGTCAGGACCGCGTGCGGGCCCCCTCAGGACAGTGAAAGAGGGACGCACATGAGGTACGAGATGAGCTTGAAGAAGAGCGAGCTGAATCGAGGGAACAGGCTCGCCATCGAGTCGGCGAACAGGGTGACGGTCGCGACGCTGAACGTGGCGAGCTCGACGACGAACAGGAAGTAGATCGTCTCGCGAGCCCAGGGCCCGTACGCCTTGATGAGGACGTCGGCGTAGGTGGCCGAGGTGCGGTCCTGCTTCATCATGGCCGCGAGCATCTTGGCCGTGTCTGAGTGCGCGAGAGGGTCAGTGCGTGCGCCTCAACAGGCAGGACTCGCTCGACGTGACGCACAGTTGGTGACAAGGGCGCAGAAGACGAGCAGGAGAATGCCGCCGACCCAGCCGGCGTCGGCGAACGCGAGCGGCTCGGCGAGGAGGCCGACGCCGATGAGCACGTTAACGCTGCGCGAGAGGGTTTGTCAGAGCTCGTCGACTCGAGGACGGGTAGAGAGAGAGAGCGAGGACGCACGTGTTGAACAGGGTCTGGCCCCAGGTCGACTCGCCGCGGTGCTCCTCGATGGCAGCCTTCCACGCGGCCCGCGAGAAGGTCAAGGTCGACGCCCTGCGCCTGCCGCCGCCCGCCCTGACCGCCGCGACCGCCGGGTGCACCGCGTACTCTTGGCCGTCGTCGCGGTAGGCGATCGTCGAGCCCTCGGCCGCGTCGAACGGCGACAGGTGGGACGACGAGGGAGACGTGAGGCCGCCGCCGCCGGGGAGGAGCGGCGTGCGCTCGTCTGCGGCGGGCTTGTCGCGCCAGGTCGCGCCTGCTTGACCGTGCTCCTGCGTTGCCGTCGAGACCCGGCGACTCGCGGTGCGGCCCCGCCCGACCGCGTTCGGGGGCAACTGCTCCCGCCCGCCCGGTGTCGCCGCCGCCGCTCCTCCAGCCGCGCCGCCCTGCTCGAGGCCGTCGAACGCGTGATGCGCGCCCTCGTCGAGCTCATCTTCGCCGCTCCACGGCTCGTCGTGGTCGTGGTCCGGGTCGTCGTCGGTGTTGTCGTCGGTCGTGGTCGCGCGATCGGTCGGACGACCGGCCGAGTCGACGTCGTCCGCGTCGTCGAGGGCACGAGGGAACCGGCTCGGGTCGACAAAGGACGGGCCGGAGGGGAGGTTCTCGCCGAAGAAGGCCGCCGAGCGCGAGTACGACCAGACGAGGTCGAGGCTGCTCTGGATGGCGCCCTCGGCGTGGGCCGTGCCCTGCTGGGGCTGGCGAGTGGTCGAGCTGATCGGGATCCGGCGCGAGGTCATGCTGCCGCGAGGAGCACACGCGTAAAGAGAGGTGCGGAGCGAGGAGAGGGAGAGGGTCAGAAGCGTGGGTGACGAGCAGCCGATAAGCCGAGTCTCGAACTTCAGCCAGATCGTAAGGTCGATTAACGAAGCCCCCGGTTTGGAATAGCACCGCCTCGCAAGGCGAATTCGCCCCTCCCCTCTGGTCGCGCGCGTCGCTCGCTCCCTCTCCGCACTTGGCCTGTCGACCTCGCACCGCCCAACGACCATGGCGAGCTCTCCAGCGTGAGCACACTACTCTCTGAACCAGGTCAAGCCCGGCCCCACTGACCCTCGTGCCCTGCAGACCTCAAGGCGCACGCGACGACTTCCCTCACCTAACCCAGCCTGTCGTCCCCGACAACTGCATCAAGGTGAGCTCGAGTGCAGCTCAGCGCAGTCACGTACGCCCCGAGCACCCGACTGACCCACTCGTCGCCCTCGCAACAGGTGCTCGTCGCGACCGACACCCACATCGGGTACGCCGAGAAGGACCCGGTGCGCGGCCGCGACTCGATCAACACGTTCAAGGAGGTGCTCGACCTCGCCGTCGCCAACGATGTGCGTCGCCCTTTCTCTCCCCCTCGCCCCGCCCCGAAGCGAGACGGCGAGCTGACCTTGCCCCCCCCCCCCCCCCTTCCCCTCCTCGCTCGCAGGTCGACATGCTGCTCCTCGCGGGCGACCTCTTCCACGAGAACCGGCCGTCGCGCACTTCGCTATACCAGACCATCTCGGCCCTGCGCGAGCGCTGCCTCAGCGACAGGCCCATCGCCCTCGAGCTCGTCAGCGACGCCGGCGTGGGCATTCCTCGCGACGTCAAGTGCGTCGCCTCGCTCGCACATTCTCTCTCTCTCCCTCTTCCGACAGAGAGCTTACACTCTATTGCGTGACCGCAGCTGGCCGGGCGTCAACTACGAGGACGAGAACATCAACGTCGGCTTGCCCGTCTTCTCGATTCACGGCAACCACGACGACCCGCAGGGCGTTGGCGCTGTGCGTCTCCTCGTCTCTCTCTGTCCTGGATCGCCCTGAGCCGTGTATTGACTCGGCGCCCTCGCGACCAATGCTCGCAGGAAGGCGCCCTGTGCGCGCTCGACGTCCTGTCGGCCTCGGGCCTCATCAACTACTTTGGCCGCATGGAGCTCCCCGGGCAGGCCAACGACGACGCCGAGGCGCTCGAGGACGGCCTCAAGGTCAAGCCCGTCCTGCTCCAGAAGGGCGACACCAAGCTCGCGCTGTACGGCATGGGCAACATCCGCGACGACCGGTTCGTCTTCGAGTTGACCAACCGCCGCATCAACCTGTACCGCCCGGCCCAAGACCCCGACGACTGGTTCAACATAATCCTCGTGCACCAAAACCGGTGCGTCCCCCTTTCGTGCCCTCGAGAGCCGTGCCGCTCACGCCTTTCCTCCCTCTGCGACAGCGTCGCGCACGGCCCGAACAACTCGGTCCCGGACGAGGCGTTCGGCGAGGAGGCCAACCTCGTCATCTGGGGCCACGAGCACGACTGCATCGAGCAGGCGCGCCCGCAGCCCGTCACCGGTCGCCCGTACCACATCACGCAGCCGGGCAGCAGCATCGCGACGAGTCTCGCCAAGGGCGAGGCGATCCCCAAGTGCGTCCAGCTCTCTCCCTCTCTCCTTCTCCTCCTCGACGAGCCTGACGCCGAGCACGCTCCCCCTCGCAGGCACGTCGGCCTTCTCAAGATCCAGGGCAAGGAGTGGGAGTTTGAGCCGATCCGCCTGCGCTCGGTCCGCCCGTTCATCTTCGAGGAGGTGTCGCTCTTCGACTACCACGAGGACCAGACCGACGACCGCAAGAAGCTCACGAGCAAGGTCGCCGTCAACAAGTTCCTCAAGAGCAAGGTGCGCCTCGCCCTCTCGCCCTCTCGGTCGTCACGCTCGTCGCACGGCGCAGATGGACTGATTCGAGCTTGCTCCACGGCACACAGGTCAACGAGCTCATCAAGCGCGCCAACGCCGAGTGGGACGAGCTTCACCCGGACGAGGACGACTCGGAGCGTCTCCTCCCGCTCATCCGCCTTCGTGTGAGTCCTCCTCTCCCTTGTCCCTCACTCTCTCTCTCTCTCAGCCTCGCCGACGCGAGCCTCACTGACACTCGGGCGGTCCCTCGCAGGTCGACTACTCGCACGGGCCCGACGGCAACGGCTACTTCGAGGTCGGCAACCCGCAGCGGTTCGGGCAGGACTTTGTCGACAAGGTGGCCAACCCGCGCGACCTCGTCCAGTTTCACCGCAAGTCGGCGACCCGTGCGTCGCTGCTGTTCCTCCTCGTCTCGCCTACGCTCGTCGTCGTCGGCGACGTGAGCAGCGCTGACTCTTCTCGGCGTACACCGCGCGCAGGCAAGGCCAAGGTGACGATCAACCAGCCCGACCTCACGACGCTCGATGAGGCCATGCGCGAGGCGGCCGAGACGGGCTCGCTGTCGACCCAGTTCGAGAAGATCACGATCCAGAGCCTCGTGCACGAGTACCTCGAGGCGCAGAACCTCAACGTGCTCAGCGAGAGCCTCATCGAGAGCGCCGTCGACGAGTTTGTCGGCAAGGGCGATAAGGACGCCGTCGGCAAGTGCGTCGCTCGGTCCTCTCGTCGTCGTCGTCGTCGCTCTCCTCTAGCCAAGGAAGCCTCACTGACTTTGTTCACGGACGCGCTCGCGCACAGCTGGGTCAAGAAGCTCCTCCGCGACACGCGCAACGACATCATGAAGAAGGGCTTCGAGCCGAGCAAGGAGGGCTACGAGCACGACAACCTCGAGGACGAGATGCGTCAGGCCAAGAAGGCCACCGAGGCCAAGTACGGGCACAAGGTGCGTCCCACTCTCTCTCTTCCTACCTTCTCGTCGCCCTCGCTCTCGTGCGAGAGCTCTACTGACTATCTGCCTGCTCGTCGCAGAACAAGGGCAAGGGCAAGAGCAAGGGCAAGGGCAAGGCGGCCGAGTCCGACTCGGGCGACGACGACGACGACGACGACGACGACGACGACGACGACGACGACGCGTCCGAGGCGTCTTCCTCTCGCGCCGGCGCCAAGTCGAAGGGCAAGAGCAAGGCCAAGGCCAAGCCGCGCGACAGCATGGACGAGGACAGCGACGACTCGATGGCGGGCTCGTCGGGCAGCAGGCGCGCGCCGGCCAAGGGCAAGGGTACGTCGGCCAAGAAGGCGACGACGAGCAAGGCCAAGGGCAAGGGCAAGGCGCTCGTGCGTCCCCTCTTCCTCCTTTTCCTCGATCGAGCGGTCTCGAGGATGGCGACTGACTCTTTCTCACGGCCGGCGCTCCCAGTTCAACAAGTCGGACGACAGCGAGGACGAGAGCGACGACGAGGAGGAGAGCGAGGATCCGGCGCCCAAGAAGAAGGCGTGCGTCCCTGTCTCTCGTGGTCAATCTCGTTCGTCGTCCGCGACTGACTCTCTTCCTCGCCCTCCCCTCCTCTCCCTCTCGCCGCGACGCGCCGCAGCCCCGTCAAGAAGGCGGCCGCCGCCAAGAAGGTCGTCGCGCCGACGACCAAGAAGCCTCCTGCGCGCAGTGCGGCCAAGAAGGCGACGCAGAGCATCACGCTCGAGACCGACTCGGAGGACGACAGCTCGGTCGACGAGGCGCCGAGCAGGAAGCGCAAGCGGTGAGGGGCACGCTGCTCGAGGGAGGTCGAGGGAGGTCAAGGGAGGCTTGTGTAGCTTGCCTGAGCGCTCGCGGTGGAACGCTCGAGCCGTTGATCGTCCTCTGGTGGAGGGAGAGAGCCGAAAAAAGGGCCGGAAGCGCTCGGCCGGGCAAATTGGGCCTCCGCTCTCGGTCGCACTTGCGTCGGCGGCGAGCCGCTCGCCTGTCGTCCTCCACTCGCCCTCAGCACCCCTCTGCGAGCTGCCTGCTAGCTTCGCCTGCTCCGCTATACACCCCAAGCACACCCTCAAGATGAGCGCTCCCAGTCTCGCTGCTCCCGTCCACAACGAGGACACGGCGCTCCCCACCGGCGCCCACAACATCTCCTGCGTGCGTCCTCCTCTCTCTCTCTCCCTGTCCCGGTCGAGGCAGCACTGACGCACTCCTCTGCAGGTCTTGCACGGCATCGACGACGTCCGCTTCGAGGACCGGCCTGTGCCGACCGAGTGCGGCGAGGACGAGTGCGTCTCCTCTTCCCCCTTCCCCTCTTCCCGCGCCTCTCGAGCGCTCCTTCTGCTTTTCGAGACTCTTTGGCTCTCGAACGAGGTGCACTGGAGGTATCGGGTGCGCAGGAGAACTGACCCGGCTCTCGTTCCCGCAGCGCGATCGTTTCGCCAGCCAAAATCTCGGTTTGCGGCTCCGACACGCACTATATCAAGCATGGCCGCATCGGCGACTTTATCGTCGAGAAGCCCATGGTCCTCGGCCACGAGACGGCGGCCGTCGTCGTCCAGGTTGGCAGCCGCGTCACCAACATCAAGGCCGGCGACCGCGTCGCGCTCGAACCAGGTCGCTCCTGCAGGGTCTGCTCCGACTGCAAGGCCGGCTTCTACAACCGCTGCGCCAGCATGGCCTTTGCAGCTACCCCGCCTTATGATGGCGAGTCCGAAATCGTCTCGAAACCGAGTCCGCGTACTGACTCGGTCGTTCCTCCCGGTCCACAGGCACCCTCGCCGCCTACTACACGCTCCCTGCCGACCTGTGCTACCCCTTGCCGAGCAACATGTCTCTCGAGGAAGGCGCCCTGCTCGAGCCCATGTCGGTCGGTGTCCACGCCGTTCACAAGGTGGTCCGTCAACGTCTCTCTCTCTTTTCTTCCCTCGCTCTCGAGGATCAAGGGCACGATCGCTCACGACGTCGAGAGCTGCATGCAGGCCCAAATGAAAAGCGCCGCCAACGTGGTTGTCTTTGGCGCAGGCCCGGTCGGCCTCCTCACGTGCGCTGTCGCCAAGGGTCTCGGAGCGCGCAAGGTCATCGCTGTCGGTGCGCCCCCCTCTCGCTCTATCGAGGAGGAAGAGCCGTACTGACCCTCCCCTCTTCCCCGCAGACATCCAGGAGGCTCGTCTCGCGTTCGCCAAGGAGCAGGGCCTCGTCGACGACTACTACCTTCCGCCCAAGCCGCAGGACGGCGAGGCCAAGGCCGACTACCCGCGCCGCAACGCCAAGGAGCTTTGCGAACGCTTTGGGTTCGAGGAGCGCGGGCCTCGCGGCGTCGACCTCGTCCTCGACTGCTCGGGGTGCGTCTCGCGCTCTCCCTCTCCCTCTCTTCGAGCATCCTCGAGTGCCTCCTCCTGACGCTCTCGCTGCCGCAGAGCCGAGGTGTGCATCCAGACCGGCGTCTTCGTCCTCAAGCACGGCGGCACGCTCGTCCAGGTGCGCTCCCTCTCCCTCTCCTCCTTCTCTTCTCGTACGACGTCCCTGACGTCGTCATCGTCCGTGTGCGCAGGTCGGCATGGGCAAGCCCGACATCACGCTCGACATGCACACGATCATCACGCGCGAGTTGACGCTCAAGGGCTCGTTCCGGTCCGTCGTCGTCTCTCTCTCTCTCTCTCACGAGGTCACGGACACGACCGCTCACGACGTCAACGAGTGCATGCAGCTACGGTCCGGGCGTTTACGAGCTCGCGATGGACCTCGTCGCTCGCGGCGCCGTCAACCTCAAGTCGCTCATCTCGCACAGGTGCGCTCGAGCCCCTCGTCCTCTCCCGCCTCGCCTCGCCTCGCCTCTCTCCTGTCCTCCTGTCTCGTCCCCTCCTCTCCTCGCCGAGCCGGACCCTGACTCGCCCTCGCACGTCCACAGGTACGCGTTCCGCGACGCACTCAAGGCGTTCGAGGCGAACCACACGGGCATCGCGGAGGATGGAAGGCCGTTGATCAAGGCGGTCATCGACGGGCCTCGCGTCGACGAGAAGCTCGAGTGAGGCTCTCTCTGTTTTCCGGGCAGGGTGACGAGGGGCAGGACGAGGGGGGCTTGGACAGAGTGAAATGAAAGCAGTACAAGGAGCGACGAGGCTCGAGGTCTATCCACGGGTTCTACAAGACAGAGCGAGAGGGACGTAATGGGGATGTAGGAGAAGTGTCGAGGCGCATGTAGGTAGATGCAGGAGGAGGAGGCGAGAGGGAACGAGAGAGAGAGAGTCCAAGCGGGGAAGGAGGGGAACGTGCGCTGCCGAGTCGGCGGCTTTTCCAACGGCGAGAGCGCCGTCTACTGGTTCTGCAGCTGTGAACAGGAGAGACAGTGTCAGTGACTGACCTTGAGAGCGGCACAAGAGAGAGAGAGAGAGGTCGAGGCGCACCTTGCCGGTGCTCGTGCCGAGGCGCCGAGGCGAGCCGTCGACGAGAAGCTCTGAACCTCTCTCTCTGTCTCTCTCTCTCTCTCTCGGATGACGAGGACGAGCATGTAGATGCGCTTGGACAAAGTGGAATGAAGCAGTACAAGGAGCGCGACGAGGCTCGAGGGATCTATCGACGGGTCTACAAGCGAGAGCGCGAGGTGGACGTAAGGGAGAGGGATGTAGGCGAGGATCGAGACGCAGGCAGGTAGATGCAGGATGACGAGAGACAAGCGCGAGAGAGAGAGAGGGGTCAAAGCGAGGGAGGAGATGGGGAGAGAGCGTGCGCCGCCGAGCGCGGCGGCTTTTTCGACGTGCGCGACGTCTACTGGTTCTGCGGGCCGCGAGGACAGAGAGAAGTGTCAGTGTCGGTCTTCGAGGATGTCGCAGAAAGGAAGAGGAAAGAGAGAGAAGTCGAGGCGCACCTTGCCGTAGCTCGTGCCAAGGCGAGCGATGGGCGGCTGGATCGCCGACGTGTACTCGCCGCGCGCGTACCGCTCGTTCTGTTCCTGGTCGATCTCGCGCTTGGGCTTGTCGGCGTACTCGAGCTTCATGTCGGCGACGAGCTGGATCAGGTCGTCGACGGCCTCGCGCGTCACCTGGTGGTGCACGACGATGCGGTTCGAGCCGAGCGTGAGGCCGCGCGTCTTGGCGCGCTGCGCGAGGTCCGAAATGGTGAAGCCGAGCGACGACGGGTCGAGCCAAAGCATGTTGGTCTCTGCACGGGAGGAGGGACAAGGCCACGTCAGGGAGAGATTCTTGACGAGAGAGGGAGAGAGAGGAGGGACGCACCGACAGGGAGGAGGAGCTGAGCGCCGTGTGCGGCGAGGCCCTTTGCGAGGTACGAGCACAGGTCGTGGGTCGCCTTGAGCTTGGGGAAGTGGTTGTCGACGCAGTAGTCGGCCGCGACGGCGAGCGAGCCGCACTGGCGAATGCCGCCGCCAAACGCCTTGCGGAACCACTTGACCTTTTCGATAAACTTGCGCGGGCCGACGAGGACGCTGCCGACGGGCGCGCCGAGGCCCTTGGACAGGCACAGCGAGACCGTGTCGAACGGGCGGCACAGCTCCTCGAGCGACATGCCCGTCTTGGCCGCCACCTCCCACATGCGCGCACCGTCGCAGTGCATAATGATGCCGTTCGAGCGCATGCAGTCCGAGATGCGGATGATCTCGTCCTGCGGGAACACCACTGCGCGCGAGGGAGAGGGGGAGGTCTGTGCGTCAGGGACCGCCCTGACTGGATCTACCTGCGCCGGCCGCAGAAGGACGGCACAGGAAACAGAGAGGGGAACGAGAGCGCGACGCACTGCCAGAGAGCGTGTTCTCGAGCGAGACGAGCTTGGTCGGCGCCGAGTGGATGTCCTCGCCAAAGACGGCGTTGTCGAGCACCTCCTCGAGCGTGAGGTGGTGGCCGTTGCGCGGCGGGACGGCGTGCGACGACGCCTGCGAGTGCATGGCGACGCCGCCGGCTTCGTACAGGTGCACGTGCGAGCGCGCGTCGAGGATGATCGAGTGCGGCGGCTGCGTGAGGTGCGTGCGGATCGCGAGCTGGTTCGTCTGCGGGGTGCGCGAGGGCGGGTCAGTGGACGAGCACCACCGCACTATCGAGGCGCTCGCTCGCTGCTGTCGCAACGAGGAGCGCCAGGAGAGCGAGAGGCGGACGCACCATAGTGCCCGAGACGCAGAACAGGCCCGCCTCCTTGCCGGCCATCTTGGCGATCTTGTCCTGCAGGTCGTTGGTCGCCTGGTCCTCCTGCGCACAGTAAAGCTCTGTGAGTCGGGCTCCCGGCACCGAACAAGGCCGGCTCGCCCGTCCTGGTCGGACGAGCGGCAGGGCCGAGACGAGCGAGAGGTGCGACGCACGCCGTAGACGTCGTCGCCGCGCGAGGCACCGCGCATGAGGTCGAACATCTCCTCGGTCGGCATCGTGATCGTGTCGCTGCATGGAGGAGAAGGCGGGATGCCGATGGCAGGAGGAGGAGGAGGGAGGAGAGTCAGTGCGACGTTCGACGGGTGTACAGGGCCTCGGCGCCTCCCGGAGGAGCACGGCGGCGTCGCTGACACTCGTACGAGTGCAACAGGCGCGCGACCGAGCGTGCCGGTGCACTCCGGGGCGAGCCCGGGGGCTCTGAGGAGGAAAGGCCGCAGAAAGAGAGGAGAAGGGCGGGCGACGCACGTGCGGAAGTCGCGCTGGATCTTGGCGGCGTGGGCCGCGTTCTGCTGAGCACGGTCGACCTTGGTCATGGTGGCTAGAGCTGGTGGTGGTGGTGGTGAGGAGGGGGCGGTGCGAGGGTTGACTGGGGCGGAGGACGAGGCGGGCGGTGGAGGAGGGCGACGACGAGCAGAGGGGCGGGCGACGGTGTGCGACGCGCGGAGCAAGGGGACCGAGTTGAAACGGCGAGTGCAGGTGCGGCAAGCGGGTTGAACGGCCTGGACGAAGAGGAGCATCCGTCGAAGCTCTGCCGCCGCGCTCGCTCGCGCTGACAAGTTCGGCGCTCTCGGGCCTCGGCTCGTCTCGCTTTCGCCACCACCGTCTGCGCCCGACCTCTCTCAGGGACAGCCGCAACGTGCAGTGATAGAGAGTCAAGTTGCAGGTGCGGCGGCCGCTCATTTAACTCCGAGACGGGGAGCTGCCGCACTTTTCTGGATCAACGACAAGAGAGAGAGAGAGAGAGAGAGATGCGGGTTGCTGGGGGAGGGAATAGGGACAGAGGTGGGGCTCTAGAGGAGCGTCTCGCCGAGCGCGCAGCGGATCAGGCTCCGGCCGACGTCGACCGTCTGCTGCACGTCGCCCTCCATGGCCGCGATCGACGGGTTGATCTCCTGCGCCCAGTGTCGTCCGAGCAGTCAGTGACGGTGCCGAGAAAATAGAGAGAGAGAGACGAGGGACGCACCATGATGTCGAGCGAGACGAGGCGGCCCGTCTCGGCGAGAGCTGCGAGAGGACGAGAGGACGATGGTCAGGCGGACCGTGCGCGACGAGACAGGACGCGAGAGAGAGAGAGAGAGGGAGGACGCACCCTCGCAGATGTAGTGGCCCTCGCGGAAGGTCAAGCCGCCGCGAACCTGTGGCGAGGAGGGAAAGAGGAAAGGTCAGGGCCCGCTCGAGCCGGTTGAGGACCGAGGTCTCGACGCACGGCAGTGCCAGTCGACGGCGCGACAGTCGGGTCGAGAGCATCTGTGTGGGCGAGGGCGCGTCAGGGCTGACTCTCGGGCCGAGGGAAGAGAGGGAGGAGGGACGCACCGACGTCGAACGAGAGGTGGATCGGGCGGTCCTTGCCGACGTGCTCGAGCGCCATCTCGACGACCTTGCCGATGCCGTACTTGTCGACGTGGTGCATCGAGAACGCCTTGATGTCTGCGGCGCGAGGTCGACAGCGTCAGGCGGGGCCAGACTGGCAGAACGAGCCGGGCCGTCGACGAGGACGAGCCGGCTCGAACAGGAGAACGGCCGCCCGACGCACTGTTCTCCCTCAGGATCTTGCGCTCGCCGGCGTCAATGTCGCGCAGGCCGATGTAGACTAGGCGCTCCGACTTGAGGACGGGCTCGATCCAGGCGTACTCGGGGATCTCGTCCTTGGACGTGCCGGGGAGGCCCATGAGGAACGACACGGGGCACCCGTGCAGGTTGCCCGACGGCGTCGTCAGAGGCGTGTTGATGTCCTGCAGGTCAAGAGGTCTGGGTCAGTCGTCCGGATCATGGCACTCGCGCCGACGGGAGGGCTCTCTCGCCGAGCGTGAGCTCGTCTCGACGGCGGGACTCACGGCGTGCGCGTCGACCCAGATGAGCGCCGCGTCCGGGTGCTGCTTGAACGTGCCGCTGACGGTGCCCATGGCCTGTGCGCATGCAGGACCAGGGTCAGTTGACGTCGCTCGAGAGAGAGAGAGAGAGAGAGCCGGACGCACGAGCGAGTGGTCGCCGCCGATGGTGACGGTGAGCTGGCCGTTGCTCGAGTGCTTGTAGACGCGCTCCGACACCTCCTGATTGACCTGCGGGCAAGCACGACGAGTTAGTGCGCAGTCGACGGCGAGAGAGAGAGAGTCAGAGAGAGCGGCCGAGGGCGCACCTTGCTCACGAGCCGGGGCTTCTTGAGGACGCCGATGTCGGGGTCGGGCTTGTCCGACACGAGCGAAGCAGACTCGAGCGTGTCGGCGCCGGCAAAGTCGACCTTCCACCCGAGGGCCTGCGTGCGAGCCCAAGACCACGGTCAGCTTGCGAGGGTCGACGACGACGGCGAGAGGGAGCAGGAGGGAGGGGGCGCACCTCGATGTCGCCGACGAGGCCCGACTCGATGAGCTGGAGCGGACCGGTCTGCGTGGACGGGAGGGACGAGGTCAGCTCTACCGCATTCTCTCGGACGCGAGGACCGTGGGGAGGAGGACAGGGAGAGGGGACGCACCTCGACGCCAGGACGCGGCTGTCCACCACTGCAGGGCACGCAAGAGAGTCAGTCGGCGTAACCGAGTGGGCAAAGGGGCGGGCCTTGGAAAGATGGGCGGAGCGAGGCGGTGCCGAGTGGACGAGCGAGCGGGACTCACGAGAACGGGGCGCACACGAGCCCGATGGTGGGCTGCGCGGCCTTGAGGTGGCGGTACTCGTACGTGGGCTTCTGCTGCGGCTCGCCGAGGGACATGGTGGGCTGGTCGAGTGGTGGTGGAGGAGGAGGAGGTGAGCGCCGAGCGAAGCGGCCACCCGTTGAAGATCACCTGATTCTCGCTTTCCACGTGCGCGCTCGTCGAGAAATTGCTTGCTTGCACGCTCTCGCTCTCTCGCACGTCAGCAGACGAGCGCGCTCACCTTGTGGTCGCAGCGGGAGCGAGTCTCGTCCGGCCTCTCTCGGACCGCTTACTCAGGTGGTCGAACCGATTTTACAACGCGCACTCGCCCGCTCTACACGCGCGCACGTCCTCCCTGACACCGAGAGCCCAACGCTCAGTCGATGCGGGTGATGAGCGGCGCCTTGCGCGCCGGGCTCGCGCTCCGTCCGCGCGCAGCTCGTGCCGGCTCCTTGGCCGCAGGCCTGTCGCGCACGAGGGAAGAAGGCTCGTCAGTACATGCGTCTCGAAGACGTCGACAGAGAGAAGATGAAAGAGGGAACGAGAGACGCACTGCTCTGTCGGCTGGACGAACGCAAAGTCGCACGCGAGGACCTTCTCGAGGAACGGCTCTTGAGGCGCCTCGGCGATGGCCTTCTCAGCCTCGGCCTTGGTCTCGTACTCGACGAGGGCGTAACCCTGTGTGCGCGTGCGACACACGAGAGGGTCAGTCTCGGGTTCCGCATCGCGCCGGACTTCGCCCTCGCGACAACGGCGTGTGCTGCGCCATCGCCAGCGACGTCGCAGCGACGGCAGCCTCGCGAGAGCGTGACATGTCGTCGCAGCTCGGCCAGCGCGACGAGCAGCCACGAAGGAAGGGCAGGAAAAGCGCGAGCGCACCTTGATGAAGCCCGTCCTCCGGTCCAGGTTGAGGTGCAGGTTGCGGACCGTGCCGTAGTCGCTGAACCGGTCCATGAGGTCGTCCTCGTTCGCCTCCTCGTGCACGTTGGTGACGATGATGATCCAGCCCTCGATCGCTGACGGAGGCGGGTCGGTGCGTGCGAGTCGGGGAGGGCGCGAGGAGGAGAGGGAGGTGGTGGGGGAAGGTGAACGGGTGCGACGGCGAGATGCGGCGAAGGAGAGGGCAGGAGGGGGAGACAGAAGGTCAGTGTGCTGCTCGAGTCGCTCGCGCACCGCCTCCTGACCGCCGGGAGGGAGCAAGAAGGGTGCTCACATCGCTGCGCCTTGTCGCCCGTGTTCGCCGACGGCGTGATCGTCTGGTACTCGCCGCGCGTGTCCTCCCGCTCTGCAATGGGCGAGAAGGGGGGATCTGATAGTCAGCGCCGCTGCTCAGGGACGTGAGGGCGGCCGGGTCAACCTCATCGCCCGGCGAGAGCTGCTCGGTCGTCTTGCGAGCCAAGACCGCCAGGGAGAGGGGTAGAGAGACAGGACGCACCGTCCTTCGAGTTGAAGCCGCGGCCCTTGCGCTTGACGGCGGCGTCTGCGTGGCGAGGAGCGAGGGCGGACGGCGCGGCGGGGGAGACGAGGCGGAGGAGGAGGACGAGGGGCAGGGTCAGGTCTGGCGCGGGGGGCAAGTGCAGAGAGCGTGGGCGCACCAGAGTCGACTTCCATGCGGTCGGACTGCATCTTGCGCGGGTGTGCGAGAGGGTGAGGGGGAGGCTAAGAGGGTGCCGGCGAGCGGCGAGGAGGCGACGGCGCGCTCTCGTCAACTCTCCTCGTAGGCTTTCAGGACACGTGCAGCACACTCTCACGATCTCGTGCATCTCTCTCGCGAGCGCGCTAGTGCGCAAAATGCCGAGGGGAGCTCGCCAGAGGGAGGGGAAAAGGGCGAGGTCTAAGAGTTACAGCACGACGAAGCGAGACGAGGGAGGGAGGGATAAACGGGGTGGTGCGGCGCACTCGCGAGTACTGGAGGAACAGGACGGGCGAGGGTAGGCGGCGGCGGTGGGGGCGGAAGGGAGGGAAGCGGAGTGGGGGAAGATGCGGGCTGAGGGTCGTGAACGGCTTGCGATGGTGGAACTGCGAGTGGTGGTTGGCGTCGTCGGTCGCCTTTTACTTCTTCTTGGCGTCCTCGACGTAGACCTTGGACACGACACCGGTGCCGACTGCGAGAGGGCGAGGGGAAGAGGTCAGTTCGGCGCATCCTCGACTTCTTCCTCGACGACGCCGACGACGAGGACGCCTCGAGGGAGAGAGAGAGGAAGATGAGACGCACCAGTCTTGCCGCCCTCGCGGAGAGTGAAGCGCGAGCCCTGCGCGGGAAGAGAGGGTCAGGAACGGTCTGGACTCGACGCGGTCCATGGAGGGCCTGAACGCCCTCGCCAAGTCGAAAAAACTCACCTGCTCGAGACCGATCGGGTGCACGAGTTGGCCGACGAGGGTGCACGAGTCTCCCGGGAGGACCATCTTCTCCTCGCGGTTTTCCGTCCCTTCGGGAAAGGTGAGTCCGACGGTCACGTCAGACGTGCGGATGAACAGCTGGGGGCGGTAGTTGTCCATGAAGGGGGTGTACCGACCCCCCTCCTCCTTGGTCAGAATGTAGCACTCGGCCTCGAACTTGCGGACGGGCTTGATGGTGCCGGGGGCCGCGATGACCATGCCGCGCTTGATCTGCTCGCGCTTGACGCCGCGCAGGAGGGCGCCCATGTTGTCGCCGGCCTCGCCGCGGTCGAGCTCCTTGTGGAACATCTCGATGCCTGGTCGAGGGAGAGACGTCGAGATGCACGAGTGGCGGGAAGAGGCGGCGACGAGGAGGAGGAGGGGGAAGGGGTGCGAGCGGGGGGTCAGCGACGGCGTCCTCGAGTCCTGAAACGGCTCCATCTCACTCATGCTGCACCGCGACGACGACACGAGCGAAGAGAGAGGGGACGCACCGGTGAGGGTCGTCTTGAACGACGCGCCCATGCCGACAATCTCGATCTCGGCGCCCTTGAGGATGGTGCCGCGCTCGACGCGGCCGGTGACGACGGTACCGCGGCCCTGGATCGAAAAGACGTCCTCGACGGGCATGAGGAAGGGCTTCTCGAGGTCGCGCGGCGGCTGGTCGAGCCACGAGTCGACCGACTCCATGAGCTCGAGGACCGACTCCTTGCCGATCTTGTGATCGCGGTCCTCGAGGGCGGCGAGCGCCGAACCCTTGACGATCGGCGTGTTGTCGCCGTCAAAGCCGTAGGTCGACAGGAGGTCGCGCATCTCCATCTCGACGAGCTCGAGCATCTCGGCGTCGTCGACCTGGTCGACCTTGTTGATGTAGACGACGAGCTTCTTGATGCCGACCTGGCGGGCGAGGAGCAGGTGCTCACGGGTCTGCGGCATCTGGCCGTCCGACGCCGACACGACAATGATGCCACCGTCCCTGCGAGAGGAGAGCTCGTCAGTCGGGAAGGCTCGAGACGTGACGAGAGGACCGAAACAGGGGCGTACATCTGAGCGGCACCGGTGATCATGTTCTTGATGTAGTCGGCGTGTCCAGGGCAGTCGACGTGAGCGTAGTGGCGGTTGCTGCAGGAGGTGCGGCAAGAGAGTGAGCGCGCGCTCTTCTCGCCCGCGAACGGTGGCACAGATTGGCCCGGCGATGGCGCCACCTCGGACACGATCGACGAGTGTACACGACGGTAGAGGAAGGGCGACGCACCCAGTCTCGTACTCGACGTGCGCGGTCGCGATGGTGATGCCGCGAGCCTTCTCCTCGGGCGCCTTGTCGATGGCGTCGTACGCGAGGACCTTGCCCGAACCCGACGCCTCGGCGAGAACGCGCGTGATGGCGGCGGTGAGGGTCGTCTTGCCGTGGCTGCGCAACAGGACGACCGAGCGAGGTCAGCGGACGTCGGCGGGAGGGAGGAAGAAAGGCGGTGCGACGGACTCGACGTGGCCGATGGTACTGCGCGCAGGCTCGAGAGGGTCAGTCTCGTCGCGATAGAGGGAAAGGGTGACGGGCAGAAGAGCAAGGACGCACCCGATGTTCATGTGCGGCTTGGAGCGGGTGAACTTGCCGCCAGCCTCGGCAGCGTAGCCACGGACCGGTCCGACTGCGGGAATTCGAGGGTCAGCTCCGTGTAGTACTCGAGAAGGAAGAGCAGGACGCACGGGCACGACCGAGGACGGCAGCGCGAGGAGCGACGGCGCGGAGAGCGGCGGCCTTGGGGAGCGCATTCGGGCGAGCGGCAACCGCGACTGTGCGTGCGACGAATTCGATGCACAGGCAGAAAGTGTCAGCTAGTCCCACCCATCGAGTTGGTCCACGCAGAACCGGAAACGAGGCACTGTGGCGCTCGACCGGGCGACGAACGAGGCGATGAGAGGAGGAGGGACGCACAGGAGCGGGCCGAAGCGGCGAGCGACGGCGAGAGCTGCTTGTTGGCGGTAAGGCGAAGGGCCTGGCGAGTGGCAAGCATGGCTGGTGGCTCGGGTGCGAGTGCTGGACGTGGACGACGAGGGAGGTGCGCGATCTCGGCCGCGGAGCAGAGCCAAAGCTTTCTTGACAGCACCACTCGCCCGCCTCCCACGTCGCCCCGCTGGGCCGTCTTTGAGCCGCCACCATTCGCCAGCAATAACAGACGTCGAGCGAGCCACCCGCACCGTCCCAACGAGCCGCCCTCGCCCACTTCTCGACTCGTCACGCCCTCATCGCTCGAGCGACCTCACGGCGACCACACTGCTTCCGCGGCCGCAAGCTGTGCTTCACGTACATCAGCTGTGCCCTGTGGCTCCTTGCGCCCCCCTCAGCTGCAGCGCGGCCGCTCCCTCGCCGAGCAGGAGGGTCGAGAGCACTGCGGTGGCCTCTGAGCTGCTGCGGCACCCCTCGGCTCCTGCTTCAGTCGCGCACGCCTCGGCGGTATCCCAGAGCCTCCAGCTATAGCTTGCGGCACGAAATGCTGCCGAATCAGTGCTCCCTCGAGTCGGCCTCGGTTCAGGAAGGCCGACTCGTCTGGTCGCTTCGAGGGCCCTTGTCGCCTCGTTACCAGCTTCCGTAGCTCTGCAGAAGCGCGCGCGAGAGGCACTTGCTCTTTGCATCGACCGAGAGGGGGTGGCAGCCACGTTTGCGCTGCGCAGAACCGGACCCAGGTCGTTCAGATCTTCCGAGAAGGCTTTCGCTTCGTCGCCGCTCGTCGACCTCGCGGCAGTAAAGAGCATGAGGAGAGCTCCGAACGACCATGCTGAGAGAGCTCAAGGCGGGTTTGCTCAATGCAGGCTCTGCCCTTCTACTCGTCCCCCTCCACCTCCTCCTTGATCCCGGCCTCGCCCGCTCCGGCCGCCGGCTTCTGCTCGCCGCCCTGCTGCTGCGCCTCAACGACAGCCTTGGCGAGCCGCTTGTACTCGTCGAGGAGGAGCTGGATCTCGCCGAGCTTGAGGTCCGCCGCCGAGCCGACGTCGACGAACCGGCTGTTGGGCTGCAAGGCGACCGACGCCAGGGCAGGCAAGGGCGAGGCGGGTGCGGGTGCCGGTGCGGACGACGACGATGTAGAAGACGAGGTGGCCCAGGGCGACAGCGCGACGCCGTTGAGCGGGTTGAGGAGCGACGACCTGCGTGACGAGACGGGCGACGTGCTCGCTGCCGGGCCCGACGACGTCGGTGGTGCCGCCGACCCGCCGCCAGCAAAACGATGCAGGCCCGACAAGCCCGCCAGTCGCCCGCTGAACGAGCCCGAGCGCGGCTCCTCGGCCGCCGGCGCCGCAGCAGCCCCGGCTGGGCCGCCCGCGACGCCGACTGTCGCGCCCGCCGCACCAGCGGCACCCGCCGCCGCGCCGACGACGCCGTCGCGGACCTCGCCGAGTGCGCGCCCGAGCGACGAGTCGCGAAAGTTGAGGAACGACGACACGCTGCGGATCGAGCGGGCGTCGTCGTCCTTGTCCTTGAGCGGCGCCTCGGCGGCCGTTGAGCGAGGGTGACGAGGCGGCGGCGGCGGGGCGTACGCCTCGGCGGTCGTCGTCGGCGCAGACGGCGTGCCCGAAGGCGACGACGGCGTGACGACGACCATCTCCTCGCCCTTGGTCCGGGTCGCGCTCGGGCCTGACACGGCGAGCGGCGCCGACTTCTCGTCGCCGTCGAGCGCGAGCGTCATGGCCCTGCTCGATCGGGCGCTCGACCCGGTCCCGCTCGGCGACTGCGACGCACCGAGGCGCGAAAAGGTCGCGCTGCGCCGGAACGGCAGGCTCTCCCTCGCGCGGCCCCTCGCGCCCTCGAGGACCGACTTGACGTCCTCGAGGCTGCGAGGTGCGGCCGCCGACAGGCCCTTGGGCCCGAACAGCGCGTGGTACGACGAGCCGACGAGGCCGGTCAGGGCCGTGTTGGCCGAGCCGACGAGCTGGTCGGCCGTCGTCGACACGCGCGAGCGCAGGAGCGAAGGCGTCGTGTAGGCGCGAGGACGGGTCGTCGGCGACGCGAGAGACGAGGTTGACGGCGACGAGCCGAGGGAAGGGGTGGGTGCGCCGCCGCCGCCAGTCGTGCCGCCGAGGAGCTTGGACGACGACAGGCCGAGGGACGACACGTCGACGTGGTTGAGGAACTCGACGACGGCGTCAAAGTTGGTGGCGCAGAAGCTGCTCTGGCCGCGCAGGAGCGACTCGGACCGGAACCGGTGGACAAAGTGGAGGTGCGACACGAGGTGGGGCGGGTTGGCGCGCACGACCGAGTAGATGAGGAGGGGAAGGATGAGGTCGGCGCTCGAGGTGGCCGTCGTCGAGGCGATCGAGGCCGGACGACGCTTCGTCTCGAAGATCGAGACGGGAGGCGAGGGTGCGGCGGTGGCGACGACAGGACGCTCGAACATCGAGGAGGACGTCGCGTCGAGGACGGACGTCGACAGCTCGTTGGCCTCGGGCAGCTTGATCTCGGGCACGTCGCGCTCCTCGTTGGGCAACGGCGCTCGCGGCGTCTTGAGGAGCTCGTCGTCCGACTGCTTGTGCTCGAGGTGCCGCGGCGGTGGCGGCGACATGGCTCGCGACGGCGGCAGCGAACTCGAGCGGGACGACGCGTCGTCCATCTCGACCTCGACCGGGTGGTCCGAGAGCGACGCCTTGTCGGCCTCGTCGAGGTCCTTCTTGAGCGGGACGGGCGGGAGCTTGCTCAGGCCGTCGACGAGGACCTTGTGGCACTCGACGAGGATCGCGAGCTTGGCGCTCGGCGTCCGCTCGTGCGGGTCCTCGAGGCGGTTCAGTTCTGCGGGCAGGTGTTGAGAGCATGTCAGTACGGGATGACGGCGAGGCGACGAGAGACACAAGGACGCACGACGACCGACGAGCGCCGCCAAGTCCTCCAAGCTCTCCCTCGGGCCGCTGCTCCTGCCCTCCCACCCCGGCAGCTCCTCGCCGTGCTCGTCGTCGCCGAGGTCGATCCCGAGGTGGTCGAGCCCGAGCTCGAGCACGTTGAGCGCCGCGATCCGGCTCGCGAGGTTCTCGTCCTCCTGCAGGTCCCGGCTGCCGCCGCCGCTCGCGCCCGTGCGCTCGTCGCGAGGCGCAAAGAGGCGGTCGTGCAGGACCGACGTCGCGAGGTCCTCGAGCTGCTCGAGCGCCGCGTCGACGCGCTCCTCGAGCTGCGAGAAGTCCTCCATCGACGGGGCGGCATCGGCGGCGGTGGACGAGGACGAAGAGGCGTCGACGTCGCTCGAGGCGGTCGGCGACCCGAGGTTGCGCGACAGGTTCAGGCGGACGTGGTGCATGGCGTCCTGGTACGCGTCCGAAACGTCGGCCGGCTCTGCCGCAAACAGGCTGTCCTTGACCGGCGCCGACGCTCCCGCTCCCACCGCCGCCGCCGCCGTCGTCGTCGCCGGGGCCGCCGCCGCGCCGCTCGAGCCGCTCGCCGCACCAGCCGGCGGCGGGCCGAGGCTCGTCGCGAATGCCGCGAGCTCGCCGAGCACGTCTGCGTCGCCCTCGACGCCCGGGACCGCCTTGCCCGCGCGGCGGATGTGCGCCGCCGTCGCGCGCGTGATGGCCTCGACGACCTGGTCGCGACGGACGACCTTGCCGACGGCGAGGACGGGCACGTCGATGCTGGCGGCCTTGCGCGTCGCGGCGGCAGGGTCGCCGTCGGTGGCGGCGGGCGAGGCCTCGCCCGAGAGGAGGCCGGCGGGTGCGGCGACGACGGGCGGGAGGTCGGACGAGTCGGTGGGCGTGGGCGTCGGGGCCTGCTTGGCGAAGAGGGCGGCTAGGCGGCTGGTCGTGCGCGAGGTTGGAGGCGGAGAGGGCGTGGAAGGGGTGGAAGGGCGAGCGAGAGGGACCGAGAGGTGCGTGATGGCCGAGATGAGCATGTTGGACGGGTAGGTCGTGCCGGTTGGCGGCGCAGGAAGCGGTGCGACGCCTCGCAGCGCCCTGAGCGTCTCGTCCTTGGCCAAGTCCCGCTCGACCGTCTCGCCTTCGAGGACGAGGCCGCCGCAGCTCGTAAAGACGAGCTCGCCGCCCGTCAGGACGCCTCGAAGCCCGCTCAGGGTCGCGAAGCCGCGCTCGATGGCGAGGTGGTGGCTGGTCGGGGCGGTCGAGGGCGCATCGAGGAGGACGACGTGGTCGAGGAGGAAGGCGGGCGTGAGCTGCGACGGCGAGTCGAGCTTCTCCGCCGGGAGGAGCAGTGTCGCCTGTGGGTACCGGCTCGAGTCAATGACGAGACCGAGAGAATCGGAGAGAGCGAGACGGGGCGCACCTTGCCGCGCGAGACGAGGTCCTGCAGCCCTGCCAGCTCCGGCTCGGCGCCGACGCTCGCGACGCGCGTGACCAACGCTGCTCCGGCGCTCTCGGCGGCGAGCCCGAGGGCCTGGAGCTCGGCCTTGAGGGCCTGGCGTTGGAGCTGCTCCTTGGCCTCGGACACGGAGCGGGCGTACTGCCGACCCGAGGGCGACGGCAGGCTCGAGTTGCTCGGGCGCGAGACGAGCGGCGGGAGGAACGGGGCGCTCGTCGGGGCGAACGGCGGGGACGACATGGTGCTGCCCGGTGCGCTCGACGACGACGGCGAGAGCGGGCCCTCTCCCGGCGAGACGAGCGCCGAGGACGGCGAGGTCGAGGTGAAGGACCCGGTGCTCGCGCCTGCTGCCCGACGCTTGCCCGCGCTGTACACGGCGTAGGGCCCGCTGCTGCTCGTGCCCGTGCCCTGCGAGTCCTGCTGCTGCGACGACGACGACGCGAGGAGCGGGTGTTCCGAGCCACGCAGGCTGCGACGGCTCGACTGGCGCGACACGCTCGTGCGCGGGGCGGGCACGTCGGCCGAGGCCGAGTCTGCGGATGGCGAGCTCGAGTCGCCCAGGGGACCCATGGCGGGCGCGCGTTGACGACGAGGGAGAGGGACGCCGAGGTGGGGGAGGAGCGAGGTGATGAGGGACGAGGGGGCGTGGCGCAGGTCGAGGCGGTCGTGGAAGTGATGTGCGAGTTAGCCGAGTGCACGCTGTCGGTGCAGCCCTGCTCTCGCCGAGGTGAGAGCGAGCCGAGGTGCGGACCAAGTCGAACGAGGTCGAGGCGACAGGCGACTTTCACGAGAGCCGAGCTCCGAGTCCTCTCAACGAGCGTGTGTACCCTCTCTAACACGCAGCGACGTAGTGCGAAGGCGAAGCGCCGTCATTTTGCAGCGGCTGGACGGCCAAGCGAGAGAGGGAGAGAGAGGGGGAGTCTACAAGGGAGGGGGAGACACGAACACACACAGCCCTGCTCGCTCGAGCAACACGACCACCCAGGTTCTACGCCGACGCACTGACCCCGTCGACGCCCGCCTTGGCGCCAAACGCCCGCACGACGCCCGTGCCCGTCGCCTCGGCGAGGCTCTTGGCCGCGCCCTCGACCGCCGCGAGCGCGCACATGGTCTCGAGCCGGCTCGGCTCCTTGAGGCCCGCGCGCACCTCGTCGTCGGTGAGCGGCAGCGGCGCGAGGCCCTCGCGCGCGCGCTGCTCGTTCTCCTGTCGCCGCTTGGCGACGGCCGGGTGCGTCGCCTCGAGGCGCGTGCGCTCGCGCGCGAGCTGGCGCGACTGGAACGACAGCGTCGACAGGTGCGCCTGGTGCGTCTCGAGCGCCGTGAGGAGGTGCGACAGGGGCTGGGTGAGGGGCGCGGGCACGGTCGCCGACTGGATGTGCGACGAGGCCGAGGGGGAGGGGAGGGACAGCGGCGAGAAGGACGGGGTCGAGAGCGGCGACGAGGGACCGGCGGGGGAAGGCGCCGTCAGGGTCGAGAGGAAGGCGGTGAGGAGGGCCGACGAGTGGACCGAGACGGGCACCTCCTCGAGGATGTTGGTCGGGACGAGCTTGTTCTCAATGAGGCTGCGGCGACGGGCTCGACTCGGTCAGACTAGGTTCCTGTGACGCTCGAGAGAGTGAGAGAGAGAGTGGCGCACCTGGCCGTGTCGAACTTGCCCGAGCGGTACGCGTCGATGAACGCCTGCGAGAGGCGGTACGCCTTGAGCCCGACAGCACCCTGGGTCGCACTCGCGATGTCTGCGCGCACGGGTCCAAGTCAGAAAAACCTTCTACTTCTGCGCTCCAGATAAGGCGAGAGAGTGAGACGCACCGTAGACGAGCGCGATGCCCTTTGCCGCCTTGTTCGCCTCGCCGCTCGCGAGCTGCGACTGCGGGCGAGCGCCGAGGCCCGCACGCGCGACCGGCTGCGCCTTAGAGCCGCTGCCGACACCGGCGCCGCTCAGCTGGGCGCCGACGAGCGCCTCGACAAAGCCGCCCGTCGCGAGAACCTGGCCGTTGTTGGACGACGTGTAGAAACCGACGACGGCGGCGTCGGCGTTGACGTCGGCCATGCGGCTCACCATCTGCGTCGTGTACTTGGCGGCTTGAGGATGCGGCGGGTCAGGCGGGATGCTCTGGAGGGCAGACGCCAGAGCGAGAGAGAGAAAGGGAAGAAGCTGGGACGCACCACCCTTGATGCCCTTGTTCTCGTCACCAGCGCTCGTCGGCGGGCCCGAGAAGGTGCCGGCGGGGAGGCCAAACGAGTTGGACACCTCGAGGGTACCGTTCGAGTCGATGCCGAACAGCTGGCCGACGGCCGGCTGGAAGGTGACGGTCGCGTTGGACGTGTTGGGCGGCGCCGGGACGACCGTGTGCGACTCGCGCGAGTGCTTGATGATCTTCATGAGGGCCTGTGTGGGAGAACGAGATGTCAGTGAATGGCCCTGACACGGAGTGCGGCTTGTTCGACCTCTCGCGAATGAGCTGGGCAGAGGGAGGAGGGGTGGAGGGGACGACGGCGTCTCGAGGGGCGTGCAGCCCGCCGCGTTCCGTGCTGACCACGCAGAGAAGTGCGCCGAGCACTGCTGTACGTCGCCCCGTGTCCGTGGGGACGAGAGCGGGCCGCTTCATCGGAACCACCTCGTCCCGCCTCAGCGTGTCGCCTCGGTGTGGCCCGCCGCAGAGGCGGCCGCGCGCCGCTAGTGGCTCGACAGGGGACGAGGGACGGCAGGACTGACCAGGCCATCGACCCTGACGCGCTCGACGCGAGTCTCGACGAGGCCCCTGTCGATTTTGGCCTTCTGCTTGGACGAGAGCTGGGTCGCCTGCTGGACGGGCTCCTGGACGACCTCGGGGGCGGGAGCAGCGATGCTCGCGAGCGTCTTGGCCGAGCTCATGGTGACGGCGGGTGGTGGTGCAGAGGCGGTGGCTTGTCCTCGAGCTCTCGCCTCGTCTCGAGACGACAAAGGCGAAACCTCGCTCGTCTCCCACGGCACGAGAAAACGTGTGCTTGCCTGTGAGCTGCCTACGACTCTTCTGGCTATCCGTCGGGCCGTCCTCCTGCACACTCGAGAGCGCGAGCCGGCCGACCTCGCCGGGTCGACCGGCTTCTCACCTCGTCGCCTCTCCTCCTCACTCGACGCCGCCAATGACCATCTCGGGCGCACTAGCCTCGTGTAAGTCCCTCTCCAGACCCTACCCATGGACTCGACTGACCCACATTGCTCCCGCAGACGAGGAGGGCCTCGTTGCCAACGTCCAGCGCATCTCGTCGCTCGAGTCGACCTTGCGCACCCTCACCTGGTTCTTGCCAGGTGCGTCCGCGTGCATCCTGTCCAAATAGACCCAGCTGACACCTTGCGCGCAACAGGCCGCTTCCAGGATGCCGAGATCGCGTCCGAGGGCCGTTCGTCCTCCTCTCTCCAGTCCCCACCTCGCGCGACCGGCCCACTGACTCGTCGCACCCTCGAACACAGTCTCGTCCGTCCTGAACCTCGTCAGCCTCTACCACGACTCGATCCTGCACCGCGCCGTGTCGTCCCTCCCCGCACCCTTGCGCCCTCCACCCACCTCGCACACTCGCTACACCCGCCACTACACCCTCACGTCCAAGCCCTACTCGGTCCTCGCCCACACGCTCAGCGCCGTCCAGGCCCTCGAGCTCCTCCTCGAGATGGCCGCCCGCAAGCGCAAGGGCACCGCCGCCCAGGAAAAGACGGTCGTCGCCCTCGAGGCCCTCAAGGCGCTCCTCCGCCTCGGCCTCATGGGCGCCACGAGCGGCCGCACGGGCGTTCAGCCCCCGGTCGCCGAGCGCCAGGTCGACCCGGCCCTCCTCGAGCTCAACCGCGAGAAGGTGGCGCGCATGCGACGCGCGCCGGCGGCCGCCCAGGGCGAGGGCGTCACGGCCGTGCCGCCGCCGCGCAGCGCCGCCGACGTCCTCCTGCGGCGCGAGGAGGGCGCGCACGAGACGGCGATTGGCCAGGCCGACGCCGAGACGGTCGAGAAGGAGTTTTGGACGGGCGCGCGCACTGGGTACGTGCGCCCGACGCTCGCGTCGCTGCGGCAGGGGGCGGGTGACTCGGCGGCGGTCGGCGGCGGGTTCGGCGCCGTCAAGAAGGGCAAGGACGTCGGCAAGGAGTACCTCTTGTCGAGGGTGCTCACGATCGAGGACGTCAAGCGGCCGCAAGACCTCGTCGCCAAGGCGCACGGCGTCAAGCGCCTCGCCGAGGTCATCTGGATCCTGCGCCCGCTCATCTACGGTGCGCCTCGCCTCTCACTCTCTCGTTCTTTTCTCCCGGACAGGGACTGACCTTGGTCGATCGTCGCAGTTCTCGCCATGCGCAAGTACGGCAAGCGGCACACGCTCCCGTTCCTCCTCTCGCTCGCCCTCGAGTACCTCGCCTTCTCGCTGCGCCAGTCGACCGACCCCAAGCTCGGCTCGGACAAGGCGTGCGGCCCGATGCTGCCCCGGGGCACGCCGAGCGAGCTCGAGAAGGACGAGACGGCCAAGAGGGGGCGGGCGTTCTGGTGGTACCTCGTCCGAGGACCCGTGTGGGAGAGCTGGACCAAGTGCGTCCCTCTCTCTCTCATTGTGTCCTCCCAAGACGTCGTCGAGCGACCGACTGACCGTGATTGCTCGCTCGCAGGCCGCAGCTCGAGAGCATCGGGCGCAAGTTCGAGGACAAGCCGCTCGTCGGGTTCGTCTCGACGCTCCTCAACGACTACATCCCCTTGTACGACGAGTACTACTACTGTGCGTCATGCCCTCCCTCTCGCCTTGCCCGCCGGCCCTCGCACTGACCCGCCTCGAACCCTGCGCACAGACTCGGCCTGATCACCTTTCCCCTCTCGCTCGTTCACCTCCTCGTCGCCCATGTTGTGCCTCCCGGTCTGTCTGTCCTAGCTGTCCTCTCGTTCCATGTACCTCCTCCCGAGACGCGCAGGCCGAGCCGCAATGCAGAAGCTGTCCTCGTCCTCCTCGAGAGCGAGCGCGCGAGAGAACGAGACAGAGAGAGCGCGAAAGAGGAGGTTGCACAGTGACTACAGGTCTCCTCCACGAATCGCCGCTGCGACGTTCTCGACGAGCTCGTCACTGCCTTCCTGCTGCTGCTGCTGCGACGGCGACGGCGACAGGTCCTGGGCGCCGAAATGCGGCATCTCGCTGACCTTGGCCGGTCCGCCCATCGCGCCCTCGAGGTTGAGCTCCGCCCTGATCTCGTCCGCCTCGCGCTTGCTCGTGCGCGACGAACCCGCCGCCGCCCGCCCCGGCTCGCCCTCCTCCTCTGCAGCCTCAGGCAGCGGCCCGGCACGCTCGAGCGCGCTCACGGGCTGCACCTCGAGCGTCGCGCCGCTCGGCGACGGCATGTCGGCGAGCGTCGCCTGCTCGTGCGGCGAGAGGCGCAGCGTCGTGACGTCGACGAGGGGCGCCGAGAGCGCTGCGCCGCCCGCGCCGCCGACGGCGGTCGCGCCTGCGAGCTCGGCGGGGAGTTTGAGCGGTACGGGCGGGTCGGCGACCTTGGCCGCGATGACGGGCTCGTCGGTCGCCGCCGGCTTCTCGGGCAGCGGCGGCGGCTCGATGCGGGCCTCGCCCTGCGCGTCGCGCAGCCGGCGCCGCTCGTCCTCCTCCTCCTCGAGCTCGCGCGCAAGCTTGTCGAGCTCGTCCTCGCCGAGGTCGTCCGTCTCGATCCCCTCGAGCTCGTCGCGCGCAACATCGCTCGCGAGCGGTCGGTCGGGGAGCGGCCGCTGAAAGTTGACGCGCTCAAACTTGAGCGGCGCGGTCGACGGCAGGACGGGCTCGATCGTGCGGGTCGCGTGCGAGAAGTTGAGCGGGGCGGCGCGAGGGGCGTCGAGAGGGGTGAGGGTGCCGAGGCCGGACGAGAAGGTCGAACCCGAGGCGATCTCGCGCGCGAGCTCGTCTAGCTCGGACGGCGACAGGGACAGCGAGGCAAAGTCGTCGATGGAGGGTTTTGTAGAGGATGCGGTGCTGCCGCTCGAGGTTTCGGCGCCTGCCGGGGCAGCGGTCGACTCGGCTGATGATGCTTGAGGCGGGACGGCGGACGGTGCGGCATCGAGGCGAAGGAATTGGCGCAGCTCGCCGAACTCGACCCTGTCCTCGCGACGAATGTCAGATCTGACCTGGTGACGCGCAGGTCACAGAGGGAGAGAGAGGGACGCACGCATCGTCAAACTCCTCGACCGAGCCCACGGGCTCGCCGTCGACGAGGAGGAACGGCAGCTCGTTGCCGTTCCTCGCCTTGCGTTTCCACAGCGACTTGGCCGCCTCGTCGGCCGCGACCTGTGGAAGAGAGAGAGAGTCAGCCGTGTCGCAGCGGCGCAAAAAAGGAGGAGAGCGAGCCGACGCACGTCGTGTTCACAATATGCGATTCGGAGCGACGTGAGGCCTCGCCTGACGCGCTCGTGGCGGCCGCGGATGGCCGGGTTGGACAGGATCGAGGTGACGAAGAGGTCGATAGTGGGCGGCATGGCGCCTGCGAGGTTGCGGACGAGCCGACGTGGCCTCGAGGTGGGGAGCCTGAGGGCGACGAGGAGGAGGTTGGCGAGGACGAGGGGCTGGTGCGTGCGTCGAGTGCGGTGCGGCCTTGTCGCAAGTGGCTGTGCTCGTCGGGCTGGCAGACTACAGCTCGTGCGGTGGTGGGTGGAGACGAGCTCGCGTCTCGTCGTTCTCATCCTCCATGCCCGGTCCCCTCGCCCGACACCCCTGCTTTGCGCCAGCCAGAGGGCACAACACGAGCAAAGCCTTGCGCCAGGCCGCGCGTGCAGCTGCTGCCGCCGCTCTTCCTCCCCCTGCTCCTCCTCCCTCCCTCGTCGTCATCTCGTCGCCGAGTCGGAGCGGCCTCAGCGTGTCGGCGAGGCGGCCTTGCGCTTTCCGAGGCACGTCGAGCTGTTCTCGAGGCTGGCCCCGTGCCGCAATTCCGCCCCCGATGAGCTCTCGCGCGGGTGCGAGGCTGTTCCTCCCGGTCCCGCTCTCCCTCTCGCTCGCTGTCTCTTCCGACTCGCGGGTTCGAGTGGGCAGCTCGCTCGGGTTCAGCTTCGAGTCTGTCGACGACAGAGTGGGCACCCGTACCTCTCGCGCCAAGGCCATCAACTCGTCCCGCTCGTCTCGAACGTTGATCGAGGCTCGAATTCATCACCTCCCTGCTCCGTCGGCGGCGTCCACGGTCGAACGCTCCTGCTCTCTTTCGACTCGAGACGCTCTCGAGGAGGCACCGCGAGCTGCAGCTCGATCAAGGCGTTGCTTGGACGCGGTCGGACCTCGTCTCAGACGGTCCCGAGCTGCATCTGACCCCGTCTCTCGCGAGGGAGCTCTCGTGCGCCCTCGAGGCGCCCTCGTTCTCTGGCTTCTCATTCTCTGCTTCTCGCGCACACCTCGATACGCTCGCCATGCGTCCTCATCTCGTACACCTGCTCGCCGTCGCAACGCTCGTCGTCCTCGTCGACGCTCAGACCTGCGCAGACGGGTACGTCCTCTCTCTCTTCCCCTCTGTCTCCCGTCCGCCCCTCTGACACGCCCTCGCGAGCAGTACCTCCCTGTACACGCCGCCGGGCTCGGGCCCCGTGTGCTGCATCACGCAAAGCGTCGTCACCGGCGCCATCTGCGAGAACTTGGTCGTCTCGGGACAGCCTCGCACGGCCTGCTACTGGACTCGCCGGCCCGACGACATCCGGTTCGCGTTCACGATCCCGCAGGCCATCCAGAACGTCGTCGGCGTGACGCTCAAGGGCACACACGGCGAGTTCCTCGACAACTTCTCGCCCGACTACAACCGCCAGCGTGGCTCGATCGTCACGACGTCGGGCTTCTCTGGTGCGTCCGCGCATCTCTCAGTCTCTTCTCCTCGGTCGTGACCTGCTCACAGACGGTCCCGACCGCAGCTGCCGCCGGCCGCAGCTGGATCGTCCTGCCCGGGTCTTACTACGGCCGCACGGGCCCCGGCGGCGGTCTTCCATCGGCAGGGACCGCGGGTACTCGTGGTGTCGACTGGGCTCGTGGAGGAGGCGCGAGCGCCCTGTTCGGCAGCTACACGCTGGTGGCGGCGGGCGGGGGCGGGCAAGGGCCCGCGTACGGTCTCGGCTCGGACGCCGACTCTGGCTACTACGCGAGCACTGCAGAAGGAGAGCCTGCTCGCCTCGGCGTCGGTGGAGGCGGCGCGGGCTTCTACGGCGGCCTGGCGGCGCCCTACCTCTACAAGTGCGTGCTCGGACCCTCTTTCTCCTCTTTCCTGGACGCGCTGACCTCTCGTCCTTTCATCCCTGCGCAGCGCGGCTTACAGCTGCGGGAGCACGTTCTCGCCTCGCACGTGCTACTACCCAGTGTACGGCCCGAGCGCCGGCGGGCTGTCCGGCAGCTCGGGGTCCTTCCCGTCGGGCTGGACCCGTGGCGGCTGGAACGGCGACGGGTCGACCGCCGCTCGTCTCGTCACCTTCACGTTTGCCTGTGTACGTCCCTCGCGTCCTTCCCTAGCGAGATTCTACTGACCCCGTCCTCGAGGCTCGTGCGCAGGTCAGTCCCGAGCCGACGACGACCATCCGGCTCCCGACCCCTGCCGCTACGGCGACCGCGACCAACGTGCTCACCGAGCTCACGACGACGACGGCCGAGCCTGGCACGCAGACCGCCACCGTCACGGTCGAGAGCGCCCGCCCGCCCGAGTTCGTCGACGAGACGTCGACGCCCGACCCGACCTTGACGACCCGCACCGACACGGCGACGACCTTCCCGCCCGAGAGCACGGCGTTCTCGACGTTCACGCCCGAGACGTCGACCTTCTTCGAGTCGCCGACCGTGACGACCAGTGCGTCCCAGGCCACCTCTCGCGCCTTCTCGGACCCTTTTCTTCAGCATGTGATTGACGCTCTCCCTCCTTCCTTCCCGCAGCACCTGCTACGAGTACCATCTTCGAGACGTTCACGCCGCCTACGTCGTTCTTCACCGAGACGGTCGAGGAGCTCGTCACGCCCGCAACCGCGGTCGAGACGGTCACGACGACGCCGGCGACCCGCATCATCCCGACGATCGTCACCGAGCTGCGCACCGTCTCGAGCGGTACCTCGACGTCGGTCGTCTCGACCACGACGGGCAGCGCAAACTGCTTCCACTTCCGCATGGTGCGCCTCGAGCCCTTCCCTCTCCCTTCTCCTCCTGCGCCTCGGCCCAACTCACTCTGCCCCTCCTCCCACGCCCAGGTCTACCCTCCAGCATGCTGCCCGACCGCCTACATCAAGGGTCTCAAGCCATGGACTGGCGCAGCAACCCTGCGTCGCCGCAACGTCGTCTGGGCTCGCGATTTGACAACCATCTTCACGCCGAGCGGTACGACGACCATCACGACTGCAACGACGGCAACCTCGACGGCAGTCAACACCCCCGACCCTATCCTCGTCACCGTACGTCGCCGCTCTCCTCTGCTCGCACGTCTGAAAGCGACCTTCCTAAACCCGATCTCACGCTCTCTCGCTCGCAGGACACGGCGACAACGCCCGGCCCGATCACGACCATCACCCGCACCGAGACGCTCGAGCCCGCCACGGTCGTCATCGACGAGACGGCGACGGTCGAGGGCGTGGCCTCGACGACGACCATCACCCTGACCGACCCGGCGCCCTCGATCACGGTCACCGAGACGCAGTACGTCGAGGCGGCGACGCCGCTCTTCACCGACGTCTCGACTGCCGACGCGCCGAGCTCGACCGCGACCGAGACGAGCTTGTCCACGCTCGAGACGCCCCGCTCGACCGTCAACGAGGAGGCGCCGACGCCCATCTCGATGTCGACCGACTTCTTCACCGAGTACAAGACCGTGCCTGCGACGACGACGACGAGTACGGCGTACTCTCGCTCGACGACGTGCGCCGTCAAGCCGCCTCTCGTGCGTCCCCTCTTCCCACCCGCCCTCTCTTCCTCACGAGTGCCAGCCCTGACTCGCTCCTGTTTCTCGCTCGCAGACGCTCAAGTGCTCGATCCCTGCTCTTCGCGGAGCCGATCAGGTCGTCCAGGTCGCGCTCATCAAGGTGAGTTCGCCCCTCCTCGACCTTCTTCCCTCCTCGAGCCGTTCCACTAACCTCTTCTCGACGGGCGCGCAGGCTCAAAAGTTCCTCTCGGGCAACCGCGCCGTCCAGATCGACTGTGGCTCGGCGGGCGTGTGGAGCTACGTCTAGGTCGGCGAGGCCGGCGAGGAAAGGCTCGTGCGCGGTCGTTTGCTCTCTCTCTCTCTCTCGGTCGTCCCCTCTCCCTTGTACCGCTTCTCCGGGTTCTCTTGAAATGCAGCAGCGCTCTCTGTCTTGACTGTTTGAGGCTGAGAGACTCTGAGCGCGAACGAGAGACGGCGGCGCGAGAGAGAGCGGCTCGTGCACCCGTCGTCCGCGCCAAGTTCGGCTCGTCCTCTCGACTTGCTCAGCTCGCAATACTCTCGCTAGGACTCTCCTTCTCTCTCTTTCGCGCTCTCGCATAACCCTCGACGACATCGAAAGGAGGAGAGATAGACAACAAGTTGCAGAGGACGACGACGAAGAGGAAGAGGGGAGGGGATGGACGAGTGTTTCCCGGTAGGTTAAACCCTCGCTGTCAAAAGGCCAGAGGCCCACGGTTGATCGGCGGAGATGGGAATTACCGGGCCCTCGAAGCTGCTCCCACCTGGATCCCGCTCTCAAGCCGCACGTCCTCGTCCCACCAGGCCAACCCGGCGGTCCGCCTCCACCGACAGACTCAGTCCTCCACGAGGGGCGGCGAATCACGAAGGCGGAAGGCGGTGCTGGAAAGGAGGCCCTTTGGTGTGGCGGGTCGAGGTCGAGAGGCGAAAGCGGGAGGTTTGGAGAGGCGAGGTTGGTCTGCACGCCGCCAGCGGAGGACGGGACACCAAATCGAGGCGGGCTGACGGGTAGATGCCGCCGCCCGCTCGGTGCTCCTGCTGCAAGACTGGGTGTGCCGCACGAGGCTCAGAGGCCTGTGCGGACCGGGCGTGGTGGAGAAGAAAGAGAAGAGAGAGGGCGCGCTCGCTCGCGCTCTTGTACCGGTCGAGCTCGAACGGTCAAAAAAAGTTGCTCGTTCTGGCAAGCCTGCTTGTGAGGCCGCTTCCCCCTTTGCGAGTTTGGCGCGTCGAGACTCTGGGGGAGAGGCGGGGTCGCTGTCGTCGTTGAACTTGGTGGGAGCGCGGAGGAGCTCCTCCCACCCTTCTCTCGCACCCCCCCCGCGCCCGCTCGCTCGACCAGCGCAGAGATGAACAGCACACGGCCTCGCATGCTGTCGTCGCAGCCCAAGCGCAGCTGGGGCGACTCGGACGGCGAGGAGGAGAACGCGCGCCCCGAGTTTGAACTCACCGCCGACGACTGGCCGCCGACGCCACCAAAGCCTCGCCCGGCCAAGCCCAGCACTGCCACCGCCAGCTCGAGCACCGCCACCAAGCCTGTCGCGCGCTCCGCCAGCAGCACGAGCCTGAGCAAGGCCGGCTCCGCCTACCCGTCGAGCAGCCTCTCGCGCCCCATCGTGTCCAAGCCCGCCGCCGCCGCCGGGCCCAGTACGAGCAGCAGCAGCAGCAGCAGCAGGCCGCTCCAGGCCAAGCCGTCGTCGACCAGCCTCGCCAAGAAGCCCCTCGCCCCGATCTTCCGCACCCAGTCCGCCTCTGCCTCCTCGTCTTCGACCTCGACCTCGCGCTCGACCAGCGCCGGCTCGTCCGCGTTCGCGTTCAACAACCCGACGACTGCCCGCTCGACAGGGCCCTCGGTCCTGCCGACCAAGCGCGCCCTCCCGTGGGAACAGCTCGAGGAGACGTCGTCGCGCTCGTCTCGCGGCGGCTCGGCCAACTTTCACGAGCTGAGCGGGCCCTCGGGCGCGAGCAGGCTGTCGAGCGGCGTCAAGGGCCAGCTCCTCACGAGCGAGTCGATGGACATCAAGCAGAAGGTCGTCCTCAGCCCCGAGCAGCAGATGGTGCTCAAGATGGTCGTCGAGAACGACAAGAACGTCTTCTTCACGGGCTCGGCCGGTGCGTCCCTCTCTCCCTCTCTCTCTCTCTCGCGCGCCCTTTCCCGAGTCGAGCTGACCGCTGCTCGCCCTACAGGCACGGGCAAGTCGGTCCTCCTGCGCGAGATCATCGCCTCGCTCAAGCGCAAGTACCGCGGCAACACGGACGCGGTCGCCGTCACGGCCTCGACGGGCATGGCGGCGTGCAACATCGGCGGCACGACGATCCACTCGTTCGGCGGCATCGGGCTCGGCGCGGGTACGGCCGAGCAGCTCGTGAGCAACATCCGCAAGAACAAGCAGGCCGTCGCGAGGTGGCAGCGCTGCAAGGTGCTCGTCATCGACGAGGGTGCGTCCCGCTCTCTCTCTTCCGTGTACCTGCACCCCGAGGCGAGGCCCTGACGGCGTACCTGCAGTGTCCATGGTCGACGGCTTCCTCTTCGACAAACTCGCCAAGATCGCCGAGGCGATCAAGAAGAACACCAAGTCCAGGTCGGCCATCCCGAAACCTTTTGGCGGCATCCAGGTGCGGCCTACGCCCGCTCGAGCTCGTCGTCGCGTCGCACAGCCCGCTCACCGTGTGCCCCCTCTCGCGCAGCTCGTCGTCACGGGCGACTTCTTCCAGCTTCCGCCCGTCACCAAGGGCACGACGCCGACATTCGCGTTCGAGGCCGACGCGTGGAAGCGCTGCATCGACCACACGGTCAACCTGACCCAGGTCTTCCGGCAAAAGGACACGGGTGCGTCGTCGCCGACTCGCTCCGCCGTCTCTCCCCTTCCCGCCTCCTGACGAGTCTCTCTTCCCGACACGCAGAGTTCATCGACATGCTCAACGAGATGCGCTTCGGCCGCCTGTCCTCGGCGTCGATCCAGAAGTTCAAGGGCCTCGCGCGTCAGCCCAAGTACACCGACTCGCTCGAGCCAACCGAGCTGTGCGTCGCTCGCCCTCCCAACTCTTATGGCCCATACTCGATGACTGACTCGCGCGCCCTGATCCGCAGCTTCCCGATGCGCAACGAGGTCGACCGCGCCAACCAGAACCGCCTGCGCGCGCTGCCCGGCGAGGAGACGGTCTTCAAGGCCGAGGACGGCCTCAACGACCACCGTCCGCAGGTCGACAAGAGCAGGAACACGTACCTGTCGAACTTTATGGCGCCCGAGACGCTCGTCCTCAAAGTCGGCGCCCAGGTCATGCTCATCAAGAACCTCGACACGACGCTCGTCAACGGCACGGTCGGCACGGTCGTCGGCTTTGGCGTGCCCGAGCTGCAGGAGAGCGACGACGACGACAACGGCGACGAGTGGGTCCTCGGGCAGAAGGGCGAGCAGGTGCGCAGCACGACGGGCGGGGTCAAGCCCGAGCGCTCGGCGCAGGAGGCGCGCAAGCGGCAGAAGGTGGCCGAGGGGGTCGCGGCGGGCAAGATCGAGATGGGCCCCGTCGTCGACTGGCAGACGCCGCACGGCATCGAGCGCAAGGTCATGGTGCGCGAGGAGTTCAAGGTCGAGGACAACCACGGTACCAAGCTCGCGTGGAGGAAGCAGGTGCGTCCGCCTCCCCCCTCTCTCTCTCTCTCTCTCGGTTCTCTTCGACATGCCCTGACCTCGTCCTCGCTCGCGCGCAGTACCCGATCATCCTGTGCGTCTCACCCTTCTCCGCTCGTTCGCCGGCCCTCACTGACCCTCCTTTTCCCCACCCTGCAGCGCCTGGGCCATGAGGTGCGCTCTCTCTCATCCCAACACACCCACGACGAACGTCACTGACTCGGATCCTCTCACTCGCAGCATCCACAAGTCGCAGGGCCAGACGATCGCGCGCGTCAAGGTCGACCTCGGCAAGGTCTTCGAGAAGGGTGCGTTCTCCTCCCTCCTCTCCCTCAGTACCGTTCCCGCGGCCTGTCTCACGGTCTGCCACCCCGCACCAGGTCAGTCGTACGTCGCGCTGTCGCGCGCCACGTCGCTCGAGGGCCTGCAAGTCCTGCGCTTCGAGGCGAGCAAGGTGTCTGCGCACAGCAAGGTCGTCGAGTGGAGCGTGCGTCCCTCTCTCTTTCCCTCGCACGTTCTTCCTCAGGAGCACACAGGCACTGACGTGCCCTGTCCCACAGCGCTCGCTCCAGGTCCTCGGTTGAGCCGCCTCTCGCCTCTCGCACTCGCTTTTCCCTCTCTCCCTCCCTCCTCGCGTCCTCTCCTCCTTCGACTTTCCTCCTCGCGTGCCCTCCCTTGTCCATACCTCCCTTCGCGCCGCTGCAACGCGCACTCTGCATGTCTCGTCCCGCGAGGCTCGAGAGGTGCGAGAGGTCGGGCGAGAAGTGAGCGAGCCGGGGTCCGTGCGCCTCGAGAGGAAGGAGAGCTGCGGCCGTCGCGCGCAAGTCGGCTCTCGATGGGACTGATCTCGACAGCTTCGACGTCGCCGAGGGGCTCGTCGCCGCAGCCGAGCAGGTGTCGCGCCGAGGTGCAGCGAGGAGAGCAAGTGGGATCGGGGAGCCGGCTCTCAAGCGGCCGCAGCTCTCTCTCTCGTGCTCACGAGGCGACAGCGCACGATGAAGGCATGCAAGTAGTACAATGCACAGCGGACCGATGACCTGGACCTGCCCCCTGACGAACCCACCACCTCGCCCGAGAGCTCGCCTCCTCACGCCGCCGCCGTCTTGGGCTGCATCGTCGGCTCGTTGGCCTTGTACCACTGCGAGGGGGCGCGCTCGTGTATCAGGATGCGCCTCTGAAGAGTTTGAGAGAGAGAGAGAAAGAGAGGGACGCACGGCAACGGCACGCTTGATGCCCTCCTCGACGCCGACGATGGGCTCGTACCCGAGGATGCGGCGAGCCTGCGCGTTCGACGAGTCAGTCGGCGCTCGAAGAGAAGAAAGAAAGAGAGAGAGCGACGCACCTTCTCGATGTTGTAATAGCGGTCGACGGTCGAGTAGACGATCTTGCCCCTCGTCATGTTGGGCGTCTTGCCGAGCCAGCCCATGACGGTCTCTGCGATGCCGGCGATGGCGAGTCCGACGGCAGCCGGGAGCGGCACGACGTACGGCGCGACGTGGCCGTTGTACGTGGCCCACAGGGCGCGCGGGAAATCCCAGAACGGGACGGGCTCGCCGTTGGTGACGAAGAAGGCCTGACCGGCGATGGCGAGCTCGCCAGTGCCGCCCGGCGTCGTCGTGAGACCGAGGCGCTCCTCGAGGCCGTCGGGGAAGTACGGGTCGTAGCGGTTGCGGGCCGCGATCAAGGGCTCGTCGCCCTTTGTGTCGTTGACGAACGAGGGGTCGAGCTCCTTCTCGGCGGCGAGGAGCGACTCGGGGCGGAAGACGGACGTCGGGAGTTGTCGCCGCGGGATCGTGAGCTCGACGGGCAGGAGGCGCTCGGCGAGGACCGAGACGGGGACGGTGAGGGCGAGGCGCTCGGCGGCGACGAGGTGCGCGTGGACGACGTTGTCGACGTACGTCCAGTCGAACAGGTTCTCGTTGGTGCCGACCTGGAACTTGGTCTTGCCCGACTTGAGCACGTCCATCATGCCCGGAATGGCCTGGCGGTCGCCGGGGCTGCGGGGCGACGAGCGGGGCGGGTCAGTCGGCGTGCGGAAAAGAGGAGGGCCGAGAGAGCTGCGCGACGTACCCAAAGATGCCGGCGGGACGGATGGCGACGGTCAGCAGGCCGCCCTTGCCGTTGGCGGCGAGGACGATCGACTCGGCCTTGGCCTGCAGGGAGAGATGGGCGAGGAAGGCAGATGTGGGGGGGGGGGGGGGAAGGATGAGGTCAGGTCGAGGACACGATGGAAAGGAGGGCGAGAGGGAGGGGGCGCACCTTGGTCACGTTGTAGGCGTCGATGGGCACGTCGGGAAAGGGCATGCGCTCGTCGACGTTCTTGAGGTCGTTGCCGTCGTACACGGTGCCGGCCGACGAGGTAAAGACGAGCTTGTTGACGCCCTCCTGGACGCACGCGTCGACGACGGTCTGGGTCCCTTGGACGTTGACCTTCTCGCACACCTCGGGGCCAGAGCCAGTCCAAGGCGAGGCCGTGTGGAAGACGGTCGTGGCGCCGACCTGGCGCAGGGCCGCCGAGAGCGAGTCGAGCGAGGTGAGGTCGACCGAGTGGAACGACCACTTGCGGGCGGCAGTAGGTCCAGCGGCGAGCTTGTCGGGAAAGTGCCGCTGGACGAGGTCGAGGCTGGCGACGGACGCGTGCGGGTAACGCTCGAGGAGCATCTCGACCATGCGGTGGCCGACGAATCCCTCGCCTGCGAGCGCGTGCCGGGATGTGAGCTCGCGGCGGTAGGGTGTTGGAGGAGAATGGACGGACCTCCGATGACCAGGTACGTCTCTGGTCGCGGTGCCATGGCTCGAGCGGGTGTTGGAGGAGCGAGAGGACGATGGCGCCTCGTTCGACTCGCCCACTCTCTCGCTCACGCACCTCGAGCTCTCCCGCCAGAGCCACAGGGCTGCTCGCCTGTTCTCTGCGGCCAACGACGAGCAGCCCACGCGCCGCCGCACCCTCTCGACGCCCCTCTCCGTGCTCGCCCCCGCTCTCATCACCCTCGATCCGCTTTCCGACCATCAACACCTCGTGCGAGCCAGGGCGCGGCGCAAACCTGTACCAACCACTCCAAGCCGAACAGTACACGCGCGTCCATGCTCGAACGAGGTGTGTGGGCGCAGCTCCGGCAGGACTGCCCGCGCGGCCTCCCTCTTCAGCCCGGCCACGCCCTCGACCTCGACTTCTCTTGGGACGGCGACTCGCAGGAGGAGGAGCGGACAGTGCTCGGACAAAGGTGCGCGGTCAGGCGGGTTCTGCTGTGCGAGCTGGACGAGGAGGCGGCGGTGCCGAGGCGACTTGCCCGATGTCGAGGCCCGCTTTGTAGCTGTTTGAGCGGCGCATCATTGTGTGTTGCAATCTGAGAACCCTTTGACGCGCTCGCCTGCACCTCAACGAGCGAGACCTGCGAGTGCGAGAGCTCGCCCTCGTCGGCTCCACCTCGCGCTTCCACCATCCACCTCGCTTCAGCCACGCCGCACGAGAGCAGCTCAAGCCGGCTCGAGGGCGAGCTATGTCCATCCAGGGTACGCTCGTCGCACTCCTGTCCTCCCCCCTTTGCCCGCCGACCCGCTGACCCCGTCGCGACGCCAACCTCGTCCAACCACGAGCAGCCATCGACCGCACGTCGGTCCATCGCCTCACCAGTGGCCAAGTCGTCGTCGACTTGCAGACTGCCGGCGCGTCCCCCTCTCCCTCGGTCGCCTGGCGAGAGTCGAGCTCACCCCTCTCCTCCTCCTCCCCGAACGCAGTCAAGGAGCTCGTCGAGAACGCGCTCGATGCCGGCGCAACTTCTGTCGGTGCGTCCACCTTTGTTTCCTCGCCGTGCCGAGCGCACACGCCGACCCACACCTGCCCGCGAACAGACATCACGTTCCGCGACGCCGGCGTCGAGTCGATCGAGGTCAAGGACAACGGCAAGGGCATCGACCAGGGCGACTGGGAGGGCATCGGTGCGCCCTGCTTCTCTCTTGCGTCCCGGTCCGCAATGCCGGCAACTGACCCGGGTACCCCTCGCGACGCAGCGCTCAAGCACCACACGTCGAAGCTCGCCTCGTTCGCCGACCTCGCCGCCGTCGCGACGCTCGGCTTCCGCGGCGAGGCCCTTTCGTCCCTGTGCGGCGTCGCAAACCTCTCGATGGTGACCTCGACCGCGTCCACCGCCCCGATGGGCACCTCGCTCGCGTTCGCCCACAGCGGCGCGTGCACGCCCCTCAAAAAAGTGGCGCGCGAGCGCGGCACGACCGTCAAGGTCGAGCGCCTGTTTGACCGCCTCCCCGTCCGGCGCAAGGAGCTCGTCAAGAACGCGCAGCGCGAGCTCGCAAAGGCGCTCGCGCTCGTCCAGGCGTACGCGCTCGTCAACGTCGGCGTCCGGTTCGAGGCGAGGAACGTCACAAAGGGGTGCGTCCGCCTCCCCTCTTTTCGTTCTCTTACCTCGAGAGCGACACTGACTCGTCCGACCGAGCACGCAGCAAGACGCTCGTCCAGCTCAAGACGACGGCGTCGACCTCGCTCCGCACGGCCTTCTCGTACCTGTTCTCGCCCAAGGACCTGCCGTCGCTCCTCGACCTCGACCTCACGTTCGACGTCACGACCGAGAAGAGCGTCATGAAGCGTTTCGAGGGCGGCACCGACGAGTGCGTCCCTCCTCTCTCTCTGTCTCTCTCCTGTCGGGCTCTGGCGAGCACGAGTTGACGGGCCAACGCGCAGCGCGACGACGATCCACGTCAAGGGCCTCATCTCCAAGCCGTCAACCGGGCATGGGCGCACGTCGGGCAACCGCCAGTTCTTCTACATCAACGGCCGGCCGTTTCAACCCGCAAAGGTGCGTCCACCCTCGTCCTCCTCGGCCCGCCTCCACGGAGCAAGCTCACCGATTGCGCGCTCTCTCGCAACAGGTCGCCAAGGCGGTCAACGAGGTGTACAAGTCGTTCAACGCGAACCAGTTCCCCTGCATCGTCGCCGACTTTCAGCTCGCGCCCGGTGCGTCCACCTCCTCCTCCCTCTCTCTCGACGACCCCGACCGACGCTCGCCCTCGCGCAGACGCCTACGACGTCAACGTCTCGCCCGACAAGCGCACCATCTTTCTCCACTCGGAGGGCAACCTCATCGCGGCGCTCAAGCAGGCCCTCGCGCGCTTCTTCGACCCACAGCAGGCGCGGTTCGAGATGAGGGAGATTGGCGCGGCCAAGAGGGGGACGGCCAAGGGCAAGGGCAAGGGTGAGGTGGTCAAAGAGGAAGAGGAGGAGGAGGCGCAGTCGACGGATGCGGGCGAGGAGGAGGACGAGGAGGACGAGCGGCCGAGGAAACGGCGCAAGAGCTCCGAGGGCGCCGACGACGGCTCGCCCACCTCGACGTCGCCGCGCCACGTGCCAATGGACGTCGACCTCGACGCGACGTCCCTCGTCGCCGCCGTCTCGGCGCACGCGAGCCCCTCGTCACCTCGCGCTCGCTCCCCTTCCCCCTCGTCCGCCGCCGCCCTCGCCTCGAACGACGCGCACCTCCTCGCCGCGTTCCCCGACGACCTCGGCGACGGCGACGCCGACGACGCCGGCAGCTTCGTCCTCCCCGACCCGCCGTCGCCGCTCAAGCGCGCCGCGTCGTCCCTCTCGCAGCACGACGACGCCGACCCCGCCGCATCGCTCGAGACGCCCCGCCCTCGCCCTCGCGCCTCATCTCGATCGCGCTCGCCGGCCCACGCGCCCGGTAACGACGCCTCCCCGGCGCGCCGCTCGTCGCCCTCCCCCATGCCCGCTCCACCACCACCGCCCGCCCCACCGCTCTTCCGCCACGCCTCGCCGACGCCCCGTCCGCCCTCGCCACCGCGCAGCCCCTCGCCTACCGCCGCGGCTGCGCCCTCGCGGCCCTCGCAGAGCAAGGGCAAGGGCGCGCCCCTGCACCAGCCGACGCTGAGCTTCGTCGGTGCGTCGGCTACGAGCGCGGGCGGCGGCGCCAAGCGCGGTCGGAATGCGGGTACGAGGACGCAGGCGCCGGGGGCGATGCTGCAGAGCCACTTGCGGCGGTTCGTGCGCGGGGCAGAGGCCGAGGTCGTCGAGGAGGAGGAGGTCGAGGAGGAAAAGCGAGGGGGAGCGAGCGAGGACGAGGGGGCCGAGGTGCAACAGGACGCTGAGGACGGCGAGCTGGACGCGCAGGACGTCGCGATGGACGGGAGGGACGAGGAGGACGAGGGCGACGAGCTCGTCGTCGTCGAGGACAGCTTTCGAGCGCCGTCGCCGTCGCTTCGGGCGCCGGTCGGCCCGACGCAGGGCGCCGAGCTCGTCGCCGCATCGTGCGTGTGCGTGCACGGCTCGCAGGACGAGGACGCCGAGGACGAGACGGGCGACGTCGAGATCGTCGACGAGTCGCCGGCGCCGGCGCCGAGGCGCGAGTCGCGCCGGGTCGCGCAGGACACGTCGCTGCCCTTTGGCGCCGCGCGCGCCGAGGTCGCCGGCACGGTCGTCGCAGCCGACACGGACCTCGCGTTCGACTTTGCCGCCCTGTCGTCCGCTTGGACCTCGTCCCCTTCCTCTTCCTCCGACCTCGCTCCCCCGACTGCCGGCCCTTCCTCGCCCTCTCGCGCACGTTCCGCCGACGCCGACGAGCTCGCCGGCGCCGCCATCGGCGAGCACGACGACGCGGCCGAGGCGACCCTGTCGCGCATCGTCAGCAAGGACGACTTTGCCCAGATGGAGGTCGTGGGCCAGTTCAACCTCGGCTTCATCATTGCGCGGCGGCGCGTCTCGGTCGGCAGCGGCAAGGGCAAGGAGCGTGCGGCGGCGAGCGACACGCACGACGACCTGTTCATCGTCGACCAGCACGCGTCGGACGAGAAGTACAACTTTGAGAAGCTCCAGGCCGAGACGGTCATCCAGTCGCAACGCCTCATCGCGTGCGTCCCCCTCCCACCTTCCCTGCCACTCTCCATGTCCTCCTGTACACCCGTGACTGACCTCGTTTCGCGACCTCGACCGCAGTCCGCGCATCCTCAACTTTGCCTCGGCCGACGAGCTCATGGCGATGGAGCACGTCGACCTGCTGCGCCTCAACGGGTTCGACGTCCTCGTCGACGAGGACGCCGATGTCGGCGAGCGCGTCAAGCTCATCGCGCAACCCGTCAGCAAGGACACCGTCTTTGACACGGGCGGTCCGTCCCTCCTCTTCCTCTTCTTCTGCGCCTCGTCCCCTCCCCTCGATCGAGCCCTGACGCCTCCTCGTCGCCGTGCGAAGACCTCGAGGAGCTCGTCGACCTGATCGGCTCGAGGAGCGGCAACGAGGTCGTGCGCCCGTCCAAGGCGCGCCGCATGTTTGCTAGCCGCGCATGCAGGAAGAGCGTCATGGTCGGCAAGGCGCTCAACGTCAAGCAGATGACGCAGGTGCGCCCCAACTCTCTCTTTTCTCTCGTCACTCGAGTCTTTGTGGCCGGGACCTGACGAGGAGAGCCCGTCGTCGTCGAGCAGATCCTGCGCAACATGGCCGCCATGGACCAGCCCTGGGTGCGTCCTCGACCCTCTCTCGCCTCGTCTCGCCTCTCCCGTGAGATTGACGATTCCTATCGCTCGCAGGCCTGCCCTCACGGTCGACCGACGATGCGCTGGGTGCGTCCTCGCTCTCCCTCTCCCTCGTCGACCTTCCCAAACTGACCTTCTTCCCTCGGCAGCTCGCGAGCATGTCGGCTCCTCTCGCCCTCGATTCTCGCTTCGACGTCGGCGAGCTGTGTAGCTCCTTCGAGTGACGACGTGCAACGCGGCAGAGGCAAGACGACGGGGCTTGAGAGGCTCTGGTCGAGGAGGAGGCAGCGCTCGGCCGTGCCGCGTTCCGGCCGTTTCCCCCCACCTCGATCGCTCTTCGGATGACGACCCTTGTGCGCCTCGTTGGCGCCATTTTCGTGCTCGCCTCGCGGGCCGTCGTCGTCGCTTTCTCTTCTCTTTCTCTCTCTCCACCGCGTCTCCGCACACGCATCGACACGATGAAGTTTTCGCTCGCCGCTCTCGCCACCTCTCTCCTCGCTGCCAGCGTCTCTGGTGCGTCCTCGCTTCCTTTCCTCCCCCCCTCCCCCACCCGTTCTAGTCTGACAACCCTTCGTCCTCCTCGCAGCCCAGGCAGGGATCCTCTCGAGCCTCGTTGGCGACGCCACGTCGGTCGTCGGCAGCATCGGCGGCAGCGGTGTCGCGTCTCGCGCCCAGTCGATCGCGTCGTCGGCGCTCGGCGGCAGCGTCGACCTCAGCAGCGCCGTCGCCCAGGCGACGGCCTCTGGTGGCTCGGTCCCGCCCGAGATCGCGTCCCTCACGTCGCAGTACGGGTCGATTCTCGGCGGTGGAGGGCTCCCGACCGGCTCGGCGCTGTCGTCCGACCTCGCCGTCCTCACCTCGGCGCTCGCCAACCCTACGGCACGTCTCTTTTTCTCCTCTCTCGGCCCGTCGAGAACCTCGGCAGGTCCCTGACTCTCTTTGTCCTCTCGCACGGTCCGCAGATCTCGAGCTACGTCTTCTCGAACCCCTCGCTGTCGGCTCTCGCACGTGGCGCCCTGGGTCTCGCCGGCGCGGCGGGCGGTTCGTCGGGCTCGGCCGGCGGCGCCAACGCCAACACGGCCACGGGCTCGACGGGCGGCGCGCAGGAGTCGGGCTCGTCGGGCTCGGGCGGGTCGAACGGCGCGAGCGCCTTCTCGGCGGGCCTCGGCGCTGTCGCCGTCTTTGCCGGCGTTGCGGCAGGCGCGGTGGCGGTCCTCTGAGCGGGTCATCTCTGAGCAGGACATCCTTCAGCAGATCGTCTCTCGCCGGGTCGTCTCGCCGGGTCGTCCTGCTCGCTCCCCTCGTCCCTCCTCCTCTGTTCTTCTCCCTCGCCGAGCCTCGTCTCGTTTACCTTAGTACATACTTTCCTTGCGCAACTCGGATCATTGGCGACTCTCTCTCTCGTGCGTGCGTGCGCGAAAGTGCAGTCGTTGCAAAGCGAGGAGAGCAAACGCTGGTCGTACAAGGTCCTCCTCGACGCGCGCTCGCACCCCTCGTCTCACTCCTCGTCCGACTCGACGACGAGCCTGCGCCGTGGTGCCGCCTGCGTCTCCTCTGCCGCCGCACCGCCCTCGTCGTCGTCGTCCGAGTCCGACTCGTAGTCGCGCCGCTTCTGCTTCTGCTTCTGGCGGTCCTTGCGGCGGCGAGCGTCGCGCTCGACGGCGGCGTCGGCCTCCTCGAGCTCCTCGCGGTCGTTTTCGCCGTCCTCCATGTCCCTGCGAGTGCGAACACGAGCAAGAGAGAGACAGGGGGAGGAGGAGAGGGGAGGGAGGAGGGAAGAGGCGAAGAGGTCAGTCGCTTTCCGAGGAAGGGACGAGACCGACAGGCGAAAGGCCACGCACTCGTCGCCGCTCTGGACCAGGAAGCCATCGTCGTCCTCGTCCTCGTAGTCGCGGTTGAGCGGGCCGCCCTTGCCCCGCTTGGGCTGCGAGCGCCGGTACCCGCTGTACCCGGTCCCTTCGTCGTCCTCGTCGTCCTCGTCGCCGCCGCTCTCCGAGTCGAGGCCCTCGATCGTCGTCGCCTTCTTGCCGCCCTTGCGGCCCCCGCTGCGCCCACCGCTGCGCCCCGCCGCCTTGGCCGCCTCGCGCCGCGCCTTCTTCTGCTTGTCGACCTCGGCGCGCTCCCGCTGCTGCCGCATCTTCTCCGGGTCCATCGTCGGCATGTCGGCCTTCTGGAGGCCCCGCCGGCCCTGGTTGGCGTACCGCCCGGCGATGCTGCCCGCGAGGCGCCGGTGCGTCTGGCTCGCGAGCGTCGCGGGCCGGAACGACATGGTGCCGTGGACCGACGCCTGGGTCTCGCTCAGGGGCGACGAGGCGTAGGCGTGCCGCGCCGAGAGGTACGTCAGGCCGTGACCGCGCGCGAGGTCGAACGCCGACGCGACGAGGCCCGACGTCTGCGGGTTGACGCCGCCCGTCGTCTGGGCCGCGGCCGAGGCGGCGCCCGACGCCGTGAGCGTCGCCGAGTCGTCGAGCGCGAGCGTCATGTCGAACATCTCGGAGCCGAGCTGGAGCGACAGGGTACCGTCCGACCAGCGCACGACGCGCGCGTTCGCCTGCTTGATCTGCGGGCGGCGGCGGGGCGTCAGGCGCGCGCTCTCGAACGGGCGCACGAGATAGACCGAGAGAGGGAGAGAGACGAGGACGTACGACCTGGCCGAGCTCGTCCTTGGTCCACCGCCACCGGAGCACGTTCTCGTCCGGGACCGTGCGGGGCTTGACGTCGTCGCCGCCGCCGGGGCCGTCCTGGCTGTCCTGCTGGGTCGAGCCCGCACCGAGCGCCGCGTCCTCGGGCTCCCACGTCTCCTCGTCGAACGCGGTCGTCGCGACCTGGAGGAAGTGGGGCATGCGCGCGTGCCACACCTTGTTGCCGGCCGGCACGCTAAAGTTGGCGAGCGGGATCTGGGCGATCACCTCCTCGTGCTGGACCATCTGGGCGGCGGCGGCTTGGTCGTCGGCGTCGTCGGCGTCGCCGCCGTCGTAGGGCCGCTCGTTGTACTCGAGGTCGGCGCGGATCTGGCGCTCCTCGGCCGTGAGGTCGTCGGCGGGCGAGCGGTCGGCTTGCGGGGCTTGAGGCGCGGCTGGCTCGGCGTGCATGTCCCTGTCGAGGCACACGTCGGTCAGGTGCGCGCGGCAACGAGCTCGAGAAGAGGAGGGGAAGACGCACTCGTCGTCGTCGTCGTCGTCGGCGCCCTCGCCAAAGAGGTCGTCGCCCATGTCGTCGTCCTCGTCGTCGGTCGGGGCCTTGGTGACGGCGTCTTGAGCGGCCTCCTCGGCGTCCTTTGCGGCGTCCTGGAACTGTTGAGGCGGGACGGGGAGGGCGTCGTCGTGCGGTTGCGGGTCGTGGGCGAGGCCGTTTGCGGCGAGGGGCCCTGCGCGGACCGTGTCGGCCTCGTCGTTGCCCGGGACGTGGTTGGCGGCTGCTGGCTCTCCTGGTGCGCCGTCGGGGAAGAGCTCTGGCGGGATGCGGGTGCCGTAGGTTTGGGCCTCGAGGGACGAGGTGGTGACGGCGTTGGGGACCTCGTTGATGCCCTCTTCATTGCCCGTGTCGACTGACGGGTCCATGGCGAGCTGGCTGGACTGGGCTCGGGGCGGGTGGAGCGAGGGCGGGGAGAGGGAGGCGAGGAGGAGAGATGGGAACCACATCGGCTCGCTCTCTCGACCTTCACCCGCTGAGCAGACCAGACAAGCTCGCAGACCTCCCGCTGAGAGCACTTGGACCCACCCCTGTCGCACTCGAACCAGCCCCGTCGACCCTGTCCTCGACTCTGAGCCCCGCCTCGACTCGGACTCGCTCATCTCGACCTCGACTAGGGCCAGCGTTGCACTGCTGCAGACATGGGCCACGGCAACAGCGACAAGCTCTACATCACTCATGTGCGCCCCTCGTCCCTTGTCGCCGCCGGAAGCCGCCCCTCCTCCTCCTCGACCCTCCCTGACCAAACCTCCCTCGTCGCGCGCAGGCAGAACACTCTGGAGGACTCGGTGAGCACTCGGCGTCTCGAGGGGCCCGCTCCAAGAACACGGTCCTCGCCAAGCTCCCGTTCGACCACTGCGCCCTCACCCTCAAGCCGTTCGAGACGCCCGTGTGCACCGCCGACGGCACCGTCTACGAGCTCGTCGCCATCATCCCCTTTATCCGCCAGCACGGCACCGACCCCATGACGGGCAAGAAGCTCGCACCGGGCGACCTCGTCCGCCTCAACTATGCCCGCAACAACGACGGCGTGCGTCCCTCCCTCTCTTTCTCCCTCTTGCGCCTCGCCCTGACCCGCCGCTCTCGCCTCGGCAGAACTACCACGACCCGATCACGTTCAAGGTCTTCAACGACCACACGGCCATCGCCGCCATCAAGACGACCGGCAACGTGTACGCCCGCGAGTCGATCGACCGCCTCAACATCAAGGCGCGCAACATGAACGACGTGCGCCCCGTCTCTCTCTCTCTTCGTCTTTCGGTCCTCTCGAGAGCAAGCACTGACTTTCGACGCCTGCAGCTGCTCACGGACGAGCCCTTTACGCGCAAGGACATCATCACGCTGCAGGACCCGCTCAACCTCGAGCCTCGGGACGGTGCGCCACCTCTCCCCTCTCTTTCCACGAGATCCCCTGACTGACACCTCGCTCTCACCCCCACAGTGTCCAAGTTTGACTATGTGCGGCGTGACCTCAAGGTGGACGAGGACGAGGGTGCGCTGAGCGGCATCAACGTCGAGGCGAGCGGGATCGCGAGGGTGCTCAAGACGCTCGAGAAGGGCAAGCAGGACAAGGAGGCACTCGAGGCAAAGGTGCGCCTCGCTTCTCTCTCTCTCTCTCTCTGTCCCTTTTGTGCACGTCGACTGACGCAGCCGCTCGGGCCCTCGAGCAGAACAAGCCCGCCGCACCTCCTGCCGCCACCTCGTCGTCCTCCAAGGCGAGCCTCGTCCCCTCGGCCGCCTCGTCGACCTCGGCCAACCCGTACAACACGGCGCCAATCTCGAACAACCGCACGGCGGCGTCGTTCACGTCGACCTCGGCCGCCGTCAGCACAAAGGCCGAGAACGCCCTGTGGGACGAGGAGCACCTCATGTACGAGCAGGTCAAGGAGCGTGGCGAGAAGGGCTACGCGAGGCTCGTCACCAACTTTGGCGCGCTCAACTTCGAGGTGCGTCCCTCTCTCTCTCCCTTCGACTTGGTGGTCGAGGCGCCGAGACTGACCTTCTCAAACACGTAGCTCTTTGCCGGCGTCGCTCCCCGAGCGTGCTACAACTTTCTGAGCGTGCGTCCTCGACTGTCCTCGCCTCGTCACGTCGAGCGGCCGAGTGACCGATCCGGTCATCCCTCTGCAGCTCGCCCGCGAGGGCTACTACCAGAACGTCAAGTTTCACCGCCTCATTCCCGGCTTCATGGTCCGTCCCCTCTCGATCTCTTTCTTTCCAGCGGTCGCGCAGGTGACTGACGCGCCCCTCGTCCGTCATGCAGCTCCAGGGCGGCGACCCGACGGGCACGGGCCGCGGCGGCGAGTCGCGGTGGGGCAAGCCTTTCGAGGACGAGTTCACGGCCCGCAATGCTCGTGCGTCCACACTTTCTCTCTCTCTTTCTCTATCTCCCTCGATCCTCGTCGAGCCGGCACTGACTCGTTCGAGGCGTCCCCGCCCGAGCAGAGAAGCACGACCAGCGAGGAGTGCTCGCCATGGCCAACTCGGGGCCCAACACGAACGGGTCGCAGTTCTACGTCACCTTTCGCGACAAGTGCACCCACCTCGACGGTGCGTCGTCGTCGCCGCCTGCCTTCCTCCGCCGAAACGAGCGCCGCGAGACTGACCTCTTGCCGCCGCACCCTGTCCCTCCCTCCCTCGTCCCCTTCCTCCTCCCCCGCAGGCAAGCACACCGTGTTCGGCCGACTCGTCGGCGGGCAAGACGTCCTGTCCAAGCTCGAGCGCGTCCCGACCGACCCGGCGACGGACCGCCCGCTCAAGCCTGTCGTGCTCGTCGACGTCGAGGTGTTTGGCGACCCGTTCGACGAGTACAAGAAGCGGCTCGACAAGCGGCTCAAGCGCGAGGAGGACGAGCGGCTTGGGAGGGGCGAGAAGGAGAGGAGGAGGGAGGAGAGGGCAAAGGACCGGACGACGTGAGTTGGGCCGCTCTCTCTCCCTCTCTCTCCCTCTCTTGTTCGCCGGCGCAGCACTGACTCGCGTCCTCGTACGCCTACACACACAGCTGGTTTGGCACCAACCTCGAGACGTCGTCGCCCGCCGCGCTCGCGCTCGCCTCGTCCGGCTCGACGGGCGCCTCGATCGGCAAGTACCTCGCCTCGTCGTCGTCGTCGTCGAGCACGGCCGGCGCCGTCGCACCACCGACACCGATCGGCGGCGCCGGCCTCAAGCGCAAGACGCCCGCACTCGGCGGCGCAGAGTCGGACTTGATCGCCAAGCTGGGAGAGGCGGGCGACGCTGGTGGAGGAGGAGGAGGAGGAGGTGCGGCGGCGGCGGCCAAGAGGAAGAAGAAGGCGGGCGGGTTCGGCGACTTTTCGGCCTGGTAGCGAGCGTGTGCAACGGGCGCGGGTCCGCGCTTCGCCAGCTGGCGGTACTCGAGAGCCTGAGAGGCTCGAGCGCCGGACCGCTCTCGGCGCAGCTCTTCTGCTCGCCTCGCTCTCGCTCGCTCTCTCTCTGTCGCTGTCGGCCTCCTCTCTCTCGCTCGGACGAGGCTGCACAGACAGACGGCGTTGCAGAGCGGCACAAACAACGTGCGAGGGTACAAAATGGAGAACGAGAGCCAGCTCGAGCGCGAGACTGCATGCCGTGGGTACAGATGAGGGACGCAGAGCCCGGCCCGAGCGCCATACTACTGCTAGTGCATGTTGCTGCGCGCAGAGAACGAGGATTAACATCTGGTTCGAGTTTGCGGAAAGCTCGAAGGAAGGGAGAGAGGGAGAGGAGGACGCACATGCGTGGCCCGATGTACCGCTTCTTGGCGTCAAGGGCGAACCAAACGAGCGAGCTGAGGATCACGAACCCGAGGAGCGTAGTCGAGTAGTTCATGGACTCGGCCGTGATGGGCAGCGTCTCGGGGAAGGCGAGGATCGTGACGGTAAAGGCGGTCCACGCGACGGCGATGGACGGGATGACGGTGCCGAGGATGCCGGGCAGCTTGAACGGGCCCGGCTCGAAGTCGATCTCGGGATGGTTCCGGAAGATGAGCTTGCAGGCGATCGGGACGGCGTACGACGTGTCGAGGGCGATGCTGCACAAGGAGAAGGTGGGTCAGTGCGCGGTCGGGCGAACGTGAGAGACAGACCGCTCGCGAGAGAGGGCGATAGAGAGAGAAGATAGAGAGAAAGAGAGAAAGAGAGGAGAGAACGAGGGAGGAGGAGAGTGTGGGAGAGAATGGGAGAGAGGCACTCACGCGCAGAGCGAGAAGACGGCGTTGACCGCGACGTCGCTCGCGAACGAGAGGCACCCGAGGCATGCTGTTGCAGGTAAAAGAGGTGCGAGAGAGGTCATGGGCCAGTCCTCGTGGCCTCGAGCCGCGGGAGAAGGAGAAAGACTCACCGCAGATGAAGCAGACGAGCCAGACGGCGTACATCGGGACCTTGTTGGGCGCGAGGCGCTGGAACAGACCCTTGTCGGGAAGACCCTCGTCTCGCGAGAACGCGAAGAAGGTGCGCGCGTTGGCCTGGAGGGCCGTCGAAACGACGGCAAACGCGGTAAAGCAGATGAGGCTCCACAGGACGTAGAAGCCGGGCTTGCCGACGCTCCGCACGATGATAGTGGCGGCCGAGTAGCCTGACACGCCGGGGAGCTCGTCCATCGGGCCGGAGCAAAGGACGTAGAGCTGCAGAGACGACGGGTCAGGACCTTCTCAAGTCGTCGAGGAGCGAGAGTGGGACGCACGATGTTGTAGACAAGGCCGGCGATGCCAGTTCCGAGTACGGCGACGATGATGGCGACTGGCGCCCGGATGCTCGCCTCCTTGACCTCCTCGCTGATGTGCGCCGTCGCGTCGTAGTCTGCGAGGACGTCGAGGGGTGAGTGTCGGTGGCCTGTCGCGAGCGCGAGAGGAGGAAGCAGGCGCACCAGTCATCGTCCACTGGACGGAAAGGAGGCCGAGCAGGACCGCGAACCCGTCCGACTGCCACCCGCTTTGGTTCTGCACGCTCGTGAAGACGTACGACGCCGAATGCTTGTCGTCGCAGGTGACGCCGAGCGCGATGACGACGGCAATGACGGCGCCGAGGTTGATAAAGACGAAGCACTTGGTAATGAGCGAGATGGCCTTGGTCCCGACGCACTGCAGGAGCGAGACGCAGTCAGTATCCTTGGCCCAAGGGCTCGAGAAGGGGCGCCTCGAGGGCGGCAGGAGTGCGACGAGCGAACGAGGACTCGAGTCGAGGCGGACGACGACGTGAGAAGGCGACTCGCGTTCATGATGCCGTGCACGACGAGCAGGAAGCAGTAGACCGCCATCTGGTGACCGGCGCCTGCGACGTAGCTGCCGTCGGTCGAGATGGTCGCGGCGGCGAGGATCATGCCGCTCAGGCCCCACTCGGTACTTGCGACGCCTGCGACTTGGCCGAGGAGGTTGAGCCTGTGACGAGCGGGCCGTGAGCGACTTGCGCGAAGAGACGAGGACAAGGGGAGGACGCACCAGCCGACGACCCAGCCGACGACCGCGCGAAACCGGTGCGGGACGAGGTAGGCTGACGCCGAGTACAGTCCTCCAGAAGTAGGGTAGGCCGAGACGAGCTCGGCGATGGACAGGCCGAGGCAGAAGCAGAAGATGGAGCCGATGAACCAGCACCTGTGCACGAGCGACAGGTGTCAGGACGGGCTTGGTCGAGAGCGAGAGAAGTTCAGGGCGCACCAGATGACTGACGCAGGACCGCCGAGCAGAAGAGGCGTGTCGAGCGTCGTCGCAACCGACGACGCGACGCCCATGATCGAAAAGGCGAACGAGATCGTCTGCGAGGACGGTCGAAGGAAGTCGCTCGAGGTCGCGCAGGGTTCCGAGAGGGAGGACGAGCGACGGACCGACAGGTTGGTAAACTCGCGGGCGAACTCCTGCTTGTAGCCGAGTGCTGCGAGACGTTCCTCTTCCCGGTCGCGCACGGTGGGCGCGACCGAGACGACGTCGGCCTTGTCCGAGGAGCTCTTGTCGGATTGACCCATCGTGTGTGTAGCGAGAGAAGGGACGCAGAAAGAAAGGCGTAGCAGTGCGAGGAGAGGGAGGGTCGACCGCTCGAGGAGGAGGAGGCGAGCGAGATAGAGCGCCCTCGCCGCGACGCCGAGATTGGCTCAGGGACGTGTGGAGTGCTGCAAGGGCTCGAGGATATCGAGGCCTGGTCCCCGCATCCGCGCATGCCAGAGCTGGAGAGGGCGAGAAGCGCAGATAGCCGCGAGGGTCAGGGCACTCTCCTCGGCCCTCTGGAGGCGGCGGGGCACTGTCGAGGGGACGCAGCCGGTGCAGGAGCCGCCGCACAGCTGCAGCACACCTCGACAGAGCTGTCGGCCGTCGTGACGAGGAGCTGAGCCGCTTCATCTCGTCGTCGAACCGACCTGCTCTCTCTCGCACGGCTACCACGTCGAGCGCTCTGCCAGATGCCTCTCCTATCACAGTCGGCACTATCTGCTGCGCCCGCGGCTCGCGCTTGTCGCTCCCGCCCCGCTCGCCCTCGTCCTCGCCGCCCTCAGCTCTCGTCGGCCGGTGGCCCTCCACCTCGGCGTCAGGGCATCCAGCGCCTATCGACAGCGAGCACCTCTCTCGTCCTCTTCTATCACCCCCGGGCCCGCCTTCGACCGATCCCGCGATGACCTCGTACCTCACCTCGCTCCTCGGTCGCGCGCCCAAGCCCAGTGGCCCCGAGCACATCGCCCTGCCTGCCAGCTTTTACACGAGCCCGGCCGTCTATGAGCTCGAGAAGCGGGCGCTCTTCAGCCGCATGTGGATCATGGTGTGCCACGAGCGGGTCCGTCTCCTCTCCCTCCCTCGTACTCGGCCTCCTCCTCCTCCTCCTCCTCCTCCTCCTCGCTGACACCCCTGACTGGTGCCACGCCTGCAGTTCCTCAGCGAGACGGGCAAGTACCAGCTTGTCGACTACGCCGGCATGCAGTTCTTCGTCATCCGCAGCAAGGCGGGAGACGTGCGCGCCTTCTTCAACGCCTGCGCCCACCGCGCCTTCCCCGTTCTGCGGCCTCGGCAAGAGGGCGAGAAGGACGTCAGCGTCGAGTCGGGCAAGGTTTCGATCATCGCGTGCGGCTACCACGGCTGGTCGTACTCGACCAACGGCGACCTCGCTAAGGCGCCTGGCTTCGACGGCATCCCCGGCTTCGAGCCCAAGAACCACGGCCTGTCGTCCCTGCGCGTCCACGTCGACAAGAACGGCTTCGTCTACGTCAACGCCGACAAGTCGGCCGACGCCCTGTCGTGGAAGGCGCAGTTTGGCGCGTTCGAGGAGCAGGAGCGGCTCAAGCGCGTCGACTGGGACAACTACGACTACGCGCTCTCGTGGGGCATGGAGGACGCGCCGTACAACTGGAAGGTGCTCGTCGACAACTACCAGGTGCGTCCGACTTTCCCTCGTCGTTCCTCCCCGTCCCTTTCCTCTCCCTCGTCGTTCCTCCCCTTCCCTGGCTCCTGCTCTCTCTCCCTCTCCCTCTCTCTCCCAACTGACACGCTCTCCACCTGCAGGAGTGCTACCACTGCTCGATCACGCACCCGGGCTTTGTCAAGACGACCGACCTCAAGACCTACACGGTGACGGGCAAGGCCGGCATCATCGAGCACTACGTCAAGGCCAAGCCTGAGGCGCTCCTCCCTGGCGCAGACCCAGAGAAGGTGCGCTTCCCTCTCTCTCGTCTCGTCTCTTCTCGCCGTCGCCGAGCGTCATCGTCTCTCTCTCTCGCACCGGAACCTCGCGCCGGCACTGACCCTCTCTCTTTTCGCTCGCAGTTCGCGTTCAACTTTATCGCGCCCAGCTCGTCCCACACCGTCACGCCCATCTACTGTGCGTCCCTCTCGCCAAATCGCGCTCCTTGTCTCGACATCCTCGCCGAGGTCACGCAGCCTGACCTACCTCGGCCGTCCCTCGCTCAGTCTACACGATGAAGATCTGCCCGACAGGCCCTCGCTCGTGCAACGTCAGCTTTGACGTGTACCGTCACAAGACGTGCACCGACGAGCAGTTTGACGAGGCGCACAAGTTCTTCGTGCAGGTCGAGACCGAGGACAAGATGCTGTGCGCCAACGTGCAGAAGAACCTCGAGCGCGGCAACTACAACAGCGGGCCTCTGCACCGTGCGTCCCCCTCTCGCTCTCGCACTCGCTCTCAAGTACGAGGTCGAGCGCCGGCGCTCACACTTGTTCTCTCCCCTCTCGCAGCGACGCGCGAGTCCGGCTGCATCTACTTCCAGAAGTGGTACGTCGAGCACCTCAAGGAGCACTTTGCCAAGGAGCAGGCGGCAGGCGAGGAGATCCGGGGCGGCCAGAGCTTCTACCGAGGTGCGCCGACCGCCGTCGACGAGTTTGCGGCCAAGGTGGACGCGTGCTCGGGCGCGTGCGGTGGCGGTAAGGAGGCAGAATGGTGAGTAGATCGTCTAGAGTCTGTCTGTCTGTCTGTTTGTAACGAAGCAGTGCACAATCTCCCGTCCTTGTCGCACATCGTGTCCCCCTCCCGTCAGCTCGAGGAACAGCCGCCCTGTCCTGACTCTCTCTCCCAGTCGCCTCGTCCGCTCTGTCTCGATGTCGTCGAGTACTGCTGTCGTTCTCTTGTCGAACGTCAAGGAAGTTTCTCGACGCTGCGAGCCCGGTTGCGCACGGTCCTCGGTTCCTGGCGGGACCTTCTCAAGTCGAGAAAGGCTCTTTGCTCGCCTTTGAACGCTACAGACGAGGTCCGAGACCGGCTCATCGTCAGGGTACGACGCTTGGCTGCGGCGCGACACGAAAGCGCATAGCGAGAGCATTCTCATCGCGCCACAGCGCGAGTCGAAGCGAGGAGACGCTGCGTGAGAAGGTCGAGAAGGGGCTCTTTTCTCTCCGTTCAGCTGCGTAGAACTGCTGGTACATTGCGAATCGTTCTCTCCTCTGAGCTCCGTGTCCTACCAGTCCCGGTACGCCCGCTGCCCGACGTAGAACGCCTTGGCGAAGTTGGCTGCGGGGAGCGAGCGTCAGTCGAGCGCCTCGAGCGAGGGCCGAGGAGAGGTGGCGCACGAGAGGAGAAGGTCACGGGCGTGCCCTTGGGGACTGCGAGAGGTAGGCGATGTCAGGCGAGGAGCGTGCGCTCCGAGAGGAGGGAGGAGACGCACTCGACAGCGTGTCGCCCGGGTGCGCCTCGATCCTGACGCCTGCCACCTTGTCTTCGAGGATCAGGGTGCCTTCGACGACGAGCTTGAGCTCGTCATACCCATATCTGGTTCTCGCAGAGACTGATCAGCACCGCGACAGCAAGCGAGAGGAGGAAGAGGACGCACGTGTACGTGAACGGCGTGCCCGCCTTGACCGTGAAGAACCCGCAGCTGATCGGCTTCTCCTTCTCCCAGTGCGTCGAGAAGACGTCGTCGATCTGGCCGACCTCCTTGCCCGGCTCACCCATGGGCGTGCTGAGCGGGTGAAGCTGCTGCGCGTTCTTGCACACCGACAAGGTCGTAGGAGAGTTGAGCTCGCCGATAGACATGATGGGCTGGTCTTGGAGTGTCGAGCGATAGAAGCTAGGCGGTGTCGAGAGAGGTAGATCGCAGAGGTGAGGAGAGAAGAGTCGACGAGAGAGAAAGCCGGTCGACGAGGTCGTCGTCGCGAGCTGGTGCGGGGCTAGCTTCGCCGGTCGGCTAATCGCGCCTGACAAGCGCTCCACTCACTCAGGGCTCTGATCCGTGACGATAGAGAGCCGAATCGCTGCCGACAAGCGCGATTCCGACCTAGCCGCACCGAGTCGCGCCGGCCTTCCCAAGTGCGGGGTCAATCGCTCCGCTCGCGTCGGGCACACCACCTGCTGCTGCGCTGTACACTCTCAGCCATCCGCTATGCTCGACTTTATGCCCGTCGCACACTACGCCAGCCTGGGGGCCGTCCTTGGCGTCGCCACGGCCCTATCTCTCCTCGTCGTCCTCCTCGAGCCGCGCCTGGGTCTGCTCGCCAAGCTGCACGGCTTCCCCGACACGCTCAAGACGAGCCTACCGACACGCCTGAGCACTCTGGTCGACGACGCCGTTAACCGGCTCGGCTTCCCCGCGAGGGCGAGAGGTCCGTCCGCACTCGCTGACCCGGACCCGCTCGCCAACCTCGCCCTCAGGTCGGCGACGACCCGCGACCACCTCTACGTCAACAAGTGCCTCCGATGGCCCTACTTCCAGACTATGGCGCATCAAGCGATGCACGTCAATCACTGGATCGAGATCGACGCGCGGTACGAGGCCGAGATGCAGTACAAGGCGTCGGTCGTGCAGAGGTACCGGGACGAGACCGTCATCTCGCTGCCCGAGAACGACGAAGGAGCAGGCGAGCTCCTCGAGACGCTCGTCGACTACTTGCCCAAGGTGCGCCCGAACCCCTCTCTCGCGCTCGAGCCTCGCTTTCCAGCTGACAACCTCGTCGCCCTCAGCGCTACCCGACGCTTTTCGCGCCTCTGCCGAACGGCGGCATCCACAACAAGGTCCTCGGCGAACGTCACTACGACCTCAAGGGCATGACCGGCACCGACGCGCTCGTCGTCGTCTCCAAGTCTGTCGAAAGCCGTCTCGTCTACCCTATCGTCCGAAATTGACCCGCCTCGTTGCACGCACAGGCTCGTTCAGGACGACTTTCTCATGGGCCGAGAGCGAGAAGACGGCCACGTCTACTTCGTCGGCGGGATCGTCGCCGTTCCGGGTCCGTCGCCCGCTCGGACCCTCCCTCCTCGCGCCCCCTCCCCTCTCCTCCTCTGACGCTCTTCTTCCCTCCTCGCGCAGGCTTCTACAGCTTCAAGGACAAGGTCGGCAAGTCGATGCGCGAGGTGCACGAGCCCGTGCCGCAGTTCAACGACAAGATCCTCATGAGCGTCGAGCGCACGCTCAAGCGGTTCAAGCCCGAGGAGCCGTTTGAGCGCTCGAGCTGGGAGATCGTCGACGACCTCAAGGCGCACAAGCGTGCGTCTCTGGCTCTCTGACGACTAGACCGAGATGCGCACTGACTCGTCGAGCGGCGACAGACAACATTGCGACGCTCGAGGGCGACGACAAGCTGGCCGACGACCTCCCCCCGAGCGAGTACATCTTCCGGTGCGCCCGCTTTTCTACGCAAAGTCTGACGCTCAGACCGTGACTGACTGCCTCGAGCCGAACAGCATCGACCATCAGACGTTCCGCAAGCTGCCCAAGTCTCGCGCCGTCGTCTTCGGGTGCGCACGGTCCCCCTCCTTTCTCTCCGCCTCGTCGGCCGCTCACTCTCCCTCGTCGAGAACCCGAGCAGCGTGCACCCGATCCTGCGCCCGCTGCACGAGTTCGCCGACCTGCCGCTCGTGCCGGCGCTGCTCGCAACGGTGCACAAAAGGGGCCCGAGCGACCTCATGCAGTACAAGCTCAATTTTCGCTGTGCGTCGCCGCCGGTTCTCTCTCGCGCGCGCTACCTTCCTCTCTCGTGCGACGGGCTGACGAGGCCAAGAGGGCGCATCGAGCAGACCAGGACAAGCTCCTCCCGTACCTCAAGGAGCTCACCCAGTCGCAGATCGACCGAGGCCTCATCACGTGCGTCCTGCTCCCCTCTCGCCCTCTCCCCGCCGTCGAAGCACAGGCAGAGCAGGGCGCTGACGACCTTTAAGTCGACGACGCACAGCGGCGACGAGGACGTCGCAGAGTTTCGGGCGCTGCTTGGGAAGGTCAAAGCGTGAGGCGTGCAGCGAGGGTCCGGGGACGCCGCAGAGGGTTTGTCGTGTGTAGAGCAGTGCCATAAGATTAAGCAGTCGGTCGAGCCGAGCGAGAAAGCCGGAAAAGCGCCAGAAGGAGAGGGGCAGAACAAGATTCGAGAGCCGCTCTCGAGCCTCGCTTTCTCCGACCTCTCGCCGAGAGCGAGCTGCCCGACGCGTCAGAGCATCGCTGCGTCTGCGTTGCACGTCTCGAGCGCTCTGCCCCTCTTGCCTGGGGCCGCTCCCGCTCACTCCTGCCGCAGCGGCGGCGGCAAGTCGAGCAGTTCGCCATTGTCGCCCACCTTGTACTGCGGCTTCATGGCGTCACTGTGTCGGCGGGGCACGACGCGCGAGTCAGTCAGTCGCGCGTGTCTCGACGAGCGAGGGAGGAGGGGCGACGAGGGAGAGGAAGAGAGAGGGGGACGAGTGGGACGCACACGTAGTCCTGCGAGGCCTTGTTGCTCTTGAGGAGGTTGCGGACGGCAAAGAGGGCGTGCTCGCGCATGGCTGCGCGCAGAGGCAAGGGCTCAACCCGTCAGTCCTTGCCCCAGCTCGCCTCGGGTGGTGCGGCGACGCAGGACGAGGGAAGGGAAGGGATCGGAAGGGGAAAGGGGGAGGGGAAGGAAAAGGGAAAGACGTCGACGCACTCGTGTTCCTCTCGTCCATCTGGCACATACTGAGCAGCAACTCGAGCCCCCCGAGGTCCCTCACGCGGTCCTGCGTCCGCCTGACGCGGTCAGGCGGCGTCGGGCGCGCGGTCGTGAGCGGCGGCGCGAACGAGACGATGCCGAGGAGCTGGACGAGGGTGCGCTGCAGCTGGGCGACGGCGAGGGTCGATTCGGGCGAGGCGGTGGCGGGTGCCGGAGAGGGTGGAGGTGCGGGGGCGGTGGGCGAGGAGGACGAGGATGAAGGTGGTGGTGGTGGTGGTGGACGGGCAGAGACGGGCGGGAGGAGCGTCGTCGAGAACCCGAGGAGGCCTGCACGAGCAAGGGAGAGTCAGTTCACCGGTCGACTGCAACCCGGGCGCGAAGGGAAGACAGATGAAGAGAGAGCAGGACGCACGGACAGCCGTCTCTGCACCTTCAGCCAGTTCCTCCCTCGCCCTCTCCTCCCTCTCCTCCCTCTCGCTCCCTCCATGCCCCTCCTCCTCCTCCTCCTCCTCCTCCTCCTCGGCCCCCTCCCCCTCCAGCGCCAAACCGATCGAGCACGCACAATGCAGCACAAGCACCAAACCCTCGAGCGCCTTTGCGTCCGCCGCGTTCTTGGCCCTCGCTTGCCCGTGCGGCGCGTCATCGACGAGCGACGCGCCGAGGTGCGCGAGCTGACGCACGAGGAAGGGCGCGAGGGCGAGTGCGGGGGGTTGCGACGCGCGGCGAGGGAGCGAGAGGTGGCCGTCGAGGAACTTGAGGAGGGTGACGAGGGTGGGTGAGGTGGCGAAGCCGGGCATGCTGCGGCGCGACGAACGAGGGGGGGTAGGATGACGAGGAGGGGGTAAGGAAAGGAGAGTCAGGTCGCGTTGCCGGGAGAGAGACGCAGGGGGAGAGAGGGTGCGCACAGGGCGTGCTCCTCGTACGCTGCCGCAAAGACCTCGAGCTCGACGAGCTGCTGCACGATGGCGAACCTGGTGGGCCTCGGCGCTCGAGTGAGCAAAACGTTCGACTGACTGGGTCCAGGGCAGGGCGCGCACGAGGGGAAGAGAGGGGGACGCACGACAGGTGGAAGATGTCGGAGTGGAAGTCCTCGCTCGCGATCCCCTCGGGCGTCTCGTCGTCGAACAAGACGCTGACGATCGTCATGAGGCGGTCGAGGATGGCGGCGCCGGCTTTCGACGTGCCGAGGAGAAGCCTGCGGGCGGGCGAGTAGGCGGCGGTGAGCTCGACGTTGTCCTTCACGGGGGAGGTGGACAGATGGACGCACGCTCGCTCGCGGTTGCCGTGGATCGAGTTGAGCAGAAAGATGAGGACGGCCTGGAGCGTGCCGTGGTCGGGCGAGGCGAGCAGACGTCTGTCGTGCGGAAAGGAGGTCAGCGCCGCTCGACAGGACCCGGAAGAGAGAGAGAGAGAAAAAGCGAGGCGCACTGGACAAGGTTGTCGTCGACCTCGAGCTCGAGTCGGCGCGGGAAGAAGGTGCTCGCGATGGCCTCGTTGTCGGTGACGAGGTTGGCGAGCGCCTGACAGCAGATGCGGGTCATGTCGGTGTCTGCGGAGCGACAGGGCTCTGTCAGTCTCGCCCGGGTACACAAAGTGTGCGAGAGAGAGGTGGACGCACAGGCCGGGTCCTCGAGGTTGAAGAGGGACGAGGCGGTGAGGAGGACCTGGCGCAAGGACGGCTCGATGCGGTCGCTGCGCGAGGAGGTGACAAGGCGTGAGCTGTCGGCGCTGGTGGAAAAAGGGTGCGGTTGGACGGACACTGCGCGTTGCTGGTTGTCGGGCGACTGGGTGCACACGCTCAGGAGGAAGGCGGCGAGAGCGAGGAGGGCCGGGATCGAGTCCTTGTCGTCCGAGGCGAGCCGGTGCGCTTCGACGTCCCAAGCTGCGGCGAGCGCTGGCCAGAGTGGGGCGTGGGAGCCATAGGTGGACCTGTGCGAGTGCTCGTGGTCAGTGTGGGTGTGTGGGACGAGGGAAAGCTTCATCAGCTCACCGAAGAGGCGGGGTCGACCTCAGTCCGAGTCGGGGAGGGCGAAGGAGGTGGACGAGCTGTTGAGGGGTGCCCCGTGCGTGAGCGTACTCGCACAGCTGGCTTGTGAGCTCTGGCGGGCTCGGCGGAGCACAGTCGGCCATGGACAGAGGGAGAGCTCCGAGCCGAGCAGGAGATGGTCCGTCGTCGCTCGTTCCGCTCGCCCTTGCACAGCTGAGCATGAGCTCTGAGGCGCTCTACCAGCCTCGGCAAGGCACTGCTGCCCTCCACGACGAGCCGCACCCAGACGCACCCGCCGCAAAGCGCATCCGCCTCGACCTCACCTCGAACGACTCGTCCTCGCTCGACATCTCTCCCGCACCAGCACGAGGCGGCCAGCACGACTCGCCAGCACCACCACAGCCGCACACTCTCCCCTCCACGAGCGCGCCACCCGCCAAGGCCGCACCCTCACCTCCTCCTCCTCCTCGTCGACCCGACTACGCCCACCGCTTCACTCTCGAGGGCCACAAGAAGTCCATCTCGTCCGTCAAGTTCAGCCCAGACGGCAAATGGCTCGTCACAGCCGGTGCGCCCCCTAACTCGCCGCTCTCCTCAACTCGCCCCCACTAACCTCCCTCCCCGACCGCAACAGCCGCCGAGCCGTCGATCCACCTGCACTCGCTGCCCTCGTTCAGCCTGCACCGCACCTTTTCGTCCCACACGGCCGGCATCTCGGACGTCGCCTTCTCGGCCGACTCGACCCTGCTCGCCTCGGCGTCCGACGACCGCACCGTGCGCGTGTGGGAGGTCGACCCGGCCCTGCCCCTCGTCGGCGCCGGCGCCGGCGGGGTGCGCCCGCTCGAGGCCAAGGCCTACGAGGCGGCGAGGGTCCTCCAGGGCCACTTGACGGCCGTCTTCTGCGTCGCGTGGAGCCCGAGGGGCGACTTGGTCGCGAGCGGCGGCGTCGACGAGACGGTGCGCGTGTGGGACGTCCAGAAGGGTGCGTCGCCCGCCCTTTCTCTTCAGTCCTTCACGCCCTTGACGTGGAGCCGAACTGATGGCGTTCTCGGGTGCGCGCACAGGCCGGTGCATGCGCGTCCTCCCCGCGCACTCGGAGCCCGTCAGCGCGGTCCAGTTCAGCCGCGACGGCACCATGCTCGTCTCGTGCTCGTGGGACGGCTACATGTACGTCTCGTCTCCCTCTCCCCGAGCCTCTCGCACGCGCACGGCCCTGACACCCTCCCCTCCCTTCCTCCCCGCGCCCGCAACAGCCGCATCTGGGACACGTCGACGGGCCAGTGCCTCAAGACGCTCGCGCACGAGGACAACACGCCCGTCGCGAGCGTGCGCTTCTCGCCAAACTCCAAGTTCCTGTTGACGGCCACGCTCGACTCGGCCGTGCGCCTGTGGGACTACCAGAACGACAAGGTCGTCAAGTCGTACGAGGGGCACCAGAACCGCAAGTGCGTCGCCCGTGCCTCTCTCTCTATCTCTCTCTCTCTTTCCTTTGTTCTCTCGTCCTCGTCCTCGTTCGAGCTCGAGGGCACGCGACCTGACCCGTCCCCCCCCCCCACTCGCGGCGCAGGTACTGCGTCCCGCCGATCCTGACGCCCGACGGGCACCACCTCGTGTGCGGCTCCGAGGACCACAAGGTCGTCGTGTGGGACGTCCAGACGCGCGAGGTCGTCGCGGCGTGGGTGGCGCACAAGGGTGAGCTTTTCCCCCCTTCGGTCTCTCCTCTTCTCTCCCCCCTCCTCCTCCTCTCTTCTGGGTCCCACTGACGGCCTTGCACTCGGTCGCGCAGACGTAGTCATGGCGGTCGCGCACCACCCGACGCTCGACATCCTCGCGACCGGCGCCCTCGAGAAGGTGCGTCCCGGCACCTCCCTCTTCCTCCTCCTCCCTCTCCCTCTCTCTCCCTCTCTCGCCCAAGCCTGACATTGTCCTCTCCCTCTCTGCCTCGACTCGGCGCGCACAGGACCCCGTCGTCAAGATCTGGGCCATGCCCGACGCCGCGGACGCGCTCGGGGAGGGACAGGCGCAGGCGCAGGCGCAGGCGCAGGCGCAGGCGCAGGCGCAGGCGCAGGCGCAGGCGCACGAGGGAGGAGGGAGCGCTGCAATGCAGGTCTAGCCGTGATTGGGGCGGCCTTTTTACTCTTTCCCTCCCAACGCGTTGGCTGTCGGCGTCGTCGCTCTCGAGAGAGAGAAGGACAGGGGCTCGTCGCCGCACAGACAGCCTTGCACCCCTCGCTCGCTCCGTCCCGCCTCTCTACCTCCGACCCCAGCTGCTCCTCCTCGCCGCGCTCGAGACCGCCCGCCTGCGTCTACTCAAAGTCTGCTCGCGAGGAGAGAGAGGAGAGGAAAGAGGGTTGGGGTCAGGGTCCTGCATTTCAGTCGGGGAGAGGGGTGCGCACCGGACCCGCCGCCCGGACCCTCCTCGTCCCTCGCTCGCTCGCTCGCTCGCCCTCGTCCGTCCCGCGCCGGCGACTCCACGTCCCGTCGCTGCACCCCACCACCACCAGGCTCTCGCCGCTCCTCGCCTCGCCTCGCCTCGCCTCGCCTGCTCCTCGACTCGACCCACCTGCCACCCCTCCCTCTCTCCCTCCCTTGCGCGGCGCGGGCGCGGGCGCGGGGCGCCGCTCAGAGCTCCTCGCGGTACGGGATGGGCTGACCGTCTGCGTCGAGCTGCGTCTCGAGCGGGATCTCGCCGCTCTTGACGATCGTCACCTTCTGCTTGGGCTTGTCGCCTGGGCCCTTGGGCACGTTCTCGACCTGGATGAGGGTGCGGCGGCGGCGAGGGGAAGAGGGAGGCAGCGAAGGGGCAGGGGGAGGGAACGAGGAGGCGCGTGCGACGGCGACGAGGTGGCGCAAGAAGGTCGACCGAGGAGTGCGGCAGTGGCGGGAGAGAAGGGAGGGATCGAAGGAGGGTCAGCGCCTTCTCCTCCTCCTCCTCGTCGACGAGCTCTCCTCTGGCCGAGAGAGAGTAGACGCACAGCGTAGACGACGTCCATGCCCTCGAGGACCTTGCCAAAGACGACGTGGCGGCCGTCGAGCCAGCTGCGAGAGGGCAAAGAGGGCGGGCGTCAGGGGCTCTCCTCGCAGACCTCCCTCGACGTCAGGAAGTCGGACGTACGATGTGGTGACGGTCGTGAGGAAGAACTGCGAGCCTGAGGGATGACGAGCGGCGTCAGAGTCGGTACGGGACGCTGAGAAGGCTTGGGGAGGAGCTCACCGTTGGTGCCGGGGCCGGCGTTGGCCATCGAGAGGACGCCCGGGCCAGTGTGCTTGAGCTTGAAGCTGCGGGAAGTGACGATCGTCAGTGCGGGTCTTGGAGAGGAAGAGGCAGGGGTCGGACGCACTTCTCGTCCTCAAACTTGTTGCCGTAGATGCTGCAAGGGGAGGAGGGTCAGCGGGCGTCTCGGGAGTCGAGCGATTGCGGGAACGCACCTCTTGCCGCCCGTGCCGTCGCCACTGTGAGAGGAAAGAGGTACAGCGTCAGTACGGCGCTCGACGGAAGGGGAGAAGGCGAGGGCGGACCGGGTGAAGTCGCCGCTGCAGGTCGAGAAGAGGTAAGTGAAAAGCTCGAAACGGCGTGTGAGATGACGAGAGACGCACCCCTGGATCATAAAGTTCTTGATGACGCTGCAGGATCGATGCGGGTGTCATTCGGCGGCTCCTCGTGAGGAGGCGACAGCTCGACGAGCGGGAAAGGGGAGAGTTGAGCGCACCGGTGGAACGACGAGCCCTCGTAGCCGAACCCAGCCTCGCCGGTCGCGAGCTGCCTGAAGTTCTCGGCGGTCTGCGACGCGCGTACGAGGAGCGGGTCAGCTCTGATGCGAGGGGGGAGGAAGCCGAGGCGGGGGAGGGGGCGGACCTTGGGGACCGTCTTGCCGTACAGGCCCATGACGATGCGGCCCATGGGCTCATCGCCGTGCTGAATGTCGAAGTAGACCTGCAGTCGAGTCGGCAGGGCAGTCGGGGTTGGCGCGGGCGAGCGTGAGGGTGGTGGGGGGAGGGGGAGGGGACCAAAGTCAGTGGTCTCGCTCCTAGGGGCGCCGTCCGCCTCCTCATCGAGTCCGATGAGAGTAAGAGGACGCACCTTGCTCGTGATGACCGGGCCCTTGGCCGCGAGTGCGACGTTGGCGAGCCCCGCGAAGAGGGCCACGATGAGGGCTGAGCTGAAGAACTTCTGCAGGCGCGCAGGTGGAGGGGGCAAGTGGGGGTCAGTGAGGTCCCTGCTGTAGACTGGGAGCCACTGCGGCGTACCATGGTGAGATGAGGTGAGGAGGAGGATGGGAGCGACGTGGTCCGGTCGAACTGAGGGAACGCCGACGACAAGTCTCTCCGTGGGTCCAGCTTCTCTCTCTGTGCAGTATAGTCTCTCGCAGGCTCTCGGCACGGTCGCACCGCACGAGACTCGCAACGAGGACGAGGTGGAAGCCGACAATTACACGGCGCAGAGGCTCGCGCGCGAGCAGGCCCGGGTGGAAGAGTACAGGTCGCTACGGCAAAGCGCACGCTCCCGTGAGAGCAGAGATAGATAGGGATATGGCTCGACGAGGGAGAAGAGGAGGAGAGAGGAGAGAAGGAGGAAACGCTGGGTACGAGGCGAGGGGAACGAGGTTGCCGTTGCGGAGCTGAACAGGGTCGGGAGGTGCAGGGATGGTACTGATGGACGACGCTGTCGTGAAGCTCGAGTGTCTGTTGGTCTATAGGGAAGGCGAAGCGATAGGTACGAGGGGGAGGGATGAGGGTGGACGCGCTAGGGCCGCCAGAGCGAGGTGCCCTCGACGCCGGCGCACAGCTGGTGGTCCGTGAGGAGGTCGAGTGCGAGGACGTCCTGCGAGGCGAGGGACGACGAGTCAGGCACGGGCTCGGTCAAAGTAGGTCGGGCGCGAGCCTCGAGAAAGAGAGAGAGACGGACGCACCGTGTAGCCCGAGCCGTAGTCGGCGACGCCGAACGAGATGATGACCGTGTCGTCGAGGAAGCCGTGGTTGAGGCCGAGACCGTGCCGGTTGGTCGGGTGGTCCCCTGCGTCGGCGAGAGCGAGTCAGTCATCGCTCGCTCGCGTCGAGGAGGAGGCGCACGCGAGGCACGAGGACCGAGAGAAAGGGAGAGAGGGAGGGACGCACAGGCCATCGAGACGGTGAAGATCGGGTCGGCCTGGTTCGTGCCCGAGTAGGTGAGAGGGCGCGACACGGACAGGTAGTTGTACGGCTCGGTGACGTTCCAGGTGACGACGTGGCGGACGTAGTGCAGGTACGGCTGTGGCGAGGGCGTGAACGGTCAGTGACGGTCGTCGAGGGGGACGGAGAGAGTGGTCGAGGAGAGGGAGAGAGAAAGAGAGAGGAGATAGGCAGAAGGCGAGGGAAAGGTAGGTCGAGGCTCGAGGACGCACGAGAGGGTGGTACTTGACGTGAATGATGCCGAACAAGACCGTGTTGTGCACGTCAGGCTTGCACTCGCCGCGCTTGCAGAGCGTCGCGCGCAGGAGCGGCGTCGCGTGGTGCAGGTGGACGCGGTTCATGTCGGGCCCGAGCAACTCGGTGAGGCAGTTGTGCGACGGCGCCAACGGGTCGAGCGGGCGCAGGGTGAGGTTGGGCGTGTACTTGTAGATTTGCTGAGGGACGAGAGAGACGTGGAACAGGAGCTGCGGGGCGGGGGAGGGGGAAGGGGAAGGAGGAGGGTCAGGGGCGCTCTTTCTCGTCCTTCAAAGCTCGCAAACGGCTCGCCGAGCCTACCTCGTCGTGCTGGCCGTGCATGAGGCACCAGTTTTTTTCAACGGGGCGCTGCGCCTCCCTGATGAGGTCTGCGGGATCGAGAGGGTCAGGCGGCGGCGCGACGAGGACGAAAGCGCTCGTAGCGCACCTGTTTGCTCGCGAAAGACGATGGGCGCGTCCCACCCGGCGCGCTTGAGGGCCTTGTCGAGGCCGGTGACGACCATGCTGCACGAGAGAGGGACGGGCGTCAGGCGAATTCTCGGATGTCTGAAGAGAGAGGGGACGGACCGAGCGTCGATGATGAACAAGGCCCGGCACACGTTGGGGCTGCGGCCGGTCTGCGAGTACATGAGCAGAGGCTGCCCATCGTCCGTGAGGAACAGGCGAGCGTCCTCGGCGCCGATGAATTGCTCGTAGACCTTCTCGGCGCAGCGCTGGTACGGCACGACGCGGTCGGCGGGCAGGTCGAGCGTCTCGAGCTCCGACTCGCGCGCGAGATAGGGCAGGTCCAAGTGTGCGCGCTTGAGCGGGAGGAGGAAGCACCTGCAAGAGAGGAGGCGACCATGCCGGAGGAAGAGGGAGGGGGTGGAAGAGGTCAGTGCACTGGAGCGAACGACGCCGCGCCCGCAGACCTTCTGCGCCGCACGAGAGGAGAAAGAGGAGACGCACCCGACGAGGTTCTGCCACCGCACGTCGTCGCCCGCGATGACCTCGTACTTCTCGGGCGCACGAGCCACCATGAGGTGCCGCCACCCGGCGCCGACCTGGTCCGGGAGCACGAGGACGGTCGGGTTGAAGATGCCGCCGGCGTACGGGTCGATCAAGCCGATGAAGCCGAACGGGTTGCTGACCGACTCGATGACCTTTGCCTTGTTCTGCGGCGTCGGGTACCCAGGCTTGAGCACCGACGACAGGGTCGACGACGTGAGGACGGCGAGCGCCGCGTGCGCCGTGTGGCCCCGCCGAGTGTGCAGGCGCGAGGTCGGCGTGAGCGGGACGGTGTCGTCCGAGGGCGAGAGGAGGAGGTAGAGCAAGATGAGGGAGAGGGTGACGAGGGCGAGGGCGCGCCGCCGGGGAGGGATGAAGGCGAGGCGGGAGCGCAAGGTCGAGTAGCGCGAGGAAGAGGTGAGGGTGCGGCGCGCCGAGGAAAGGGAGGGGAGGTGGGAGCGGCGGAGCTTGTCGGCGACGCTGCAGAGGGAGGAAGAGGTCAGTCAGTGGGTCGGTTGACCGGCGACGAGGTTGTCCGTGCGCAGGACGTCGACTGCCCTCGCGCCCATGCTCGACGGTGACGAGAGAGAGAGGGAAGAGAGGCGGTACGCACCCGTCCCAGCCGTCCTTCTCATACGCCTTCCTCCATGCCCTCCCGCCAGCGACGAGCTCCTGCCACCACTCTCCCCCTCCCGCGCCGCCGTGCCCATTGACCTGGGTCATGCCGCGCCCACCGCCACCTCCCGACCGGTGCTGCCCCGCCAGCTTGCGCGCGACGCGCTCGTCGTCGTCGTCGAGGTCGGACCGCTTCTCGCGGCGGTCCCTCGCGCCGACCCCGTTCGACGCCGCGTGCGCATGCGCGGGCGGGACGGCGCCGTGGCCCTCCTCGGCCGAGGCGAGGGCGTCTGCGTCGAGCATGGCGGGCCTGAAGGCCTTGGGCGGCGACGCAAAGGGCGACACGGGAAGCGACGAGGTCGGGCTCGTGAAAGCGGTCGAGGCCGTGGTCGACGGGCCGAGCGCGAGGTCGTTGGGCGAAGGTGCGCTCGAGGACGAGGCGTAGGCGTGCGAGGCGGCCCGCCAGGGGGCGTTGCTCGTGCTGCTGGCGCCCGAGTCCGAGGTTGGCGATGAGGTCGACAGGTCGTCGAGGTCGCGTGCCGAGGCAGATGGCGGACGGGCGGTGCCGCTCGTGAGCTGGCGACTGCTGCTCGTGCTGCTGCCCTGGTGGTGAGATGCGCTGCTGGCCATGCGCGCGAGGGGCGGGTTGGCGGAGGCGGAGCGTCAGGCGTCGCGCCGAGGCAGAGCTCGCGGGTCGAAGGTGCTGCGGGCCGCTCGAGGGGCAGGTCGCGCTCGCCGTGCGCGTTGATCTGGCGCGGCCAAGTCGAGCTCTGGGCGAGCTGGCGGTCGGGTTGGCGTGCGAGGAGAGCGAGAGGGCTGCAGATGCTCACCGAGCCTTCCTGGTCCTGGATCCCGATCGAGCGGTGTCTCCGTTTTAAGGTCGGCCCGGGGTGGCTGGCAGTATCTCGTTCAGCAGGGTCGACAAGAGTACATCTCGAGAGCAGTAGACTGGCGTGGTACGCAAAAGGCGGTTCGCGAGGAGGAGCAGGGAAGAGGTCCGAGAGCGGCACCGCTCGCTTTCCAGGTCGTGCTGGCTACGGGCAGACTGCAAGCGCTCCTACTGCATCCAAGCCATGTCGAACAAGCACGAAAGAAGCGCTGACGAGAGCGGTGGTCGTCGTCGTCGTCGTCGTCGAGCTCGGGACGACCTCCGGAGCTTCGAGCTCATCTGTCGACCGCCTCCTCTGCTCTCCTCACCCTCAAGCCGCCGCTCCTGGTGCTCTGTGCTCGTGCCCAAGGACGATGGCAGACGTGCGTCCCCACCTTGCCCCCAAGTCGCCCAGCTCCCGAGCCCGCCGAGCTCACCGTCAACCACGTTCCCCTCTCGCTCGACCGCAGCCCAACTTCACCCAGTCGCTGTTCGCCACTCTCGAGCAGACCATTGCGCCCGACACGCAGGTCATCAAGGCGGTCCGTCCCCCCCCCCTCTCTCATCTCGCCTCCTACAGTGCGCGCGAAGCTGACCTCTTGTCGATGCGACCCCCCTCCTCGTCGCACAGGCCACGGTCCAGCTCAACACGCACTTCTACGTCGACGCTCGCTGCGTCCCGTCCCTGTTCGAGATCGCCACCAGCGGCGCCAACCCTGCTGTGCGTCCCCGCCCGTCTCGCCCCTCTCCCTCCTCCTCCTCGAGCACCGCCTTCTCCACCCTTTTCCCCGGCCGCGTGCGGCTCGTGCGGGCAAAGTATCGCAGGCAGTTGACTCCTCTCGCCGCCACAGATCCGCCAGCTCGCGCTCGTCGAGCTCCGCAAGCGCGTCGCCGCCAAGAAGAACAAGCAGTGGCTCGCCCAGCCCGAGGAGGTCCGCAACGCGTTCAAGAGCCGCCTCCTCGAGTTCCTCCTCACCGAGACCAAGTGCGTCTTCTTGCCTTGTCACCTAGAGGCGGGACAAAGGCGCGTCGACTGACTCGTTGCCCCCGCTCGCAGTGGCCAGGCTCGCACCGCCTCGGCGCGCCTCGTGTCGGCCATCGCCAAGTTCGAGCTCGAGAAGGGCGTCTGGACCGAGCTCCTCCCGTGGCTGTGGAACACGGCCAACGCGACGACGGCCGCCCACCGCGAGGTCGCCCTCCAGACCATCTTCATGCTCCTCGACTCGATCGCGATTGCCCCGAGCCAGCCCGGCGGCTCGGCCCAGAACCAGATCCCGGCGCTCCTCCAGCTCCTGAGCAAGACGCTCGCCGACCCGGAGAGCCTCGCCGTCCGCGTGTGGTCGATCCGCGCCCTCGGCAAGCTCGCCGAGTTCGTCGAGTCGGGCGAGGACCAGGAGATTGTGCGTCGCGCCCCCGTCTCTCTTTCTCTGTCCCTCGCAGCGCCAACGGTGACTTACTCGTCCTTCTCGCACCCGCAGACCGCGCTCCAGAACCTCGTGCCGGGCGTCGTCCAGGTGCTCCAGGCGACCCTCGAGGCCGGCGACGAGTCGTCGACCAAGAGCATCTTCGAGTTTATTGAGAACATCACCCTCTCCGTACGTCGACCTCGTCTCTCCCTGCCTCGAGAAGCACGCGCACTGACACGTGTTGCGCGCCCCCTGCAGGAGATCCCGATCGTCACCCCTCACCTCGGCAACCTCGTGTCGTTTCTGCTGCAGGCGGCGGGCAACCAGTCGTACGAGAACGACCTGCGCATCATGGCGCTCAACTCGGTCCTGTGGCTCATCAAGTTCAAGAAGGCTAAGGTCCAGTCGCTCAACCTCGCCGGGTCCATCATCACGGCGCTCCTCCCGATCGGCGCCGAGCCCGAGCCCGTCGACGACGTCGACGACGTGCCCGCCCGGTCGGCGTTCCGCGTCCTCGACACGCTCGCGACGTCGCTCCCGCCCCAGCAGACGTTCCCGCCCTTGTTTGAGCAGGTGCGCGCGCTCGCGGCGTCGCCCGACCCCAACATGCGCAAGTCGGCCATCACGGCGTTCGGCGTCGTCGTCGAGGGCTGCAGCCTGTTCATCCAGCCGCACCTCGACAACATGTGGCCGTTGATCCAGAACGGCCTCACCGACCCCGAGGTCGTCGTGCGCAAGGCGGCGTGCACGGCCCTCGGGTGCCTGTGCGAGATGCTCGAGGAGGAGTGCGCCAAGCAGCACGCCATGCTCCTGCCCCTCATCTCGAAGCTCATGGTCGACCCGGCGACGCAGCGCCAGGCGTGCATCGCCCTCGACTGCCTCCTCGAGGTCCTCGGGTCCGACATCGAGCCGTACATCCCGAGCCTCATGGACGCCCTCGTCCAGCTCCTCGACTCGGCGCCGCTCGCGCTCAAGGGCACCGTCGTCGGCGCCATCGGCTCGGCCGCGCACGCGTCCAAGACCAAGTTCGCGCCGTACTTTGACGCCGTCATGCAGCGCCTCGTCCAGTTCCTCGCCCTCACTGAGGAGGGCGAGGAGCTCGACCTGCGCGGCGTCGCCCAGGACACGGTCGGCACCCTCGCCGAGGCCGTCGGCGCCGAGCAGTTCCGCCCGTACTACGCGCCGTTGATGCAGCAGGCCATCGCCGCCATCGGCATCGAGAACGCGCCCAACCTCAAGGAGTGCAGCTACATCTTCTTCGCCGTCGTGTCGCGCGTGTACAAGGACGAGTTTGCCCAGTACCTGCCCATCGTCATGCCGATCCTCCTCGCCGCCGTCGGCCAGGAGGAGATCGACGAGGAGGCGCTCCTCGGCCCGAACGCGTCGACCGACTTTGCGACCGGCGTCGACGACGACGACGACGGCGACTTTGAGGACATCGACGAGGACATCAACAGCGACGACGAGGACGCCTTCTTCAAGGCGTCGACCCAGATCGCGATCGAGAAGGAGTGCGCCGCCGACGCCCTCACCGAGCTGTTCGACCACACGGGCAAGGCGTTCCTGCCGTACGTCGAGGCGGCCGTCAAGGCGTTCCTGCCCGGCCTCGAGCACTCGTGGCACGACGGGATCCGCAAGAGCAGCGTCGCGGCGCTCCTCGGCTTCGTCACGACCCTCAACCGCATCACCGAGCCGCCCAAGTGGACCAAGGGCTCGGCCGGCAACCAGCTCGGACCCGACGTCGCCCAGCTCGCCAACCTCGTCGTGCCCCAGCTCATGTCGATGTGGGAGGACGAGGACGAGCGCGACGTCGTCAACGAGCTGTGCAACTCGTTCTCGGCCGCCATCATGAGCGTCGGCCCGGCGCTCGTGTCGCCCCAGTACATCCAGCCCATCTGCGAGCAGCTGTCGGCCATCCTGCAGCGCAAGGCCCTGTGCCAGACGGCCAACGCCGAGGACGACGAGGTCGACGCCGGCGTCGAGGCCGACCAGTCCGAGTACGACGCGGCCCTCATTGGCGCCGCGGCCGACCTCGTCGGCTCGCTCGCGACCGTCCTCGGCGGCGACTTTGCCCAGCTCTTTGCCGCCTTCCTGCCCGACATGGTCAAGTACTACGACCCGACGCGCTCGACGGCCGACCGGTCGACCGCCATCGGCTCGCTCGCCGAGATCGTCAACGGCATGGAGGGCGCCTCGACGCCGTTCACCGAGACCCTGTTCCCGCTCTTCCTCCAGGGCCTGCAGGACCCCGAGCCCGAGGTCCAGTCGAACGCGGCGTTCGCGATCGGGTCGCTCGTGTACCACTCGCAGACGGACCTCTCGTCGCAGTACCTCACCGTCCTCGGCGCCCTGCACCCTTTGTTCGCCCTCCCCGACGACGGCCAGGGCAAGCACGAGAACGCCAAGGACAACGCGTGCGGCGCCATCGCCCGCCTCATCGTCAAGAACTCGGCCGCCGTCCCGCTCGAGCAGGTCGTCCCCCTCTTCCTCCAGTCGCTCCCGCTCCGCCGCGACTACGCCGAGGCCAGCAGCGTGGTGCGTCCTTCTTTCTCTCCTTGTCTCGTACACCCTCTCTCCGAGCCTGCGACTGACTCGTCGTCGTCGTCGTCCATTCGCAGTTCGACGCCCTCCTCCTCCTCCTTCAGCAGCAGAACGCGGCCGTCTTCTCGTCGCTCGACCACGTCCTGTCGATCTGCGCCAAGGCCCTCGCGTCGACCAAGGCCGACGACGGCTCGGACGTCTTCTACCCGAACGGCGCGAGCCAGCTCACGGCCGAGAACAAGGCCAAGCTCGTCGAGATGGTCAAGGCGCTCGCCGCGAGCCAGCCGGACAAGGTGCAGCAGGCCGGCCTCGCGCCGTACCTCGCGTGAGCCGCGCGTGCGCCCGTGTTCCTCGTTCCTCGTGCCTTGATCGTTCGGTCGTCGTCCCCCCTCCCTCGTCGCTGTTGTCATTCCTCCTGCCCTCCCTCCCTCCTCCTCACCTATCTAGAGCATCTCGTCCCCTCCCTCTCCTCCCTCTGGATCCCGCATTCCGTTTACGTCGCAACCCCGCTAGATACCCACTCCCTACTGCCTTTCGTTCCTCCTCCCTCTCTCTCTTCCTGTCGCTCTCCCCTCGCGCGCTGCAACGTCGGCCAGGAGCTGTCGCCATCACGTCGTCGCGTTCGCCTTTCGCCCGAGAGGTCAGAGAGGCTCGCTTGTGTTCCCGAGTCAGGTCAGAGCGCGCGCGAGTTGTCGAGCGAGCGTTGGCCAGAGTGCGACGAGCGCGGCTCGCCGCGGCTGTCTCTGTCCCTCGCTTGCTCGCAATCCTCCACTCTGCCCTGCTTCTCCGCACGCGCAATGCTTGGCGCGAGACCGATTGCGCCGGACAATCTCGCAATCAGCGCCCGCTGCGCCGGACTCGCCGCGGCGTCCTCCTCGTCGCTCGGAGCTCTCCATCCAGCTTTTCTGCCGCTTCTCCGCTGCTCGCTCGAGCGTTCGACCGTCTACAACCTCTCAGTGAGTCCTTTCGAGACCTTTGCGCCCGGACAGTGCCGCACGGAGGCTGACGCGGACCGCGCGCGGCGCAGCCGACCTCATCTTCGTTCCGCCTCGATAAGCTCGCATGCCGCTCAACGTCACCAAGACGCCAGAAGGCAACCTGCTCACCTACGACGCCGATGGACTGCCCGTCATCTGTGAGTTGCTCGCCCTGCCGTCGGCGCGCGAGGTCGGCCCGACTCGTCGCGAGCCGAACGCTCACCCTGCTCTGCTTCTCGCAGACAACCTCGGCGACATGGCCTGGGTCGCTACTGCGACCGTCATCGTTGGCATCATGCCTATCGGGCTCGGCCTACTCTACAGCGTGAGCCTCGAGGGAAAACGCGAGTCGACCTTCCCAACTTGACATTCTCTTGCTTGCGCTCTACAGGGCCTCCTGCGACGCCGCAATGCCCTGAGCATGATCTTCCTCGCTCTCACGGTGTACTCGGTCGGGCTCCTGCATTGGTTCATGCTCGGTCCGTCTCCTCTCGCGAGGCCAGTTCGGCCGCCTCGACCCACGATTTCTGACCTCTCTCCGCAATCCACAGGCTACTCGCTCACGTACGGTCCGGGAAACGCCTTCATCGGCGACTCGACGTGGTTCGGCTTGGTCGGCGTCGACATCAAGCCGTCGCCGGGCTCGACGGCGATCCCGGCCCTGCTCTACGAGATCTACCAGGCCCAGTTCCAGGCCATCACGGTCGTCATTCTCGTCGCAGGCACCGCCGAGCGAGGTCGTCTCGCGCCTCTGCTCATCCTCGCGTTCGCGTGGTCGACACTCGTCTGTGCGTCCCGCCTTGCTCCTTCGCGAGCCTCTCGTCCCCTTGCTCTCCAGCCCTGCCCGGCCCTCGCGAGGAGCGGCGACTGACACAGCTCTACGTCGACAGATAATCCCGTCGCGCACTGGGTCTGGTCCTCCTCAGGATGGTGAGCCCGGCTCGCTCTCGCTCCTCTCCTCTCTCCTCCTTCCCTCGTCGTCCTCTTCCTCGGGCACTCTCACTAACGGCAGCTCGCCCTTGTCTACCAGGCTCTACAACCTCGGCGACCTCGACTATGCAGGCGGCGGGCCCGTCCACATTGCGAGCGTGAGTCGAGTCCCGCAGCTCGACTTGAGAAGGTCCCGGTGCACGGACCCTGTCGAGCCCGTCCCTCCCTTTGTTTCGAGCGCTGACACTTTCGTGTCGCCTGCAAGGGCGTCGGCAGCTTCGTCATCTCTGCTTTCGTCGGCAAGCGTCGAGGGTACGGTACGCCGCAGCTGGATTACCGTCCGCACAGTTCCTTCTTTATCGCGCTCGGCACGGCGTTCCTCTGGTTCGGCTGGTGCTGCTTTAACGGCGCCTCGAACTCGGCGCTCAACCTCAAGTCGATCATGAACATCAACAACACCCTGTACGCCGGTGCGGCGGGCTGCCTCGGTTGGACTGCCGTCGACTTTGCGTTCACGCGCAAGTGGTCGGCCGTCGGCGCAGCTTCGGGCATTCTCGCGGGCCTCATCGGGTGCGTCTTACTCTCTCTGTCTCGTCGTGGATCCCTTCCTCAACGGCAGAACCGTCTGCCCTCGACCGAGACGAGCCTTTTCCGGACCATCACTTCCCGCTTTTTCCTCGAGCCGACATTGACGATCACGCTCTCCCATCTCGCAGCATTACGCCCGCAGTCGGCTATGTCGCAGTCCCTGCAGCATTCGGCATCGGCCTCCTAACAGCGATCGCTTGCAACCTGGCGACGGGCCTCAAGCGGCTCATGCACGTCGACGACGCTGTCGATGCCGGCGCTCTGCACGCGGCAGGCGGTATCGTGTAGGTCGTCGTCTCTCTGCAACCTGCGAGCCTGGCAAAGTGCGTCCTGACCTCGCAGCCCTCTCTCGCAGCGGCGCCATCCTCACGGGCATCTTCGCCGACTCTCGGGTCGCCGATTTTGACGGCCTGACCGAGATTGACGGAGGATGGATCAACGGGTACTGGCGAGTCATGGGTCTGCAGCTGGCGGGCGTCACCTCGATCGTGTTCTGTGCGTGCGCCTCTCCCCTTTCGCGCACGCCGAACGCCCCACCTGACCTTCTCAAGTTGCGCAGACACCGCTGTCATGACCTACGTCCTCCTCTTCCTCATCAACCTGATCCCTGGGTGCAAGTTCCGCTCGACTGAGGAGGCAGAGATTGTTGGCATCGACGAGGAACAGGTGAGTCGCGCTCGTTCCTCTTTCTTTTGCCCTCGCGTTTCCCTTTCTCTCTCTCTCTCGAGCGGTCCTGACTCTCGCGCTCTCCTCTTTCGTAGCTCGGCGAGTTCGCCTACGACTATCTCGAGCTGCGCCGCGACATCAAGAGCCACAAGCTGTACTCGAACTCGCCGACGCTCTCGGCGACGAACGAGCGAGGTCGGCCGGCCGACGCTCGCACCGCGACGAGCGCGTCGCATGAGTCGAAGGAGGGCGTCGAGGGCAGAGTGTCACAGGTGCGCGAGGCGTGAGGGGCGAGGGGAAGGGAACAGGGGTCGGTCCGTGCACGCTGTGTAGCTTCTCGACGTTGGCTCGCCGCAAGGTCAGTTCCTGCTTCTCTCGGTCCAGCTCTCGCTTTCCTCGCCTCTCGAGAGAAGTATCTCGCCAAAGCCTTGTCGACACGAGAGCAGGAAAGAGCTGCATCGCCGTCCTTGTCCGTCTACCAGAACCCGCCACCGCCTCCTCCCGGCTTTGCCGCGGCCCTCGCCTCCCTCGCGCTCGCGTTCTGCTTCTTCTTGCTGCCCTTTTGCCGACCGAGCACGTTGGCGCTGACGGGCTTCTTGCCGTGGTGCCGCCGCTCGCCCGCCGCCTTCTTGCGCGACAGCGACGCCGTCACGATCGACTCGACGTCGCGCGTCTCGCGCTTGACCCGCGGCGCAGAAGGGCGGTGCCGCCGGTGCGACGCGTCGGCCGCGTCGTCGTCGTCGTCCGAGTCGTCGTCCGAGTCGTCGTCCGAGCCGGAGCCCGAGCCCGAGGCGGACTCGTCGTCTGAGGGCCGCTCGGCGTCCTCGGCGTCGGGCGGCGGCGCAGGCGCGTCGTTGCCTAACCGCAGGCCGGCCGCCCGGCGCGCGAGCTCGTCATCGTCGTCGTCGCCACCGACGCCTGCCGCTGGTCGTGGTCGTGGTGCGCTCGTCGGCGCCGCCGGGTCGTCCTGCTCGTCGACCTGCTCGACCTCGTCCTCGTCCTCGTCCTCGTCGCCCGACGCGGCCGACTCGTCGCTGTACTCCTCGTCCGAGGCGACCTCCTGCGGGTTGGCGGCGTCGTGCGCCGCGAGCTCGGCCATGTACTGCGAGACAAGAGTTCAAAGCGGGTCAGTCTCGCCCGCTCGAGCTCGCCCCTCGCCCGCCCTGGAAAGCGACAAAGAGAGAGAGAGGAAAGGGAGGGAGACGCACCTCCTCGAGAGCGCGCCTGTCCTCCTTCTTGAACCCGCTCGCGGCCACCTCGACGTCGAGGTCAAACTCGCGCACGCCGTCGCGCACGACGGCCGTGAACTTTGGGTACACGCTCGACTCGTACTTGAACCGGCGCGCAAAGAAGATGCGGATGCACTCGACGTCGCGGTTGAAGTAGCTGTGCGGGTGCGTATGCAAGTGTCCCCAGAGTCAGTGCGTGCGAGAGAAGGGAGGGAGAGAGAGCGAGGGACGCACTACTCGGCATCGGGGTGGTCGGTCGACACCATCTGCGGAAAGTCGATCAAGACCGGCTCGAGCAGCGTGCCCTCCTTCTCTCGGCGCCGGCGCTCGTCGTACTCGTCGCCCTCGAGCTCGACCTTGACCGGGTGGTCGCCGCCCTCGCGTGCGACGCGCGCATCGCGCTCGTCGGGCGTCTCGTCGTCGCGGTCCTTCTCGGCCTCGGTGCGGTGGTCCCGGATCAGGAGGTTGAACTCGTTAAAGTCGCCGTGGATGAGGCCCGACCGCGCGAGGCGCACAATCATGTCCATGAGGAGCGAGTACAGGGCGCCGGGCGAGGGGACGGCCGAGATTTGGCGGCTGTGTGGGACGTGCGAGAGAAAGAGAGAGTACGGTCAGGCTCGTCGTCGCGAAAAAGAGAGAGGGCGGCGAGAGGTGGACGCACAGAGGAAAGGCGTCGATGAGCTCCATGATGAGGCAGTGCCGCGACTGGTCGATCGGCTGCGGCACCGGGAAGCCGTGGTCGTGCAGGACCTGTGAGCAGCGGCATTGAGGTCAGAACGCGCTCGTCGCGAACGAGAGATGCCGCACAGGGAGAGGGAGCCGCCGACGCACCTTCATGAACGCGTACTCCTTGATGGCGGCGAGGCGCGACATGTACATCCAGCTCGCCGACTGGCCCTTGCGCAGGTAGTCGCGCTTCGACTTGATGGCGCGGAACGACATGCGGCCGAGGCTGTGAGGGGAGAGAGGCGTCAGGACGAGCCCGTGCGAGGGGAGGGAGAGCGGACGGACCGGTGGATCTTCATGACCATCTGCTGGCCCTCGTCATCGGCGACGACGTAGATATCTGCGCGCAGAGAGGATCGTCAGTACGACGGTCACCTCCCAGAGATCCCGACCGCGCGAACGAGCAGCCGGGAGCTCGAGACGTCGACGAGGCCGACGCACCGCTCTCCTTGCCCGTGCCGATCTGGTTCCCGACGCTGTAGATCGTGTCGCGCTTGGCGAACGTCCTGCACGCGAGAAAGTCGTACCCGCCGTACGTGAGGCGGTAGCCCTCGTCTGCAGGGCGCTCCAACTTCGGGGTCAGCTTCTCCTGCACGGCATTGGGGGAGGGGCGAGGGACGAGGGACGCACACTTGGCGTTCTGGACCTTTGCGACGAGCTTCTTCTTGGCGAGCTCGCCGAGCGCCTTGTTGACGCCGCCGGCGCGCGAACCGGCGAGCTGGGCGATGAGCGACGAGGGGACGATCTCGTGGTTCTTCGAGCCTTGCTCGGCCTGCGGGCGTGGCGAGGTGTCGAGAGGTGCAGCGGCGGGCAGAGGGGACGTGGCGAGGCGAGGGAGCGAGGGAGAGTCGAGGAGGATGAAGGAGCGGGGAGTCAGCTGTCGCTCGTCGCGGCCTCGAGTCTGGCTGAGGGGAAAAGGGGACGCACGGCCGACAGGACACGGAACGCGTCGGACGAGATGTAGCGCAGGTCTGCAGGGCAGGGTAGGCGCGAGGGTGAGCTTCATCAAGTCGCGAGGACGAGGTCGAGGAGATGAGGGGAGGGGACGGCTCGTGGGGGAGCGGACGCACCTGTGGCGTCCAATTTCATGGCTGATGATGCGGCCCGGCTGGCAGTAGCAGCGCTCGAGCGAGAGCGAGAGGTGGGAAGCCGAGGTGAGCTCGACCTCAGGCTGCACCGCCCGCACCGACGAGAGCGGCAAGGTCCTCTCTGCTCGCTAGGATCGTACCGGGTCTCTCTTGCTCAGTAGCTCTCTCACTGTCTGGAGCAAGCGCGACCGCGCCCCGAGCACGGAGAACAACTGCATTGCTGGCCAGCCCGCGTCGACTCCTCGACCTCCTCCACTGCCCACTCACGCCGACTTCTGGTACGACGGCTGCGCACGCAACGACAGAGGTCAGTACTCGTAGACGAAGAAAGTAGAGAGAGAGAGCGGACGACGAGCGACGCACCGTCTCGCCCGCGGCGGCCATCTTCTTCTCGGCCTCCTTCCGTGCCCAGCCCTCGATGCTGCGCGGCCACGGGCAGCGTCAGGTCGTGTACCGGAGCGAGCCGCAGAGAGGAGAGAGACTGAGGGGGACGGACCTCGTGTCGGGCTTGTAGTAGATGAGGACCGCGCCGAGGAGCATCCCGCCGCCGAACCCGTAGTAGTAGATGTTCTCCCAGTCCTCCTTCTGGCGCTTCTGGCCTGCGTGACGGTAGAGAAGACGAGTCAGTGCGTGTGCCCTTGTGTGCGCGACCGACCGCGAGGGAGCGCACCGGGTGCCGGAGCCTGTGGACAGGGAGGGCGGGGTCAGCGCGACGGACGAGACCGAGACGAGGAAGAGAGAGAGTGGGACGCACGTGCTCGCCAAAGAGCCTGCCGGTCGGCTCGTGGTACGCGCCGCCGCCTGCTGCCCGCCTCTGGCCGAGGACGCCGGGAGAGAGGACGCGGCGCGCGAGGGTGGAACGGAAGAGCGAGGCCGACATGCGGGGCTGCGATTGGAGGGCCAGGCGGGTGTCAGTACTGCTCTGAGTGGGACTGGGAGGCGGACTGGGGCGCACCGAGAGTTGGGAGAGTGGGAGGAGCGCGAGCAGGTCGACGAGGGGAGATGAGACGAGAGGCGAGCACACCGCCCTCGCTCAAGCTGGGGGTTCTGGCTGGCGAGACGTCCTCGCAAAGGTATCAGAGTGGCTCTGCAGAGTACCGCAGCTCTAGGCGAGCGACTTGCGGCGGTCGCCTTGGCTCGTTGCACTCGGCCTCCGCCTGTCTCCCTCTTGCTCCCACCCACACTGCGCCAGAGCTAAAAGCTGAGCACGCGCACCACCGAGATCAACGCTCAGCTCTCTCTCCAGCATCCGCACAAGCCCGTCTCCCCGTCCTCGTCGAGCCCGACTCGCCGCACCGCCTCCCCGACCCGCATCATCATGGCCTCCGCAGCCTCCCCAGCAGCAGCCGCTGCGCCGTCCAGTGCGCCCGCACCCGCACCTGCACCCGCACCGGGCACCGACTACGACGTCGGCCTCGGCATCGACGGCGTGCGCCCAAAGGACCCGTCGCTGTACCAGCTCTTTGGCGTGCGTGCCGACGCGTCCGACGCAGAGCTCAAGAAGGCGTACCGCAAAGCGGCCATCAAGTTCCACCCGGACAAGAACCCGGACAACCCGGACGCGGCGGCCAAGTTCCAGGAAATCAGCGAGGCCTACACGTGCGTCCCTCTCTCTCTCTCTCTCTCTCTCTCTCGCCCTCTGCCCTCTCTCACAGAGTCGACTGACCCTGTTTGCCTGCCCCGCGAAGCATCCTGTCCGACTCGAACTCGCGCGTCGTGTACGACAAGCACGGCAAGCAGTCGGCCATGGGCGAGGCGTCGGGCGAGGACGGCCAGATGATGGACCCGGGCCAGCTCTTCTCGCAGATGTTTGGCGGCAAGGCGTTCGAGGACTGGATTGGCGAGATCAGCCTCGGCAAGGAGGTCAGCAAGGCGTTTGAGCAGGCCGAGGAGGACGAGGCCGAGCAGACCAAGGTGCGCCACCCACTCTTTCTCCCCCTCTCTTTCCCGACCTGTTCCCCGGCACGAACGAGCTGACTCGGCTCGTGTCGCGCAGAACGACGCGACGACCAAGCCTGCGGCCGCCGCAGCTACGACCACGACGCCGCAGCAGGGCGCGCTCCACTCGGAGGCGCACGTCGAGTCGACCGGCCACTCGACCCAGACGTCGGCCCCGACCTCGACCGCCATCCCTCCTCCCGCCGCAGCGGGCGGCGTCCCGACCACCTCCGCCATCCCTCCTCCCGCCGCAGCAGGCGGCGTCCCGACCACCTCCACCTCCACCTCCCCTCCGTCCACCGGCACCACCTCGCCGTCCACCGCCGCCGCCGCCGCCGACAGCACGCCCTCGTCGACCGACGGCGCGCACGCGCACGCCGCCAAGTCGCACCTGGCGGGCAAGCCGCCCAAGCTCACGCCCGAGCAGAAGCAGAAGGCTTACGACGACGAGCGCAAGTCGTACGAGGAGAAGCGCAAGCGCGTCGAGACGCTCGCGCACAAGCTGCGCGACCGCGTGCGGCCCTTTGTCGACGCGCGAGACCCAGGCGGCGTGGACGACCCCGAGACGAGGCGGTTTGCCGAGCGCATGCGCGAGGAGACGCACGACTTGGCGATGGAGAGCTTTGGCGTCGGTGCGTCACGACCCTCGAGTTCCCGTCCCTCCCTCCCTCTCTCTCTCGATCGACCTGGGGCGTGCGACTGACCGCTCCCCTCGTGCGGCGCTCGCAGAGCTGTGCCACCTCCTCGGCGAGATCTACATGCAGAAGGCGACGACCTACATCCGGCTGCACCGCAAGCCGTCGGCCAACCTGCTCGGGCTCCCCGGCTGGTGGTCGCGCGTCAAGGAGAAGGGCGCGACGCTCAAGGAGGGCTGGTCGTTCCTCTCGACCGGCCTCGACGTGCAGCGCGCCATGGTCGACATGGAGAAGCGCCAGGAGCGCGGCGACCTCGGCGAGGACGAGATGAAGAAGCTCGAGATGGAGCTCAGCGGCACGCTCCTCCTCGTCGCGTGGAAGGGCAGCAAGTTTGAGCTAAGCGCCGTCCTGCGCCAGGTCGTCGACCTCGGTGCGTCCCCCTCTCTGTCCCTCTCCTTGGTCGTCGAGTCGCCTCTGACACTCGCTCCCTCACGCAGCGCTGTCCAAGGAGTCGCCCGAGGTGACCGACGCCGTTCTCATGAACCGCGCCAAGGTGCGTCCCCTCCTCACCTGTCTCCCTCGACGCCGATCTGACTCGTCGCCGCACAGGCCATCCTCTTCATCGGCGCCATCCTCAAGAACGTCAAGCCCGAGGAGGGCGACGACGAGCGCCGTGAGCTCGAGCGGCTCGTCGCCGAGGCCAACGCGCGCCGCAAGGAGGGCCGCAAGGCGCCGCCCAAGGCCGAGCACCACAAGAAGAAGCAGGCGGGAGGCGCCGACACGCCGCCGGTCGTTGACGAGGCCAAGAAGGCGTGAGTCGAGGAGGAGGAGGAGGCTCGTGGTCACCCTTAGTTCTAGCTCGCGCGCCCCCTGTAGACACTCCCTTCTAGCCTATCTCGGCGTCGGAGCCCTCTCACGTAATGCCAGTCCGTCCCCGTGCGTCGTCGTGTCGTCGTCTAGTCGCGAGAGGAGAGCACCGCCTCCCGCTTGGCTCGCAGCGCTCTCTCGCTTACACTCTTCGACCCGGCCACGACGGTGCAGCTCGCGCACTCGGTCCATGCCGCTCGATGCCTCCTGTGCGTGTCCCCCTGCTCTCCCTTCCACCTGCGTCACCCTCGTGTTGTGGTACTACAGTCTCTTTAACTACTAGTTTTAAGGCATCGGCAAATGGTTGTAATACTCCAAAGTATCCTACTGTGTTAGGTCCTACACGTCGTTGCATACTAGCAAGAACTTTACACTCGATGATAGTCATAAAAGCAACTGACAGTAAGATAGGTACTAATACAATAAGAATTTCTAATAGACTGTATAGTGCAGATAGCATAATTAAATTGATAGATAAAGTATAAAACGCTTAGCTTATTATCTGTATTCCTTCTGTAACGCCTATTTTTTGTTTTTGGGGAACCAAAACGAAACAAAGCGACTTTTGGGCCCCCCTGCGTAGC